AATTTTTGTCGATGATTGAACGATTCAAAATACTTAATTATTCACTATTAATTTATAAGAAAATTATAATTTAATCAGATAAAAAAATATGAGTTTTGACTTTGATAGAATTTAAACCTACGTTAGTCACTCACCTATATAAGAGAGTGAAGCAAGTACTTGAATACCCTTATACAATTACATCATCATGATATCTCATTGTTATAAATAAAGGATATTTTAGGTATTAAAACTATCAAAAATATTATAAGGAAAATAGTTTAGTTTCACATCAATTATATGCCAAATAATGAAACAAATATATAGTAATATGAGATTTGAGAATCAATGAGTCTCTTTCTTATGTGTGTACGACCACTCTTTACCTTGCATTTGGCTAGCCACTAGTGACATGGAAGAAGAGTGATGCACGCATGCCTTAATCAGTCATCCTTAGTCGCTCGAGCTCCTACTCGCGGTTCTACCCAACTACACTTCTAACCCTACTTATAGGATATGGTTAGTTGACGGGTTTATTTATTTTTCTTTATTTATCTTAAAAATAAGATTATAAAAATTATATAAAGTCATATAAAAGTACATAATTAGCTAAAAATTCACATTAACTAACTAAAAACTATTTTTCATAATTTGATATAAATATACGTCTATTTATTATGAGTTAAAATTAAAAGTATATTATTTATTAATTATTAATTCATGATAATGAAGACTTATCAATATATATCATGATACTTTTTTTATAAGAGAAAATGTGATTAAGTAGAGAATCAAAAAACAATATGTTGTTTTAAGGTCAAGTATGGAATTAAACTCTAGAGCCATAACACAAGGAGTATCCAATGCTTATGAATAAATGAAAATTTAGATGATCTAAAAATATCATTTGAAATGACCATCAAACTCTATGCACTAATAAATCAACTATAAACATTACATACAATTCAATGCATCATGATCATACAAAGCACATTGAGATTGCTTGTTATTTCATCAAGGAGAAGATTGAGTATGGAATCCTCTACATTTCTCATGTTAGATCGAAGGACTAATGTACATATTTGTTTACCAATGGAATATACAATCTCACTTTGTAGAAATTGATGAGCAAGTTGAGAATATAAAATATCTATTCATCAACCCAAGGGGAAAGTGTTGGAAGATGAAATAGTTACTCATATTTTTCATATATGTATCATTTTATTTTTTTATTTTCTTTATTAGTCATATAATTATCAAGTAGGATCCAATTATATCTTATAACTAACTTGATAACCCCAATATATGTACTTAAAGGGGTTGTGAGCCCTAAGATGAATACAATTTTTATTTTACCATCACATTTTAAGTTCCTTGTTAGACAACACTATGAGCATTAGGGCTTGAAAAGCAACAATGTCACATTCAAATTGTACAACACAAAAGAGAGAAGAGAGAAGACAGAGAGTAAGTATGCATATATGTGCAGAAAAAGAACAAGTATGTGTATATCACCCACATAGAAGAGGAAGATCCATTCAATCTTGCACCAATGAAGTGCCACAGTTAGAACAACTTAAGGCTTTGTAGGAGAAAACAAAGACTAGTGGTCCTAAATGAACTTTGATGCCATGTGAAAATAGAAAGAGTGTAAGAGAAATATCAATGAATCACAAAAAAAGGAAGACATACAATAGAATGTATACATTACCTTAAGTATATCTTTTCTACTTAAGCAACATAACTATAACATGAAATCCTAAATAAAAGTACAAGTGAACAATAGAGTGACACACATGTGCCTACCTTGCCGACACATGCAGGTGCTGTCTCTTGCTTCGCCATGCACGTGTGGAGTGGAGTGGCTTGCTACTTTCAATCAAAAAAGAAAGAAAAATTAAGTAAGCTATTGTAAATAAGAAACTTATGACATTGTCCACTCCTCTATGATAGCCCATTGCCAGTCATATAGAGTGCTCTAGGATCCAATTGTGGTGTTTCATTAGACAACATTGTGGCCATCATGCTGACACCCAACATGCAGTAGCATCCATGTGCAGCGTATGGCACCCACACATAGGGTTATCTAGTTGGTTATAGGGTGGAAGTGGATCTAATGTGATAACTATAAAGATCAAAATATATTATGACGGAGCTACAATGCCTTATTGTTTGTTCACAAATATTTAGATCTCATAGACATATTATCGATATTTTTCAAGATATGGAAGAGTACAAAAACATAGATCCCTAAAAAGAGAGAAAAAGATATAGATATGTGAATAATTTTTAACTATCAACTTCAATGATTTAAGAAAAATAGTTTAGAGAAGGTTATGCATAACAAATGAGATATGAATTATGAATTAAAAGTTTGGAGTTAGATTTAAACTTTAGTGACATAGTGCACTAAATTTTTTCACTTAAAAAAAAACATGATAAATTAAAAAATTAGTGAGTAAGTTAAAAAATTCATGTAAACCCAATCTGAAAATTTTCTCTATAATGATATAATATGAATTATATTTTATAGGGCTACCATTCAGTTAATTTCACTTAAAGTGATTCATTAGAGTTTAAGTATTTGAGATTACGACATCTCTTGTAAGTATAAACATAAATATAAATATATGTAGAGAATATATCCTATTTTAATTTTATGATGGACTAAATTATAAAAAAGACATTAAAAGACTAATTTTTAGGTCACACATTGTGAGTACTTTTAGAGCATTCCATCTCTCTTAAGTAAGTCATTGGATAACTCTCATGTGTTGATCCAAAAGACTATCTTTGTACTTACATCTTTATGAATTCAGGTATGACTTTAATCTATTCTCATTGTGTTTTAACATTCTCTATCTATCTCAACACTAGATCCTTCATATTTAACAAATATCTCATCCATAAGTATACTAGATAGAATTAGCATTTACAATTATTTTTATATTTTTCAAAAGCCTATTAAGAAGATTATAATCGTGAAAATTCAATCTAGAGAGAGAGAGAGAGAGAGAGAGAGAGAGAGAGGAAGAAGAATAGGAATATGATGCTGTAGCCGATGCGGGAGACGACGAGGTTCTGAATCCCGAAGGCGGCGAGCTCGAGGGTGCTGAGGTGGCTGACGAGAGTCTGGGTCATGGAGGACATGCAATACTGGAAGAGGTGAGGATGGCCAGCCCGGTGATGCACCCAGATCAGGCAGGCCTCCCGCCACACATCCACACAGAACGAGCACAGCAGCGCCATCCTCCCCTCGCCAGGCGTTTCCCTCCGCCATCTGCCGGCAAGATCACTGGAGCTCCCTCCTCCGGCAAGTAGCAAGACCCTCCCGTCCTCTGCCAATGTACCTCTGTCTGTAGGGCCGCTTCCCCCCCCCGCCAAAAGCACTGCCGCCCCTGCTTCCGACCAGTCTGCGAAGGAACCAATGAGACAGAGAAGAGAGAGAGAGAGAGAGAGAGGCGTTGTGGAGAGACGTGGATTCTTGTGGAAGATGCCTGGATCCCGCCCTTATCTGCTGTGCCCATAACGGTCTCCCCACGTGTGGGTAATGAGCTTGGTCCGGCTCAAATGGCCCATCTTGACATTTGGGCCAACATAGGCTCGGAAAGGATAATAGCCCAAAATAAAAAAGTGGTCCCTAGATGGGCCGATTATGTGTGGATATGGATAAATAGTCTTTGTACGGCCCATAAATGGTCCATATTAAACAGTGGGCCGAAAATAGGCCCGTGGAGAAGAACGAGCCCAAAATAGGAAAAAAGGGCAGAGCCGATTATTCAAACGTTATAAATTAAATTAATGGACTATTTTCCTTAAATCGATAAATAGGAAATAGTAGGTGCCTACCTTGAGCTGTGCCTAAATAAAACCTTCGAAGAATATTTATTATGTGAATATTCTGCTTCACGTGTGCCTTTTTTTTTTTTTTTTGGCCTTTATTTAGTGGGTGGAAGCATTGAAAGCACGTCTCTCACACCATCAGTTGCCTTTTTGTATGTATGTATAATATTTTACGGGAATATATAATATCTAAAAATAAAGTCAACGTGAGAGAACGTGCACTGTTTTAGGAGATTGGGTGGTTGATCTACTTACATCACATCTATATGTATTTAAATTTATGCACCTAAGTTTGGGAGGATGGAACCGTTGACATCACCTCGTGAAGTTTAATCGGTCAACGCCTTTCTTAAATGGGCACAAGGGGCAGTTGACGTGGAAAAGGGTGATTTTTTAATTCGCGTGGCTGTTGCCAGAAATAGAAAATAAAACAATAAAATAGGAAAAAAATAGGGAACAATAAAATAGTAAAAAATAAAATAGGAAAAAAATAAAATAGGAAAAAATAAAGGGCCAAGTAGGTCGGAAACGACGAAAAAAAATATAAATAAATTGGATAATGAGCTATTAAATTCGCCGAAAATGACAACAAATAAAGAAAAAATGCGTGCCCCAGACATCCATATCTCGAATGAAAAGCACGTGCTATCTAAGGAAAACGAAATAGATATTATTTTTGAGGGCATGAAAGAGATACACACAAAGTTACCACCTATTTTGAGAAATTTGTATATTTAAAGGGTGTAAATCGGAAAAGGAAGACGATAGTCAAAGCATGTCCAGGCCGCAGAGAATCATCTGTGGTCCGGCGGGTGAACCGTCATCACCGGTCGCATCGCCACGTCGCGCTCTCCTCTCTCAGTCTCTCTATACCTGTCTGTGTCTCTCTCTATCTCTCTCTTGTCGTAGAGTCGCCTCAAGTAACGCGCCTTCGGGGGGAGGACAGGTGGTGGCGGGTAGACTAAAAAGAGAGCATTTTTCCCGCTGAGAGGGGGGGGCAAGATCGTCTATCCGTGGTCTTCCCGCGCCTCCACCGGAGGGGGAGTGGAGGGGAAGCGATAGCGGGCCGCTGGGGCTTATCAGGCGTGCTTCCCCATAGTGGCGGCGTCCACAACCACCGCCCCTCCGGGAACAGAAAGAGAGGGAGAGAGAAAAGAGGAGAGAGAGAGAGGGTGGCGATGTCTTCTTCCGATGGAGGCCATCTTGGGTCTGTCGTCCTCTTCCTCCGTCTGTTCCTCGTCCTCGTCGTCGCTCCCGCCTTCTGCTCCGCCGCTTTTCGTGGGTTCCAAACCGCTCCTGTTGAAGGTACAGGCCTAGGGTTATGCCCTGACGTCTTCTTCCTCGATGGGTATCTTCCTCAATGGATGTTAAGGAAATGGGCTTTGTTGGTCCTGCGAGGAACCATCCTTCCTCGATGCATTCCTATGGCGTTCCTCCATGGCTGGTCCAACAGGAAGGATAACCTCTCTCTCTCTCTCTCTCTCTCTCTCTCTCTCTCTCTCTCTCTGTATCTGTGTGTGCGCCGCTCAGGACGAGGAACTCATCTGGAATGGCTCCCAGTGAGGAGGTCAGTAGCGGAGGTTGCAGCAGCGCTTGCGCCGGTCTCGCCGCCGTTGTCCAACTCCTCCTTCGTGCTGGCGGAGGAGAGGACGCGGAGAAAGGACCCGCTGGACGGCTACGACTACTACACCGGTGGATGGAACATCAGCAATCACGATTATTGGGCTGTAAGCTTCCTTAACCTCCGTCCAATCTCATTACCTTTCCTTCTTCCATTCCCAAGGAGAAACGGAACGACGGGGATGGATCAAGAGAGGAGGAGGAATCCCTTATTCGTTCTCCGATTTGACGCACCGACTGGTTCTTCTGGCTGCAGTCCGTTGGATTAACCGCTGTCCCCTTGTTCCTGATCGGAGTCATCTGGTTCGTGGGCTTCGGGCTGTCTCTACTCCTCATCTGCTGCTTCTACTGCTGCTGCTCCCGGAGGAGCTATTCTTATTCGCGGATAGCTTACGCGTTATCTCTGATCTTGCTCATCCTGTTTACCTGTGCTGCGATGTAATGGCGTTGACCCTATCTTTACAATTTTGGGCACTCTGGCCCGATCAGCCGGAGCGAGGACGACATGAGATCTCAGATTCCTGCTATCTGTTTGTGATGTCATTTTCAGCGCCGGATGCATCATCCTGTACACGGGTCAGGGGAAGCTTCACGTCACCACCTCGAACACCTTGGATTACGTCGTTGACCAGGCGGATTTCACCGTGGAGAACCTCAAGAACTTCTCGGAGAATTTATCCGCCGCCAAGAGGGTGAGTGTGGGGCAGAGTTTCCTTCCGGCAGATGTCCAGAGGAAGATCGACACCATCGAAGCGAAGCTCAACTCCTCGTCCAATGAACTGGCCAGTCGCACCAAAGACAACTCCGAGAAGATTAGGGACGTTTTGGACACCGTGTAAGATTCGATGCAGAAACCTCCACCATTTGCAAGGCTCGCTGATTGAACTGGTTGAACCGTTGACCCTGCTTGCAGGAGACTTTGCCTGATTGTCATCGCCGCCGTGATGCTCGCGTTGACATTTCTCGGATTCCGTAAGCGATTCCCTCCCCCCTCCCCCCCCCTCCATTATCTGCCCAATAGGGTTCGCTTCTTGCTCCTTTATATGGAATTGAGCGCTGATCCTTGTTCTTTCTGGCAGTGCTCTCCATTCTTGGACTACAGTGTCCTGTTTACACGTGAGTTGACTTGTTCCGCCGTTTTTTCCCAAGATGTCTTGTGTTTCTTCAACTCCGTGCCTCGTGGTGATTTGATGATCAAACTGAGATTCATGCAGCCTGGTGATTATCGGATGGATACTTGTTGCGGGTACCTTCATTCTCTCCGGCATCTTTCTTCTTTTCCACAAGTAAGCCCTTTGACTTCACATCTCTGACCGGTTTCTTGAGTCGGGTCAACGCAAATTGGAGCTAAATGTTGCCAATTTCGCCCCTTTCCTGCTCTAATTCCAAGAACTGCTCGCTTCCATGCATCCATGGATGTGGGTTTTTTGAAGAACAGGGAAATACAGCTCTTTTACTGAGCGGATCATATTTAGAACACAGAGCCTGCTTCTACGTTATTTTCTCCTTCTCTAGTGAAATCACTCCATTGCGTCTCAATCTCCCTGTGAGGATCTGCTTCAGGTCTTTCCTACCCATTTTTGGAAATTCTCATTGTAGAGATCTTTACTCGGCCCTCCATGCTGAAATATGTGAGAATGTCCTCCCTAACTTTGGTCAACTACCTGCATGAACTTTGGGTAATTAGATATAATTCGGCTGATATTCCCCTTATCTCCAGACCTAATTACCCATTAAAGACTAATAACATATGGGAATCATTGTATGTGGTGAATTCTCGACCAAGTGGCTTTGACTTCATGAAGGGCATGCTGACTCCTCAATGGTGTGCCTCCTGCAGCGTCATTGGAGACACCTGCGTGGCGATGGACGACTGGGTGCAGCACCCCCACGCGCGCACCGCCCTGGATGACATCCTCCCCTGTGTGGATGCTGCCACCGCCAACGAGTCACTCTACCAGAGCAAAGAGGTCACCTTGCAGCTGGCCAACGTGGTCAACCAATACATCGCCAACATATCCAACAGGAACTTCCCGCCCGGGATCCCGCTGTACTACAATCAGTCGGGCCCAGTGGTGCCGCTACTCTGCAACCCCTTCAATCCTGACTTGAGCGAGCGGCAATGCCTCAGCGGGGAGGTTGGCTTCGGCAATGCCTCCCAGGTGCGTGCCTGCTTGGTCTCCGCTCAAATTGAGATCGCAATTGGCAGGGAATTGACGGTGCCACCTTGTAGGTGTGGCGGCGCTATGTCTGCGAGGTGTCGGCAAGGTCGGGTGGCGATGTGTGCACCACAACCGGGCGGCTCACCCAGCGGGTCTACAGCCAGATTGTGGCGGCCACCAGCGTCAGCGCCGGTTGCTACCAATACGGGCCCTTCCTGGCCGATCTGCAGGGCTGCACTTTTGTGCGGAACACATTCTCGACGATCACCCATGACAATTGCCCAGGCCTCCGGCGGGACAGCAACTGGGTCTACGTCGGGCTGGCGGTGGTGTCCGGTGCTGTGATGCTCTCTCTGCTCTTCTGGGTCATCTACACCTGGGAGAGGCGGCACCGGAAGAACAGCAAGAAGCAGTTCATCACTGGGTCGTGATTGATTCTTCGGAGGGTTTGGCTTGGGCTTCTTGTTGAGGAGTCTCTGTTTGTGTGGTTGTACATTGTAGATGAGTTCTTCTCGTGTTGTTGCTTGCTGTTAACTGGGTTTACTGCCCCGCTGCCGCGGTGGCAGCGAATTAGGAGACCTGGTGGTGGCAGCAGCTGCTTCCCCTATCTATTGATGGTTGTTCTTCAGACTCGGTGCTTCAGATGGCTGTCCCTGGCATCTCAAGAGCTGCTGGTCCCTGGCGGCGTGGGGGAGCCCATCAGGGTCAACATCTCTCTGAACATGGCTCGTTGACCAACTCTGGGATTGACTGTGGTGTTCATGGAGTTTGGGCCCACCGTGGGGCCTCGACACATTTTATTCGACAGGAAATACGGCATAGAAGTTATGGCACTCATCTTCTTCTCTCTCTCTCTCTCTCTCTCTCTCTCTCTCTCTCTCTCTCTCTATGGCTAGCAGCCTTCTTTTTTGGGGTGAGGAAGCTAGTCTTCTGGGAGAAAGTCATAGTCTTTGATGTGATTGACTTGAGGATCAGGGTTCTTACAGCAGTCAACCCTCGGTGATGCCATCTCCCTCTTCCTCGGAAGGTCTGCTCGCAGTGAAGAACTCTTCCTGAGGGTACAAGCTGTGAAACAGCTGTGGAACATGACCAACACTCGGCAATAAACATTGAATTCCATTCATCAAAATGTTAAGAAAAAAACCATTTAATACATGCATAAAAGATTTCATGCATCTGACGGAAAGGGCGGCGGGGGGGGGTTTACCTTCTCCGTTGACTTCAGAAGGCTTCCGTAGTCAAGATTGCCGTCAGGCATGGGTGAAGAGCTCAGAGAACAGCCCTCTGCCACCTACGGTACACAATAATTTATCAATATTTGAAGGTTTTTTTTTATGGAGTTTTTTTTTTGAAATAAAGAAAATGTTGACCTCCGTGAGCTCTTGAACATATGACGCAGACCACAATAAAACTGGCTTTGACTTGCTGGTGTTTTCATTAATATACAAATCTCCACTGTGTTCATCCTGCTCGTTCTTCCCACCTGGGAGCTCGAAGAGGGCATTCATGGCGGCAAGCAGGTGTTCTTTTCCTCGAATAGCATCGTCACACTTGGTTGAACAGTACACAACGAAGCTGAGGGAAGATTCAGAGAAAAAAAAAGCCTAAAACTATTAGTTGACCAAGTTGGTTCTAACAATCTTCCATTTCATTCCCATTTATGGAAACTTACAAGTCCGGCGGACAAACTGCCAGGCCGCTTCCCAGTTGAAGGGCCCGGATCGATGTTTCCTGGGCAGGAAACAGAGCTGCAAGGACGGATCTAGTCAGAGAGGGTGCATACGATTGACGGCCCAGATTCACATTGCATCATTGCTGCAATTATTTTGATTCCAAAAATAATATTTATATAAAGGAACAACAAGAAACTTACATCTGGGGGGCAAAATTATCAGGATATTTGATAGTTGGGGGTGTAGAGAACTCCTCGTTATACAGACCAGCCTGGCAACCTTGGAAGCATGGCTAGCTTCAATGGTGCTCTCTAGAGGATCTGGCGAAGGGAAAGGAGGAGGAACCACGGAAGATGAATCCATGAGGATCCGATGGCAGTTTATATCCTGCCCAGTTGCCAATCGAACCCCTTTATATGCTTTGTCTTCCTGAGAAGATAGAGAATGATTTCTTAAGAGCTTCACAAGGCAGATACGAGTCTCTTTTATTTCAAGAAAAAATAGCATTTTAAAATAAAATACAGTGGGAAATAAAAAAAGAAACTAATAGGTGGAGTAAGCATTCAGATTTGACCACAAAAGTATACATGGAGATAAAACTCAATATACATTTTTAATTCATCGTCTATAAAAAGCATATGCTAATTGATGAGAGAATTGTCGTTCATATTTCAGTAAGATAAAAAATGTTACATCTTTGCTTGAATATGAGCACATATGTTCAAGTCAGGTTATATACGTATGTATGTATATATATATACCCCAAAATGGGATTAGATAACGCTCGAGATTGCAGGAAAAGTTGACAGTTGATAAATTTCTAGGAAAAATTCTCATTATGGGCCAGTAAATCTCCGTCAGATCAGTAAATTTCTTCATGTTCATCAAACGTTTGTGTTGAAAACAGCAAAAACAAGGGATAAAACCCATGAAACAGACAATCTAAATGTGAGAAATATGCACCGAATCATGGAGGAAAATCTGGTTCAATGCATCAATAGGTGAATAAAAAAGTAATGGCGTATTATTGGTTAGTTTAAGATGATATCCTTAAAGATCCGTTCTAACTAAAACCTTGGGTTCCGTTACAGTCCCCAACAAACCACATTTAATAGCGAGGAGTGAAATACAGTAGATTGAATCAAAAGTCGCGAAAGAGAGATCAACGGATCAGGTGATGCATTAATAAAATGAAAGCAACACATAACTAATATACCTTGTCAAAAAGCAAACTGGAAGCTGGCATCCGTAGGACCTGCGATAATGCATTTGGACTCAGATACGAAAATTTCTATCATCATCATAATAATAATAATAATAATAAATTCCACTATTGCCTATTCGGGAGAAAGTAAGTAGGCTCCTAAATTTTGCACACTGTGGCGTCGTACAAGTTCTAATACCTAATCTCCTAGACACTTCTGACGTCGGATTTTTATCACTATACGTTAGATTAGATGATGCTCCCAAGAAATATAGTACCGAAGTCCAAAAACTCACATACAAAGCACCTTTAACAGCAGCAAGACGGCAAAAGGCCTGCGGCAACTCTCCTTGGCCATATATTGGATAAATTAATGCACCCACTGCATTAGGAAACCTAAAATTATATTACCAAGTAAGTAAATAAGAGGTGAAAATGTGTTCACAAAGTTTAAAGCAAACAGGTAATGAGGGTGCATATGGTTACTTGTATGAGCAAGTATTGCCGTTTATGCACTGAGATATCACAGTAGAAATCAAAGGAGTTTCAATCACATCTATGAACTGGGAAATATGCACTCAACTGCTTCCAGTGGGCTTCGAAGATAAAAAAATAAAATTAATACCAGAAATATATGCATCAAGATATGATGACACCAAGTAGGAAGAAAATAACATAATCTTCTGAAACCACACACGATGTTATTCAGGACCGTCAGAAAAATTCTTCAATATTATACATGGTGTTGGATGCTCCTTCAATATTAAATCTACATGATACTAGTATATATGCCTGACGACAAGTATCAGTTAAGTGAGCTTGAGCTTGCACCTATGACAGATTTTCCAATGTAAGTCAGATTTCTGTTCAGAGGACAGGGCTATGAGTGGCATAGCTGCCTTTGGGGCAATTAAATGATTTTGAAGGATTTGATCTCAATGCATTAATCTAAAAAATGACAGTGTGGGCTGCTATGTTGGGGAAGCTTGGAAGGATGACGTATAAAACTAGCTGAATCGTCATCAAACATCAAATATTTTCACGATTTCTTCAGGACCCAGTGATGTTCTGTCTTTATGGCTAAGACATTGAGATAAGCTTGATATCGTTACAATGACAAAGGAAAAATAAATAAATGACCAGGTTATTTTTAATTGCGACTATAATGAGAGTTATTCTCCCTGGCCCTTTTTGTCAAGAGTATGAATGATAGTTCAGATGATCGAATAAAATTAAATAAAAGACTTCAGTTGACCTTCCAATGGATGAACTGTAAAGAGATAAGCTTTCTAGTCCCTCTTTTGTGTCCATCAGTTTGTTGCAGCTTTCTGGGTTATCCTGATCATAATCTGCCATGGCAATTGCATATAGAACAATCCTAAAAAAGAAAAATAATCAACAGTTACGTTTCACAAATAGGGAAATTAAGCCCCCCGCCCCCAAACTTTGAATTGACAGTAAGGAGAAAGATGAAAACCTTACTCTTTAAATATATAAAAGACAGAAATACATGTCATTTCATCCACATTAAGCTTGAGATCCTAATTGAAATCATGATTAGGCGAAACAGAATCCATAGCGTGGCCTTAAGCAAGGATCACATGACCGTGATGGTCTTGACAGAATTCACCAAAGGCTGCAGCAGACATTTTCTAATTCAACAAAGTGGCAACGCCGATCGAATAATCCTCAGCTGGAGCCATTTGAAAATTTGGATTGAGCACAATAAACTCCTGCAAAGTGCTAAAATTTAAGAGGAATGACAGATGAATCTTATCCCTTTTAGTCAGGAAGACGTTTTTTCACAGCTTGCGTCGAGTTCTCCATTACATGAAATTTGATCTTAGTTTGAGATTAAATATGATGGACATGATACTTCTTTTCGCTGAGAATAACCACTTGCTAAGTAGTGTGAGTAGTTAAAATCCTACATCGTATCCTGAAAATTCAAATCTTTATCAGTTTTTTGAGATGAAATCCTTAATAGGTCAATCTATAATTTTTTTATGCTCATTCCAATGATTCTCCAAGCTCGGTATGACGATTTAATTTTCAGAATGCAGTAACATCTAGCAAACCCGTCATCAATCTGCACCTGAATATTCTGTACTTCCTAATTTCATCGATAAGGATGAATGAGAGAGGTCAAAACTTAAAAGGTGCAGACATACTCGGGTACGTTGGCAGTCGTTTGGATCAACTACACAATATAGAACTCCTAAATACGAGGCACACAAGCCCAAGAAATAAAGGTGAATATGTCCGTACAGTTTGATCTTCGGTGGCAGCCTCTGCTTCTCCAAGAACTTTACGAATGGCATCTCCAGGTACGGCCCCGATATCTTGCTAGCCTCTTCGCCTTCTCCCCCTTCTGAGGTTATGTGCTCCCGAACTAGCTTCAAAAACCTCGTCATCTGAGTTTTCTCAGTTAGACTGAGGCTTTTATCCTTGAAGATGGCCTCCCTCGAGTCAGGCACCATCTGGAGCTTCCCATCCCAGTAGATCATGCTCCCATCAACGCTCTTGAACTCGATATGGTGACTAGCCCCCGACCGCAGCATCACGTCCACCATCGGATCCGCGCAGTAGAGGACCCTGGGGCCCGACAGGTCGAGGAGGAAGCCTCTAGAAGGCTCGGGGACCTCGCCCGCAATCTCCACGTGAGAGTACAGCCGGCGGGGCTGAAGATCCACGGCAACGCCGACAGACGACTTCGGCGCCGGCTGGCGCGGGCCGTCATCGTCGTCGGCGGCGGCGGGAGCATTCTGCTGGAGGAAGGAGGAGAGGGACTGCGGCGAGAGAGAGGAGTAGTGGACCCCGTAGTAGGGGTTGGAGTCAAGGTGGAGGACAGACTTGCCGGAGGCCGACGCGGCGGCGGCCACTAGGGATTCGACGAGGCCAGTCCCCGAGACGACGAGGTCGAAGGAGGACGGATCGATGACGGGATGCTCGCCGGCGGTCGCCTCCGCCATGGCGGCGATCTCGCCTGGCCGTCTCCGCAGTCCCGCCTGATGACACCGGCGGCGCCGCCAAAACTCTTTTATTCATAGGCCCCGGCCGCCCCCCCCCCCCCCAACAATTTTGGGCTAATATTTTTATGGGCCCATAAGGCCCATAATGTAAGATGGACCAGCTCATTATGCCACATGGTTAGACCATCTCCCTCTCTGTCGTTCTCTCTCTCTCTCTCTCTCTCCCGCCTCCACTCGATCTGCCCCCCCCCTCGTTCTGTCTTCTTCCTGTATAAATCAGTCGGAAGCCGAAACGGTACGATTGATTATGCACAACAGTCAAGATCGGATCGCGGAATTTGGAAGAGACCACAATAAACGGACAAGAATCACCGGAGATGTAAGATACGAGACCATTTTCGGAGCAGCGCCCGGCGGAGGTATGGGGCCGGAGGATGGGTGGGTTCCGCTGCTGCCGGAGAAGGACGATGGAGCTGCGGTGATCACGCCGGCGGGCGGGGGCGGGTGGACGGCGGCGCCGCTGCGCTCGTTCTGCGAAGACGTGTGGCGAGAGGCCTATCTGATCTGGTACATCGCCGGGCCGGCCATCCTCACCTCCATCTTCCAATACTCCATGTCCTCCGTCACCCAGACCCTCGTTGGCCACCTCGGCACCCTCGAACTCGCCGCGGTCGGCATCCAAAACCTCGTCATCTCCGGCATCGGCTTCGGCGTCATGGTAACTTTCTACCCCCCTCTCTCTCTCTCCTGTAATTCCATCTCTCTCTCTTTCTCTCTCTAGCTGGGGATGGGTAGCGCGCTGGAGACGCTGTGCGGGCAGGCCTTCGGGGCGGGGGAGCACAGAATGATGGGGATCTACATGCAGAGATCGTGGGTGATACTCCTCTCCACCGCCGCCGTCCTCACCGTCCCCTACCTCTTCGCATCGCCCATCCTCAGGCTCTTGGGGCAGAGCGCGGAGATTGCAGAGCTCGCGGGGAAGTTCTCGCTGTGGATGATCCCAGAGCTGTTCGCCTTCGCCATTAACTTCCCGATCATGAAGTTCCTGCAGGCCCAGAGCAGGGTGATGGTCATGATGTGGATCTCCGCGGCCGTTCTGGCCCTGCACCTGCTACTGAGCTGGCTGTTCATCGTCAAGCTCGGGACGGGCCTGGTGGGCGCTGCTATCACCCTGAACTTCACCTGGTGGCTCTTGGTCGCCGGGCAGCTCTCCTATGTTGTCTCCGGCTGCTGCAAGGACTCCTGGACTGGTTTCTCCTGGCTCGCCTTCGCTGATCTGACCAACTTCTTGGGCCTCTCTCTTGCTTCTGCTGTCATGCTATGGTCCTCTCTCTCTCTCTCTGTTTCTTTCTTTCTGTCTCTAGATTAATGGATTGTGCCTGATAATTCATCTGGATGCAGCCTGGAGTATTGGATCTACATGGTTGTGATCATCTTAGCGGGGCTCTTGAAAAATCCAGAAATAGCTGTGGATGCCGCTTCGATCTGGTGAGCTTGTGGATGGGAGATTATTATCTTGACCAGGATGATCGCCTGTGAATCATGTAGATTTCATTCTCTGAACTGGATGCATCACTGCTGCTCCTGGATCTCTTCGGGTTGACCCAAATTTTCCAGCTCAAAGAGAAATTTTCCACTTTATGATTTCTTTTCTAAGTAAGAAAATTACAGTCAACTCGGTCACTGAAATCTAAATCAAAGTCCGAACGTACAGTAGAAATCTATGAAACTATCTATGCATCTGTTCTTGCGCTCTTCCCTGTTTTGGAAAATTTCGGAATTATGTCTACGGGATTCAATTATTCCATTCCATCACATGTATTTGGAGATAAATGTAGAAAAACCGAAGAAGTTCGTTGACTTGTTCTTCATCTGCTTGTTCACCATTTTTGGGTATTTTCTTGGAGATAATCTCAGCATGCATTAATTTTCTACGTCAAAAATCTTAGAACTCGGATGAAAATATTTCAGGGAAATCCCACATTTAATCAAATAGTTAAATCACAAGCTTAATTGTGGAAAATCTTTGGTCTTATTCCTTTCATTGCCCAGCTAAGTTTGAACTGAGCAGCCCTGTTCTTTCACAAAAAAGCTTGTTCTTGCTCCACGCATACATTCTTACTCTCTCTCTCTCTCTCCCCTATTTTGAGCCGTGCAGTATGAATGTGGAAGGATGGATTTTCATGATTCCCTTCGGACTTATTGCAGCAATAAGGTGAGTATTTATTATAGTCCCCTAAGAAAATTCAAATACCTGATGAGATTTCCATAAGAAATTACCATTTTTTTTTTCATGCAAAAATTTCTTGAGCTGCTCTCTATTTTTGGTGATGATTTTGCCAGTGTGAGGGTCTCCAATGAGCTGGGAGCAGGTCGCCCCAAGGCCGCCAGATTCTCAGTGCTGGTGGTGATCATGATATCAGTGGTTCTCCAGTCAACCTTTGCCCTCCTAATATTCCTCACCAGGAAGGACTTCCCCATCATCTTCACAGGGGACAAGCTGGTGAGGGAGGAGGTCACGAGGCTGGCGCCTTTTCTTTGTTCAACTGTTCTCCTTGCCAGTGTACAGCCAGTGCTCTCAGGTCCGTTCACTACTAAGAGGGCCTTGATCTAGGTTAACTAGGGGAATATTCATTTCTCTACCTAGTTTAAGCACAAACATGTGAAAAATATGTATGCATAAATAATAATAGGATCATGGTATGGCTTTGAACCTTGCTTGAGTCTGAGATGATGGAGTTGTGTGGGTTCCCAGGCGTTGCTGTTGGCGCTGGCTGGCAGACAACAGTCGCCTACATAAACCTTGGATGCTATTATCTCCTGGGGATAGCTCCTGGTGCCCTACTAGGGTTCAAGTTTGGTCTAGGGCTGGAGGTAAGAGCAGGAATCATCCCAGCATTCAATCTGTTCATACCCAGAAGACTCAATCTATGCACATTTTTCAGAATTTTGACCTACTCTTCAATAGAATTTCTGCATGTTGCGTCTCATATTTTTCAAATCATGTTCCTCTCATCTATTTCATCATGATTTTTTTTATAAAAATAATTTTTTTTTTTTTCTTGAGTAGGGTCTTTGGGGTGGTGTGATCATTGGGGTTGTTGTGCAAACCATCATTCTTTCAGTAATCACCTTGCGGACCGACTGGGACAAAGAGGTGGGGACTCTCTTTTTTCCCAACTCTCCCCTTCCAGATGCTAGATTTTCATCCTCATAATCAGATGCCTGATCTTTCAGGTTTTATCAGCAAAGGAGAGGATAGCTGTGTGGGGAGGTTCTGCTGGTGTCCATTCAGACGGAATCAGTTGAATATGAAGAAGCTTTTTCCTTTTTTCCAATAAATTTTGGTAATATGGGTTTTTCGTGATGGTCAATTGGTTCAGGTTTACTCTAAGAAAGTTCTTTCAGAGTTTACAATAATTGGGGTTCTGAGCTTCTGTGTTTCTTTCCCCAATTGTGAACAGCTGCTACGAGGTTATTCTCGGGAGCTTATGACGATCGTAGTTCACCGATCTTTGAATTCTCTGGAAACCATTTGAGAAGGGCCAAATGTCAGGTATGGGTCTTGTTCTAGAATTTTCCTATGTAATTCCCCTCAGAATTCTTACTGTGGTGGTGCAGAGGATGAAAGATGGCTGGAAACGCTGTGGGATGCATGGGTGATTTTGATTTTCACTTTCTTTCCATTATCCACTTATAACTTGGGCTGATTAAAAGTTCTGTAGGCTTTGAATCATTTTTTTTGTGTACAATAAAAATCAATAAAAAACGAGTATTTTATCATAACCATGAGAGGAATTTGCATGCTCTCGAGTTCAGTTTTCAGCATTCCAAGATGATGAAATGAATGGCCTTTCAATCAAGTACAGGACTATATCTCAGATAAAATAGGAATGAGGGAACATTGAGAGAACCTGCTTGAAGAACATACGCACAGGAAACCAGCGACCTCTCCTTGAAGCACTCCATGACTCCTCAGCCACGTTCTTTGAGAACCCTTGGAATGAGACATTGCATTCTCCTGCTTGTGGCGGCAGGGGGTTTGGCAGAGGTGGGCTTTCAAAAACCTAGCCCACCATAGAATCCTTTCCAAGATCGACTCTGAACTAGGTTTGGGCCTCTTCACAGATCTGAACATACTTTCCATGTATGTACAAGAAGTAGGGTTTCCATTGGTCGGAGGCCAACCTGGAGAAGAAACCTTAATCTTTGAGCAGATCTTGGTGTACCATGTACCTGAAACTTGCTCTGTGTGGCAGCCACTGGATACGTTTCTCTGGGTTTTCTCTGACGTATCTCTTGATGGCCTTCTTCTGAGGCTCGGGCATGGAGTTGTGGACTATCTCCACGAGAGAGGGGAGATCCAAGGATGCGCCCTTGGCGTAGTGCCTCAGGATCTGGGGCAGGAGTATCGTGGTTTCCTTGTGGATTGAGACCTTGGCGCGGAGAAACTCGTCCCTTGCGAGCTCAAGCTCTTTGAGTATGTTCTTGGACGAGAAGACCCGGACCTATTTGCGGCCAAGGGGCAGAACAGGTAATGAGATCTCTTTGCCCACTTTTGCGTTAGAGAGAGAGAGAGAAGAGAGAGAGGAGGGAAAGAGGGAGGATTGGAATTCGTACAGCTGGGTCGGAATGAGCTCCCACGCAAAGGGCGAAATGGACCAATGGCTCCCTCTTACTGAGTGCATAAGGGTGCTTCTCGTGAACCTTGTGGAACTTCTCAGATCGCATAAACAGTCTCTGTAGCCTCTGAGTATAGAGTTAAAGAATTGCAGCTCAATTTACGGTAAAAAAACTATTTTGACGATGAAAGATTAAAAGATTCGATTATAGTGTGTAACGGCAACGACACCAAAAATGAAAGAATATATTTTTTTATTAATGAATTTACCCTAAACTGAAAGAAGAAAGCCAATATGTATTGTCATTTTATCTTTTTTTCCTCCATAAAGTTCAAAAATATTAACCAGAACTGTGAGATTTATTCAGGGAAACTGAGGGCATTTGCAAGCAATTAGTTTTAGAGATATTTGACTACCACAATGTGTTTTTCTGTTTTTTTTCGCTGTAAAAATATGAAAAATCGTTATTTCTACGAGAAATGACAAGAGAGTGCCGTTTGAATTGTTCCTTGTGAATATAGTTTCTTAAATTTTGAATTTGGAAATATTTCCAATAATGAACTCAATCTATGACCTAACATGGACTCAATCTATGGTTGAACATGGGGGGAGGGCCGGCCTGGTCTTATCAGCCTTGGAAATGAAAAGAAGCGCGGAAGTGAGATTTGGCTTCTCCCAAATGATCGCGAAAACGAAGGAATCCTAAAAGAAGTGATGAATATATCATGTGAATTACATACCGGTCCAGGGCGATGTGGTTGACATCCAAGAATGGATCTTTGAATTACATAAGCATTTACAGAAGACCCACCAACGTTATACGCTGCCTGAATGAGAAAGATCAATGAGGCGTCAGGATATTCTAGTTTAAGCTAAAAATGGAATACAACATGTGAATATTGTTGTCAACTGGCCACCTTCATGATTGTACTTGTGCTTCTTATATAGTTTTGGTGAAGCCCATAAGCTAGAAATGCCTATAACATATCACGAGCAGAAAATGGAAAATGTATCATCACGGATATCAAAAAAATGAGGTGGAAGATTGAAAAAATGAGGTGAGGAGAGACATACATGCATCACCAAGGCGTTATGAACATTGATCCAAAATGAAAGTTTCTCCTCATGCTCCATCTTTGTTGGGTTAACCTTCTCCAGGCGATGGATCAAAGACCTGAAACATAATCATTCCCATTTAGAGAATCGACGCCAGATTTCACTTCATTCATAAACCCAACCTGAACAAAACCAAATCTCATGAAGTCTATTCCCACATAAAATCAATAAGTACAGTCCCTCGAGCGAATCCAAGGATATACTAGGGCAGTCACCATGGCCATTTTCCAATTATATGATGACCTTAGTCAACGGAAATGATAACAAAGATATACTAGGGCAGACAGAAAAGAAAGAGGCATACAAGTCAACGGAATGGAGTTGATACTCACTTGAAACGTTGCAGCATCGCTTCTGCATAGTTAAATTTATCGCCATCTACGCAAAGCTTCAGAACTTCTAGCTGTTCAGTGTATGGACCTTGCTTGTTCTTCAACACTTCTGAGCGTCGAGAATCGATTGCAGCTCCATCACGAAACATTAGGTTCCAAAGATCATTTGTATCCCGGAGAGAAAAGGCACTTGAGGATGATAACGATGACGTGGGTGAGGCAAACGAGTCTATTTGAGGCGGTGCCTGATCAGAAAGTTTAATGTATATCGAAGACATGCATCTTATTATCTCTTCAGAGAGTTTGCAAGGGGATTCAGAAGCACCATCAATTAGCGAAGAACAAAGATATTCCGCAAGGCAGCGACGACCAGAAGAAAGTGTTGGGGAGTCCTGAAAAATAAACCAAAAAGGATAAGAAATAAATTATCAAAACACTCTGGTAACTACTAAAGTGAACCATGCACTGTTTAAATATCCAACTGTGCATCCCAGTGCCACGAGATCTCCAATAAAAGATTTCCATTTCTTATCACATTCCGATAGAGTATGAGTTGACATAAAGTACATGGCTCATTTTCAGATACAAAACTTCACGGGAAAACTTAAATGACGGCAGATATAGACTCGTATTTCAGATAAAGGATCAGTCAACTATAAAACTACAAAAAACTTAGTTCCCAACGTCGGTACTTAACATTACAGAGTAGATATTAAATAGTTGATTTCAATTCGATGGAGAGTAGAGTGCTAGAAATAAGAGAAATATATATATATAAAAAGGTAAAAAATATGGCTGCAGGAACAGAGCTCATTAACAACGAGTTCCCTAGTTTGAATCAGCTGCAACATATTTACTATTCATTCTCTCATGTAAAGTGGGAACAAAAAAAGCCTATTTTTTTGTCTAAGAAGCGAAAAATCAGGTCACAGGTCCTATAGGCTCAGAAACCCGACGATATCTTTCGAAGGAATATTGTGTTAATTGAAAATAAGGGTTCAGTATGTATCCACATACAGTTGAATTATTTCCCGCCGCAGGAACACGTATATCTTTCGAATCAGCTAAATTATGACTTGATTTGCAGCATAGGTCTTGAAATTCAATCCCTCTCTTCCTACGGATATCCTCAACGCTCTGTGACTCGTTCCATTTGCTTTTGGCCGAGTTAGGGAGAGAAGATGGCAGATGCAAACTCATTAGTTTAGATTTATCCTCCCCTTGGCTTATGGAAGGCCCTGTCCCACATATTGAGGGGAGCTTGCGGACTTGGTCTTTAATCAGAGAGGTGGCTTGGAAATGGTCAAACGTTTCCCGATATAGTGAAAGAAGATATCGTTCTAAATGTAAAACTTCAAGCTCAAGAGTTGCAATCTCTTTGACCAGTTCTGTAGCAGGCTGCAGAAAGCATAGAAAACATATTTCAATATTTCAAATTCCAAAGATCTAAGGCGCATAAGCAATCTCTTCAAGCATAGAATGCATAAACTAAAATCATATGGCGAATCATAATATATTCATCATAAATACTGAAATTATGTACCAAAAATATCCAGAAAGATAATTCATAGGACCCTCAATTGACCATGCCATTTATGAAAACTATAAAATATATTTTTTTGGTTTTATCGCTGTTTGAAGGAGATATTTTAAAAGCACATGGACAATGAACTGCATGAGTTGACATATGAATCAGCTCATGGTTCGATCAAACGGTTTACAGGGGAGAAAATATCATAAGGAGAGAAAAAAAAATAGACACCATAATTTTCCAAACTATATACTTAAAGATTGTTCTTCAAGAATATTTTTACGAAAGTCGAGAAGTAATATAAAATGCCACTTTTAGGGAAAATCTCTCTCATGCAGATCCAATTTTCTGTTTTTTAATATCATTGGAAATTATGAAGGAAATGAAGACATGTAGTTTCAACTATCACTTTGCCATCTTAGCTTTCGATGCACAAAAATATAAAACGCACTGGAACAGCCTTTGGAGTTGAAGTTTCTTCTAATGCAGTGGAGGTATTGGAGCCAGCCTACATGGATTATCCAAATGAATAGAAGGTGCGGCCATACAATTTTTTTCATCAAAATAAGCGTTTTGAGATAAGAAAAAATAGTAAAATAATTAAATGTGAAGGAAGAACGCAGCTCAAGCACCGGACAAGGCATAGAATATTCCAATTCCATGGACTATCAGACAGATGCTGTAATGTTCCTATACCGTGATTTTGATTATCCAGCGGAGATTTCACATAGTTTCTAGCACCCCATATAAAAATCTGTTATTTTTTTGTATAATAGAAGAAAGTATGAAGCTTACACAGAAAGAGAGCTGGGAGGACCGTGGAGACAACTTTATCCTCGCTTCGTGTGGTCTACAGTCACTGAAATGGAAAATAATCACAACATAACCACCACATAAAGTTGCAGTAATCTATAACTCCAATGAGAGCTGTAAAAATTGGGGTTCAGTTTTTAAAATTGGGAAATAATGACTTATCTTCTTGACTGGGTTGTTCTTTGAATTGTCTACCCTTAAGTCGACTACACTAGGAAACATTTTATTTTTTTTCCGTCCCTCTTTTACTACCTCCTCTTTATTTCTTTTTTTCTTTTATTGTTTTCTCATCACATTGTAGATGTAGCTGTTCCATTCACATTCAAATCGAGGGTGATAGGAGCCCCGGAAATTATTATAAAAAATAGGCCTTCCCATCCTCCGAAAACTGACATATGCAGGACTCTCAACATGAAATGGGAAGATGACAATTAGAGTTTAATTCTAAAAACCTTCACGCATGAAGAGAATCACCTCATGAAGTTCGCGTGGAGAGAGGCCGAAGACGAATGCGAAGGGCCGCTGATTCCAAGCATGATTTCAACATTCTCGCCGATCTTGTCCAGATGATTAGCCGCCATAGCGATCTTCGCAGAAAGCTGAGAACCAAGAGTTAGCGGAAAACAGAAAAAAGATGGTGAGCCAGGCAGAAACTGACGAGATAAAAATCCTCCAAGAACAGAAAAGAGTATGGCGCGAGCGCCATAACGGACACTATGAACCGGAAGAGCACCACCAGAACATGAAACGCCCACACATTCCAGGGGGGAGAAGTGTACGGCAAGGGAGAGAAGTCCTCACCTTACTGAATTGAAACCCCACGCATTCCCAACCGTTTCGAGTGAATCCTCGAGAAAGGCCTCTTCGCCTTTCCCGAGCCTTCAGAGGGGAAAGCGCTTCACCTAGGGAATTATCCGGGAACGAATGGGGATAAACATGGACAGGTTGAGAGCATCTTACGGGAAATAGCCAGTCTGGCGGTACATGGATGGATATATAGATCCACGCCGCTCACAGGGAGGCATATGAAAGCAGAAGTAGGCCCACCATGGAAGGGAGGGGGTGGCCGGATTAACTATTCGCCATAGCAGCTCTGCTGAGGGAAGCAGAGTGACCAACCCCAACATGAGAGAAAAAAAAATACGAATCGACATTGTAAGCGCCAAATTAGGTGGAAGTGTAGCAGTGGTTCGCGATAAGGACATGGTCAGGAAGGAGAGAAAGTTATAAATTCAGTGCTTCCTCTGATTACGAAGAGGAACAGTTGGTCAATTCAGCCCATGAAAGAATTCTTCCTCAGACCATGAGACAGCGAGTCGGAAGTACTAATACATCTCCGAAAATTCCACCGTACGAGGGAGTAACGAAGTCGGAGGAGACTTCATTCCATGGAATCTTACGAGGCGTAGACACGTCGAATAGTTCCTTGAGATCTCTTCCACACAGACGCGGACGCGGAATGGGACAGAAGAATAAAGAAAAGAGGTAGAATGCTCACCGGCCAAATTAAATGAGAATTGATCAAAACCCGGCGTACAGTGGATCAAATCCAGTAACCAACGCCATGACAGCGATCTATGCTCTGACACACCTTTTCTCTGCCGGGAACGAAAGGAAATCTGTTGACATTCTGTTTATGGCATGCACATGCCGGCCAGAAGCCGCGGCAGCGCCAACAGAGAACTGATAAGGCGCCCGGCGGTGGATTTCGTAGATCAGATGACTCCGGCGATCTGCTAATGAGGATCGGCGAACGCCAGTCCACTCTGCCATCCCCTAGAACTACAAGAGCCGCCTTCCGCCGCTCGTTGGAAGCTCACCAGCTCATGCTAGGACGTTCGCTGACGGACTCCTTTCCGATGAGCAGAGAGATCGGGGGGGTTGTCGCCAGCGGGTCTCACCGGAGCTCTGCCTGGCGGGGTTACGACGGAGGAAGCGATGAAGGAAGCTTCTCTAGAATCCCCGGGATTCCCGCCCAACGACTTCCACGTGGCGGACCCATTGAGTATTCTTTCTTTATCACGTGGCCCACTCATCCCGCGGGATTCTTACGCATCCGCACACGATTTCAAACCGATATCAATCTGAAACCCGATTTCGGGTCTCCCCAGAACTGAAATAATCTTACCGGATATTCGGGTCTGTCTGTCTGTCTGTCTGTCTCTCTCATGGCCCACAGTCGCCGTATAGGGACGAGGAGTCCCGGCGGGGTTTGTGTTGGGTCACCACACCAACGTATCCCACGTTCACCAGGAAAAAAAACGAGAGAACGAGCGAGAGATAAAGAGAGAGAGAGAGAGAACATGGGAGCCTTCCCTAAGTGGAGGACGGCGTTGACCGCATCGTGGTTCCCCGGGAAGAAATGAGAGAGAGAGAGAACGTGGGAGCCTTCCCTAAGTGGAGGACGGTGTTGACTGCCTCATGGTTCCCCGGGAAGAAACACGAGAGAGAGAGAGAGAGAGAGAACATGGGAGCCTTCCCTAAGTGGAGGACGGCGTTGACCGCCTCGTGGTTCCCCGGGAAGAAACGAGAGAGAGAGAGAGAGAGAACATGGGAGCCTTCCCTAAGTGGAGGACGGCATTGACTGCCTCATGGTTCCTAGGGAAGAAACGAGAGAGAGAGAGAGAGAGAGAGAGAGCAATAGAGCCTCCCCTAAGCGGAGGAAGCCGTTGACCCCCTCCACCATTCCAGCCGTTGACGACGACGCAGGAGGAGTAGTTGAATGCCTTCTCGGTCCTCTCCGCCCGCCAATGTGGGCGCCGGTGGGCGGAACCACAGAAAAGAGAGAGAGAGAGAGAGAGAGAGACAGGCATACAGAGAGAGGGAATCTAGAAGCGTATACGATTACCGTGTCCCGACAGAGGTTACTGCGGCGCACTGATTGGCTACCACCGGAACAACAGATTCTAGTTCGGCGGCGGCTGGTTCTGACATTCTCTCTGTCTAGAAGCCCACGGTACTGCCTTGTCGGCCAAGAAAGCGGGGTCTACCCACTCATATAACGGATACCGTACTCGGTATTCGGTATCCTTAACTGTCGCCGACAGTCGACCAAGCAGGCTTATTGGACCGTGGCTCGGCTCCGGTTGTCACGTGGCATCCTTTCGGCCCTCCACTGAGCCTGCGGCTGTCAAACCGGGTTCGCCCTGACCTAACGGTTGGCCTTCAGGCCCGGCCCGGACCATCGGGCATGGACGAAATGGACTTAAGAAATATTAAATCTTCAACAAAAAATTGTGGCCTCGCTTTCGCAAAAAATGTGTGATTTACAGAAAAGGGGAGAGAATAGGTTATAAAGTTTAATTTCTAGGGCTTTTTCATAATTTCTATCTGTCTATCTACTCTGAGACGAACTCCGGGATGGTGCCGAGCCGCACCCGGGAAGACCTTTGCCGGCGGTAAGAGGAAGTCTTCCCCTTCAAGGATCCGCTCCTCTTCATCTTCCGCTGGATGGCGAGCGGCGGCGGCCGCCGGACATTCTTTCCGGCGAATCCGTTTATCTCCTCCTGTTCATTCTCCTCCCCCCAGCCGCCCTCCGGCGGCGCCACCACTCTGATCTTCCGCCTCCGGCCGTCGGCCTCCGCCGCCGCCGCCAGCGCGGATATGGCCTTGACGGCGAGCGCCGCCATGTCGCCCTGCGACAGCGCCTCCCTGAGCTTCTCGAGGGGGAGGACGAAGTAGATCTGCCCCAGCTGGAGGGGCTCCTCCGGGTCGACGGCCGGGATGTTGTCGTTGCAGTACAGCTTGTCGGAGCTGCAGAGGAAGCAGGCGGCGGCGCGGTCCTTTGCGAGGGCCTCGGCGACGCTGATAGGCGAGGAGTACTCCCTCAGATCGCCGCTCAGGCCGATCACCTTCGCCGTCGGCGCCACGTTGACGACTCTGCTCCCCTCCCCGGCGGACATGCAAGATCCCATATCACGTGAGATTCTAGAGAGAGAGAAGAGAGAGAAGAATAGAAGAGAGAGATATGGTGAAGTGGGAGGAGAATGGAGAGGAGGGTATATAAGGGAGCGCGAGGGTGCCACGCGGATAGCCGTCAGCAACGAATGCGATACAAGCTGTGGAGGAGGAGGTGAGTCAGAGCCGACGACTCGGAAATCCACCAGCGAGGCACGTGGTTTCGGTCTGAACTCGGCCCGGAGGATTCTGGTAGGAAAAGGGTCTCACCCCGGCAGGAAAACGACAGGCGTTCCTTCGGTCAACGCCGTAACAATTGCCGTTGGAACCAACCAATGCGGTATTGACTGGGTTCCTTCCTCTCACAAAAAAACCCAAAAATAGAAAAAAAAGTGATTATTTTATAACTTATTTTTTGGGATTTTTACCTTCTTTGGCTGTGGGTTCTCTGCATCGGTTGAAGGCTAACGGAATCAGACGCGGAAATAGGCATCTAAAAAATGTCCGGGCCTTTGACTTCTGCCCCAAGTTTCCGGGGGCTGACGAACGCCGTTGATTGCCTCACACGGCAAGAAACCCAGTGAACGCGTCGGATCCGACGTGGCGTGGAGAAGATAATCCACTCCGCAGAGTCAGCGCCAGATCTGAACCCCAACACCGCGTGGTGGGCTTTTGTTCGAGACTCTGTTGGTGCGCCAACAGACAGGGCCCGGGAGGAAAACGGGCTCGGCCCGACAATGTCCCGGAAGCCCAGAATCTGCCAGATTGTACTTCAATCCAACGGTCAGCTCGCCATGGCACTGGTTAAGCAGGTCTAGGCCCCTCAAAATTGCCTGAATTAAGGATAAACCCTTGATTCTCCACTTATTGTTATTGGACCTTGAAGGAATCCATCCATTCGGGTTGACCGGTGAGGGTATTCCTCAGAGCATTCCATTCCTGTTGGATAAAAGACTAAAATACCCAAAGGGGACAGGATGAGAATGACCTGTGGATATCCGCTGTAGTTCCTTTTACAAAGGGCAGTTGAGTCATTTCGGTAAAACTTCATTTGACTTCAGTATATTTAGTTATTATTTTCATTAACGTAGGGTAACATGGGGCTCAGGAGGGACACATTAATAATTCTACGATGTTTACGAGGACCTAAAGCAACAAGTAAGGTGATGGGGGATTTTTTGCCAAAATCTGATGTTTGCGTTGACTTTCAACAAAATTAGCTAACACACTACAACTGGCTGCTCCCCTCTATAGGGTACCTTGAAAACCGGTCGAAGCCCGACTTCTTCTTATCGGGCGACAAAGCAATGGAGGCAGGCGGCCCATTGGGCCACGTGGCGATTCACCCGCCCCCTGCTTCACTTTTGTAATAGAGGCCCATTTATCTGACTTTTCTTTAAAGTCAACTTCGACTAATGAGGAAAAAAAAGCCAGAATAGAGCTGTCAGCCTGTCGATGGGCCTCATTCGAGAGCTGTAACTGGTGTGGAAGAGATAAAACCCACGTAATCTCCACTTTAATATTTAAAATTTTACAATAATACTAATAAAATATTAATTCCTATAAGTAATTTTCTGATTCAGTCAATGAATATTTTTATGGAAATAATAAAGGATTAATTTTATAAATTACGATATAATTGAAAAAATAAAGAGGTATGGAGAAAAATAAAAGGGGATTTAAAATTCATAATTTCACTAAAAAAGGTGTATAGTTTCGCTAGGATGTCGATTAGGATGACGTCGGCGCCCAACAGTGACGGCCGCCGTCTGCCGGGACAACCACGGCAGGGGGGGTCTCCGGAAAGTGACGTGTCATCCTGTGAATGGTCGTGAAGCGGCGGCGGGCATCGGACGTCGGGTCTCAGAGAGAGAGAGATTAACGAAGAGGACGATTAACGAGGCCCAGCCGCTCACGTGGGCAGTCCATCCCAACGGACTATCGTGATGTGATGGGCGAATCTCGACGGTTCATGCGTCCCCTCCCTCCGTTGTCCCAACGGCTAAGCTTGCCCGCCCCGCCAATCACCCCCCGTCCACTCGTTCTTCCCAACGGCTGGAGCCCTGAAGACTCAACTCGGAGATTCTCGCTCATCAGCAAAGTATAGAAAAACCCCCAAAAATCTGATCAAAGAAGAAGACACTCTGATCAAGATCTTATTCACAAAATGTACACGGCGCCTTTTAGTTGACCTGGTGGATCTTCCTCTAGCGGTTCCTAAAGTGTCCTACTGTTTTTCTATGGGCTCCCAAGATTTATACGTCTTTCTAATTTTTCTACGTGGGTTTTTTTCTCTCTCTAGAAGGGCGCTCTGTGGGGTATACCCTTCCGCCGGGACGTCCGGTAGCTGGCTATCGGAGGAGTCGTCGGAGAAATGCTGCTCGCGGCAGCTCCCGTCTTGTCCTCTCCTGGTGCCGGCAAGCGCCTCTTGGTGGTGGCGGTGCCGCCGCCCTCCGGCGAGGAGACTGAGGCCTTCTTGAGCTTCTTCCCGGCGGAAGAGTCGTCCGATTCCCATTCGTTGGAGTATTCCCGGCCGGGTCTGGGTCGCAGGGAGAAGGTCAGCCCCGGGTCGCTCTTCATTCCCCGGAGCTGATGAGATTGGAGAAAAAGAAACGAAAATCAATCTCCTTTCCAAGGATCTAAAGAGTACGCAAATAAGCATTTTAGAGAGAGAAAGTGATTGGTAATGGGCGTGGTTGCTTCTCATATTTTAACAAAATAAGGAAATTTGTATGAAAATAAACGCCATAATTTTGCAAAAAATGGATAAACATTGGCGTAAAGTTTGTAGCTTCGATGAAGGATTGCTCGCAGACCTTGCAGCCGAGAGAGCAGAAGCGGAAGGCGTCGACGAGGCAGCGGCTGCAGGTCTCGCAGGAGTAGGTGACCCCCTTTCCCTGCCTCGGCTGTGGCCTCTCGTTGAGGAAGACGATCTTGGCGCTGTTGATGACGTAAGTCTGCACCCCCGACACGTCGATGAGCTTTGCTACCTCCGAAACCCTAATCCCGTTGTGGTACGACGACCTCCTTATCTACAATAAAGAGAAAGAAAGATAGAGATAGGTAGATAGATAGATAGATAGATAGACAGACCGACAGACAGATAAATAGATAGACAGACCGACAGACAGATAAATAGATAGACAGACAGACAGATAGATAGATAGATAGATAGATAAATAGATAGATAGATAGATAGATAGATAGATAGAGAGAGAGAGAGAGAGAGAGAGAGAGAGAGAGAGAGAGAGAGAGAGAGAGAGAGAGAGAGAGAGAATAGGCGGCGGCTCCGGAAGGAGGGCTCTTACCTGGACGACGTGGTGATCTCTGTGGTAGGGGAGGCAGTAGGAGCAGAGGGCAGGGCCCATGCAGCCCAGGCAGTACAGGTTGCACTCGTTCTTGGCGGCGCCGCCGTGAACGTGGCAGGGGGTGAAGAAGCTCGTCTTCAGCAGCGGTTTTATCCACGGGGGCCCCTGATCGGCCTCCTCTTCCTCCTTACCGGACCGAATCATCTTCCCCGACTGTTCCCGGCAGATCGGAAACCCTTGATGGGCGATTTCAATCAGACGGCCGCAGATCGTCTTCTCCCCACCATATTCTCCTGCCGTCATTCTGAAAGCCCAGAGCTCGAAGTAGGGCGACAACCCAACGCAACCCCATCAGCATAGAGAAGAGAATTGGGAGCTGAGACAAAGGGGAACAAGGGGAGTTCCTCCTCAGCGGGACGGGAGAGAAACCTTTCTAGCGGAAGAACGTCCAGAAGCCTGCCGATGGGGGCATCTCTCCCTCCCTCCCTCCCTCCCTCCCTCGCTCCTTCCCTCCCTCTCTCTCTAGGGCAGCTGGAAACAGGAAGAAGATTCTCAGGGAAGAAGTGGGAGGAGAGGGAGGACCCAAGTTCTAGAATTCATGGATAGGATCGGGGGAGATTCCGGGAAGCGGGTAGGAGATTTCCGCCGGGGAGTTCTACATTTGAGGGCTGGGTAATCCGATTCCCGGACCGTGATAATGGCGGGCAATAGTTTCCATCCATAAACAGCTATCAATCTTAATTTCTTAAATACCCTTTCACCCGCGAAAGTTATTACACATTAGTCCCTTATTATAACCGCCCACAGGTTAAAAACGCACTGAATTCTCCTAACTTAACGTCTCCCCTCTCATGAGCTTGTGAAAATTATGAAAAGGTCCCTGGCTTGCAAGGTTTTGGTTGATAATAAGGTTCATCGATAAACTCCGTAGTTTAAGGAGGACCCTTATATAGTATTTTGGAGGAACTGGAGAGAGAAAATGAAAGCTAACTAATCCCGCATTAAGACAAAGGAATTCCGTCAACGTGTGGGCGAGTGTCCAACGGCGGGGTACGTGGCGTGAAGAAAATGAGCCGTCGATTGTGACGGCGGGAAACGGACATCCTGTGGACGTTGACTTGCCGTCAGCACGAATCCGTTTAATGCCCAAGCGACGGCGATGACGATGACGGCCGTCTCCACCAGCGGTGGAAGTTGGCGCCGCCGAATTTATGGTGACGTCATCAGGGCCGCCGGGTCAGTTCCGCAGGAGGCCAGCTCCTCAACAAGGCATTGCTTCCACGTAGATGACGGCTCACCGGATCTGGAAGACGTGGAGGGTTAGGGTAATTCCTCTTTTTGCAGGCAAAGCAAAGGTTTATGATTTTATTTAATTTGCATAAATAATCCAGAAATTAACGCTAAATATATTTTTAGTAAAGTTCATTGACTTGACAGCTAAACAACAGACATGAAACGAGAGATGGGATTAGTAGGTCAGATCAATGACAATCTTGACAAATGACCTAATTTGGGTCAAATTGAGGCCATGATGGAGGGGATTATTTTGGTGCGTAAGATAATATCAATAAAAATACGTATAATCTATCATTGACCACAATCTCACTCGCAAGATCAGATGGATCTCCCATTTATTCGAATATTTGAATTCTAACATAAGCTTGAAGCATTGTTTGAACCCATTGTTAATAGGGCCCAATTGAATTACTCATCATGAGACAATCCCCAACATCGCAGCCTCTCTCCCTCCCTCCCCCCTTCTCTCTCTCCCCTCTCTCTCTCTCTCTCTCTCTCCCCTCTCTCTCTCTCTCTCTCTCTCCCTCTCCCTCTCTCTCTTTCTCTCCCTCCCTCCCTCCCTCTCTCTCTCCCTCTCTCTCTCTCTCTCTCTCTCCTCCCTCTCTCTCTCTCTCTCTCTCTCTCTCTCCCTCCCTCCCTCCCTCTCTCTCTCCTCTCTCTCTCTCTCTGTCAATTTCTCTCATATGGGTGCCATATAGAGAGAGTGAGACATGCAAAAGGTGGGATTTGAGCAACCGCAATATCTCATTCTCTAGTATTATCTCATTATTCATATCAATGTTGTTGTTAACTTTTCTCAAATCTTTGTGGAGGAAAAAGGTCTCTACTTTGTATTGATTCCTCAGGGAGGGGGGGTTGAATCGATTTTTAAATTATTTCTACAAGACATTAACCCTTGATTTAATTTTTCTAATCTCAAAATTAGTTAAGATGCTAATTAATGGGTTTATGAGTTCAACAATGAGGGGGCAACTAAAATTGAGATAGAGACAACATTTATAGTGGTTTGACTGATATGGGCCTACTTCTCCTTCCCAATAGATCCTTTGTCAAATAATTCCCCTATTCATTATTTATGAATACAATTGATATTCTAGGATGAACAACATTTTATCATATATTCCTTTAATCTATGACATCCTGCAAGAATTCATGGTTTTAATAGCCATCTTCATATAATATAAGCACATAAGATTTCTTCATTACATCATGAATTAAATAACAATCAACTAAGCTTTAAGGAAGAACCCAATAATTTATGTTGGCTCAAGGAGGCTTGAGTGGAAGGTGATCAATTGTTGAAGAGTGCACTCTAGAACCTTCAATCCTATCTGGATTTGAGAAAGGAACAGATGAGGAAGAGAGGAGGATTTGCACACACCCTTTGCCCAATTTATCTTTGTGATTTCATTGATTTTCTATGCCCTAATTTGGGCAAGAAGCCCTCTTATCTCACCAAACTTAGTGGGCAGGGCTGTCTTGTTTGATGGATCATGGAAATTTGATAACTTCTTCTTTTTAGCCTCAATGGTTAGTTGTGTCTGGGGCCATGTTGAGATCTAGGCTTCAAAAGTACTTTTAGATTGGGCCACACATGGTTGCTTGTTAGGCTGACTATTTTTTGATCTAGATATTGGGCCAAGGTTTTTAATGGGTAGACCTAAGCCTTCATGGCTTATAGGTCTCAAGTTACTAGACCAAATCTATGAACTTAATAAAGCAGAGACTTAGTAGGCCATGTGGGCTCTTCTAAGCTATTTTAGTAAACCCAAGTAAAACTACACCTAGACATTATAAAATCATATAAAATTCAAACTTCAATATTTTTGTCAATTGGATTTAAGAGTTGAATTCATGTATTATTTATCTTCCAAGGTCTAACTTCTCCAATTGATTCCATATTCCAATCTATGTGAATCTACTAAACTATACTTTGCATGATCAATGTCACTTTAATCCATTAGACTCAATGCTTCGAGGTGAAGATGGCTTGGAAAAAATAGAAGGTAATCTTTTCGCATCTTTCTAATTAGGTGCTTCTATTAGCTTCTAGAAGAGAAGACATTTGTTCTCTGAACTTTGAAAAAAAGAGATCTGATAGAAGAAAGGTTATTCATTTGTTTCTCCACGTAAGCTTGTGTCTCTCTTAGTGTGGACCTAGGAGGTTCTTATTTGAACCACACAAACAGTGTGTTACTTTTTGATGTTGTTAATTGGTGATTTGTATTCAGCTTTGACATCATTCTATCTTTTCAATATTATGTACCTTTTGACTGTTCTCAATATTAATAGTGAAATATATTATGTTAGTTCCACTAAACATTGGCATTGGTTATTTGGATGACTACATTTGGTATTTAAGATCCAACTTTTGCTATCTCAAATTTTGTTTCAACATCTTGTTCTAGATCTTTTTGTTTCAACATCTGGTTCCAAACTTTAGTACCTAAGTCGAACTAGTTTTTCTTTTATTAAGTTGGGTTTTGTAAAGATGTTAATGTCAAAATTTGAGGTTGTAAAATTTGATAATAAAATTGATTTCGAACTATGGAAAAAGAGAGTGAAGACAATCTTAATATAATAAAAACTCCACAAAGCTTTTTATAGAAGAGAAAAATAAGAAATATTGAGTGATAAAGATAGATATGAATTAGCACAATATAGTTGTGTTTGACTAATGAAGTGACATAGAAGCTGTTAATAATGAATGGAAGAAACTAGAAATGATATGCATATCAAAGATCCTTGCAGATAATATATATTTAAATAAGTGAATAATTTAATATGTCATAACATATGAATGCTTTTAGCAACTTGATCTAAAAGCTTTGTAGTTTGGAGATGAAGATGGGGTAAGAAAATTATGTTATTTTTTGTTATCTCATCATTACCTACTCCTAACATCATTTGTTGACTACCATTATGTATGATAAAGACACCTTAAAGATGGATGAGATTAATTCTACATTATTATTAAATGATGTTAGGTGTAAAGTTCTCACATGTGGTGGAAATTTAGTTGTTCTAGTTGCAGGTCAAAAAAGAGTATGCCACAAAAATAAAAAATGACTTGAAAATTACTGTTAGAAAAATTAAATAGAAATAAACATAACTACATAAATTAAGTAGATCACTGAAAAGGGCAAAGAGCTAGTTATTGTTACATAAATTAAATGATGTTAGGAGCTAGCTACATAACAAAATAAATTAAATGATACTAACCTAAACTCAAATAAAATCAAAAGGGCAATGAGCTAGCTAAAGAAGCTATTGTTACATTTGGTTTGGAACCACAAGGGAGTGTTTTACTAACCTCCCTAAGTGTGGATTACTCTTTAACTTGGATTTTTGATTTTATGTTTTTTCTATCATATGTCAATTTCGAGATTGATTTGACAAATATAGACCTTATGGTAAAAGTCAAGTAATCATGAAAAATAACATATCATATAGATATGTTATGATGTGAATAGTCAAAATCAAAATGCTTAACTAGATAATTATAAATTTGACAATTTTAAGATAGGCACTAGCATGAGTAAAAATCCATATCTCGAGGTACCCACTTGATGCAAATAGTTGTTATATTAGAGACAAAAATGTTATGAAAACAAAAAATTTCTTTAATTTTTGTAAAACGAGATAAAATAATGTCACTATATAAAATTGTTGGGGACAACTATATCTTGTGATACACCCACTGTGATCTATATGAAAATGAAGGTTCTCCTATATGTTGTGATATGATAGGCTTGACCATATGAGTAAAAAAAAAAAGTTGAATTCATAATAAAAAATTGCTTAAGATTATTACACCTTGAAATTTTTATTTATTTAAATCTTATGTTATTGGAAAAGAATTTCAATCTAAATCTGTTACTTTTTCAAAGAGAATTAAAATTATTATTGAGTATGCACATTTAGATATTTTAAGTATGTCTAATCACTTCATTTGGAGTAGTTAGATATTATGTTAACCTTATCAATGTCCTTTCTAGAAAAATTAAATTTATTTTTTGAAATACAAATTAAGGATGTTTGATACTTTAACTTTGGAAAATTAAAGTTGAGAAATAGATTGATAAATGAATTAAAGTCATGCATTAATAGTGGTGGCAAGTACATGTCAAAAGAGCTTGTAACTTTTCATTTGAAACATTATAATTTATTCTATGAAAAACACAATATAATTTAATAACTTGAAGGACTGACATGATATTTCTTGAGACATTTCACTCTATGAGATTATTTTTAAGACTCTTTATGTAATTTTGGCATGATGTTATTAACATAGTTTATTATTTGGTAAATATATCTCCTTCTATAACATTGGCACTCAGGAGGCTAGAAGAAGTTTGGTATGATAAATCAATATCTTTTTCTAATATACACATATTTAGATGTCTTTTTTACATTTTTTTTGCAGGATAATAAACATATTAGGTTGGATTTTAAGTCAAAATAATTTATTTTATTAGTATATAAAAAGATCTCAAATTTTAGATTATGGAGTCTCATAAATATGAAAACATAGCTTAATAAAATATATTATAGTGGGTAAAGAATAAATGTTGAAGATAGTTCAACATATGACTTTTAGTGAGAATGACATGGTAGCTCAACTAGGATGCAATTGAATGAAGATCAATAAGAAATTGATAAAATAATTCAATAATTTTTTACTTTATAATGAATGGTATATACATCCATATCAAAGTGACACTTACACTATTATCACATCAACTAAGAGGAGAAGTAAATATGACATTAATAATTTTTTATCTTGGTTTGTATATTTTTTTGTTATCTTGTAACGTTTAACAAGACAAGTGAGAGTAAGGACAAGAACAAATGACTGATTGATTTAAAGGAAGTGAAGAAATTTCAAATAATGATATTTGGAAATCAATAATATTTTCAAAGGATTAAAAAGTAATAGATTATAAGAGGGTGTACATGAAGAAAGAAGCTCTATCAATAATAGAATCACTTAAATATGATTCTATATTACTAGCCAAGAGATTTGGGCAAAATAAATGCATCAATATAATGATATTTTCTTAGCAGTGTAAACTGCTGTTTATAGTATTGACGTGGGGTGAAAAAGGAAGTGAAAAAGCACCGAAAAAATTAGGGAACTCCAGCACCGCATGGAGGAAAAAGGAGGCTGTTTTAAGATAGATATTCAACTTAGGAAAATAAAGAAATAGGTAAACCTTTCTCCTTATTTTCATTAGGCGTTTCTAATGGGTTCAAGAAGAGAAGAATGCTCCAAATATTTGGAACAAAGAGATTCGAGATAAATATTCCCCTCTATTTTTTTTATCCGCCATAGCCTCTTTCTCTTTTAGTGTGGACCTGGGAGGTTTTCTCCGAATGACAAAAACAGTGTATCACTTAATATATATTATTATTTGATGATCTGTATTCAACTTTTTCATCACTCGATCTTTGCAATATTGTGTGCTTTTGACCCTTTAAAAATACCCATTCTTAAAAGGGTACTACATCTGCCGTTAGTTCTGCTGTGCATTGACATTTGTTGTCCTCGTGCCGTGCTTTTATTATTTAGATGCCTATATTTGGTCTAGTAAACCTACGATGCTGGTAAGGTCGGGACCCTGGTCGTCCGTCTCCGGTTTGTTTCAACATCTGGTTTCAGAGGTGTTTGTTTGATCATATTCGGTCTAAGAATGGCAGAAATATGTACGAAGCTAAGAGGACCTTCTTAAGATCAGGACTCTCGTTGATCTCTGTCTGAGTATTTGTCAGCCCATCATGCCCATATGATAGGTTTGTCTGATATGTGCCCACTATGCCCATATGATAGGCTTGTCTGATATGTGCCCATCATGCTCATATGATATGCACAGCTCAATCCCATCCTTGGATAAAACCCACCAAGAGCTTCCTGTCCATTAATTCAACAGACGCCCCCGTCCTTGATCAGCCATTTGTTATACATGCCCTTTCACGATTTGTCTGCCTCCACGGAGGCTCATCCGCCGATGCTGCGTTCGGGGATGAACAAAGGCGTGCTATCATTCAATCAGCTACTGCGGGTGATTCGATTTCGCAAAACCGGTTGCATCTTCTGGATTTTATGGGTGATCAGACCCAGAAAATACTTACATGATCTCGCAGAAAACCAGAGACTGATAACGAGAAAAAACACGCTTTGGGTTGTGTTAGTATCGTTCGCAGACGATGGTACGAGGGCAACGCTAAAAATATCAAACATTAACACCCCTTCGGCGCTAAACTTTTGGAGGATTCTCAAAGAAAAACTAAGATGCCCCGGCAGGCATCCTCCTGAACCCTTCTTCCTCCGCATCGTCCTGACATCATGGTCAGAAGCCGGGTTTCCAATCGAGAATCCCCCCACCTTCGAGCCGCTCATCTCAAGTGGACTTCGTGGAAGTCCGAGGTCTCACTATACTGCGCGCTGTGCACACTGTAGTGGCCCTGGTTGGAGGAGCTCCCGGCAGTGCTGCAGGTGCGCGTCGTTTCGGTGCTGTCCTCGTACAATTCCCCGCACACCGACGGCCAGACGAAGGCCGGCCGGACAGGCGGCACCTCCGGCGGGGGAATCGCCCCGGAGATGATCTGCAGCACGGCCTGGATCTTCGGCCGGTCGCTGGCGTTGGGGTGGCTGCAAGCCAGCCCCAGGAGCAGTAGCCTCTGGGCCTCCTCCTTATCATAATCCTCCCCCAGCCGCGGGTCTACTGCGGCAAGTACTTTCCCCTCCCCGTGCAGACTCCATACCCATTCGGAGAGGAACCGGAACCTGCCGATGTCGCAGCGTGGCCGCCGCCCGCAGATGACCTCCAGCACCACCGCGCCGAAGCCGAAGACGTCGGACTCGCGGGTGGCCTTGCCGGTGTGGAAGCACTCGGGGGCGATGTAACCCATCGTGCCGGGGATGCCGTCGACCTCGATATCGGCGTAGGAGGTGCGCTCGTTCTCGATGGCCCGTGCGAGGCCGAAGTCACCGAGCCGCGCGTTGAACTCCGCGTCCAGCAGCACATTGCTGGCCTTTAGGTCCCGGTGCACCACCTTCTGGTCGTACTCGTTGTGGAGGTAATGGAGGGCGGAGGCCACGCCGGCGAGGATCCGCTGGCGGCGCTGCCACGGCAAGTGCTCCCCCGGCGGCGCGTCGAAGAGGTGCTGGTCGAGGCTTCCGTTCGGCATGAAGTCGTAGACCAGCAGGAGCTTCCCGTTCTTGTGGCACCATCCTGTAGGCACGCACCAAGTGGTCCGTCAGTCAAGATACGGCAGAACTCGAAAGTCAAAGCTAGACTTCTCCACACTCCTCAGGGACCCACGAAAGTGCGACGTAGCAACAGCTACGAGCGGATAACTACCACTTCGACATCCTTCCATAATTAAATATCAGATAAATTAGTAATAGATGGCGCGTCGATCCATACTTTTTTAAAGCAGCTAACTTATAGAGAGAAAAAGTGCATATTTTAGGTGCACTTTAGTTTGCTCTGGTATCGCCAAGAGAGAGAGGGAGAGAGGGAGGGAGAGAGAGAGAGAGAGATGACGACCGGTTCAAATCCGATATTTATCGAGGAAAATACACGAAATAGTAATTTTAAAATAGAAAGAGGAGGAGAGGGGCTAGCAGCTCTCACCGACGAGGCGAACGAGATGCTTGTGGCGGAGCCGGTTGATGATGGTGAGCTCGGCGAGGAAATCCCCCTGCATGGTCGCGCGTAAGAACGTCTTCACCGCCACGGCGGCGTTCTCGCCGGGGATGACCCCCTTGTAAACGACGCCAAAGCCGCCCTGGCCCAGCCGGTTCCTGCTGTCGAAGTTGCCGGTGGCCCTCTTCAGCTCCTTGTACTTGAACTCCCTCGGCGTCCCCGGAAGCGATCTCAGCGTCCCCACCAACCGCTCGTCGTACACAACCCGCCTCCGGTAAAGCCAAAAGCCCAACACCACTGTCGCCAACAGGAACACCGCCAAGATCGGGACTCCAATTTTCAGAAACCAGCTCAACGCGCTGGTAGTGCTCTCCTCCGGCAGGATTTCCACCGTGAGATTCCAGGCGAGGACGCAGTTGAGCTCGAAGCGCGTCCCGGTGGATCCGGCGAATCCAAAGTAGGATTTCTGGGCGAGGTGGGCGCTGAGGTCGATGGTCGCGTTGAGCAGCGGCGTCGATGGCTTGGGGCTGGAGATATAGGCGAGGTAAACATCGATGCGGCGGAGCGGTCCGCTGTAGTCTATCCAAGCCCGATACTTGACGCCCTCCGTCTGCAAGGGGGAGAGGATCATGTTGAAGTCGGAGAGCGAGCGGGTGACGATAGAGCGAACGCTGTTGATGTCGAGGCCGACGTGGTTGGCGTCAGGGTCGTAGGACTGCTTAAAGGTATCGAATTCCACCGCAACGAGCTGATTGGAGGTGTCGCCGTCCGTGGAGGCGTTGGTGAGCCCGAGGTACTCCCCATAGCTGTTGTCTGGGATCGTATCACCGTCGTTTACGATGACGAAGGCCAGCCCCTCGCCGACTGTCTGGTTGCGCACCGGGTAGATGTTGAAGTCGAAGGAGGTGTTAAAGGAGATGACATTCCTTAGCGAGGCGCTGGTACCGTTGCCAGCGGCGCTGCCGGAGGAGTTGGAGGAATCCGGGCGGTCATCCCAGATTTTGAAGGCCTTATTGTAGATGATTCGGCCGGAATTGTTGATGAAGTAGGAGTTCGTGTTGCTGGTGTCTTTCGTGAGCTGGAGGGCGTCGTTGTTGATCATAGCATCTCCACGGATGTTGAAGTAGCTTGGGGAGCTCTCGTTGAACGGATTTCCCAAGGATATGCTGTGTCGGGTGTCTTCCGCCGCCGCGATTGAGAACAGGCAGATGAGAAAGAGGAGAGGAAGAAGAAGATGGGCGGTGGTGGTGGCGGCGGCCGGAGCCCTCATCATCTCTGGTAAGCTGGGAAAGGGAGGGGGGGGGGGATCGTTGAACAAGAAGAGGGGAGGCCTTCTTGGGGGAGATGGGCAGTACTTAAAGACCAGCCAGGTGGTGCTGCTGGGATGCTTCCTTTTCTCTAATATATTATTGAATATTTTATATCTCGACTTTATAAAAATGAGGTATCCAATAAAATGTACTACCGAAGATTGACCACGGTTAAACAAATATTAGGTGATCGACACGTCGTGACCAGGCAGTTCCGTTCACGGAAGCCTCCTCTTCTGTAAATATGACAACGTTGATTCGAAAGTCAAAATTGCGACCCCCTTCTAATCGGTGGAGTTTTCGCTTATGCTGAAATCGTTGGGTTTGGAGAGTTATCTCCGCGATTCATCGATGAATCGACCGGCATGCTCACGAACCGGGTCAGGCCAGGTCGGACTCCCTCCTACACTTAGACACCGTATTACGGCTAAAAACAGTTGACTACCTTAATGATGGCAGCCATGGACGACTCAAGAGAGAAAAACCCAGTCAACAAAATAATAGTCTGCCTTCAAATGAGCTGTACGCGCTGCGGTTGGAAAGGCCCCAGGGGTTTGGTGCATTTTAGTGGAGAACCCAGCGTAGGAAGAGAGAGAGAGAGAGAGAGAGAGAGAGAGAGTGGGCTAACAACGACCTGTCAAAGCTCTTTACAGGCCGTCATAGGCGAGCTTCTTCCTGAAGAACGCATCTAAGAAAAATGGCTGACCACGTCGGTCGGGATTGAGGCCATGCTGGGTCTGTTTTCAACCGCCCCACCCGGGTTCTGGAGAAAGACCCCTAAAAGAATGGACTCTGGGTGAGGCCCCTACGAGCGGGGAACATTGGCCTGGTCCAGCCCTCCACAGGCACCCCGTAGCGAGAAAGAGAGAGAGAGAGAGAGAGAGAGAGGGAGAGAGAGAGAGAGAGAGATGCGGTCATTCTAGCTGACTGAGTCGTTTTGAAACCCAGACCAGGTCCTGGATGGGATCAGATCAGACTCATTTTTCATCTCGGGTTTGATTTTTCGAGGTCAATCCGGGAAAAAAAAATTCTGGTCAGGGGATTACCCCTTTGCGTAGCTTTCATTTTCCGACGTTTACAGATGAATGTGGTCCAACCTTATCTAGCAGACCTTTGAGAGAAAGCTATTTCAAGTTGTTATGTCCATTAAATTTGGATATTATAAATATATTTGAGATATTTTCAGGGTTCGAAAATCAAAAAGCCTATTCAAACAGCTGATAGCAAAATAAAAGGCAATAAATTTGGACATCCTTTAAGTGATGTCTCCCTCGAAACGTGGACTATTTTGAATACATTCTTATGCTTTCTTGATCAGATATTACGACGGAGACTTCCAAAGGGTGAGGAATCCGTCTCCTTGTCTTTTGATGGATAACAGGAAGAGCTAAACTGAGTTAACCTTAAATTCTGCTCTCAGAAATGAATAAGAAGCTCCAAAATACCCTCCTCTTTCTCTCTCTCTCTCTCTCTCTCTCTCTCTCTCTCTCTCTCTATCTATCTATCTATCTATCTATCTATCTATCTATCTATCTATCCTTTTGAATCACCAGGACATAAAATTCAACCATTTGCACTCAATATTTGAAAGTAGATCGATAGAAAAATTTGGAATTTCTTAGCACTCTCCCTCTCCAGACAAGGGTAGATAAGATTTGGCAAGACCCAGGCCGCGCCGCGTCCTCCCGTTGATCAGATTAACAGGACGATAAGTCGGAGCTTTCGAAAGAGTGGCTCGGTAACTCAAAATAATTTTCTTTAAAGGGTATCCACCGGGGAATTCTTTTTCTCAATCAAATTATCCGGCTATATATTCACATACCGGGTAAGTTAACCCAGAGAAATTCCGTGGGTAGATGCGAATCTGGTTTATTCCGCTGGTTAATGTTTTCCGTGGTATTCGGAGGGGAAGGTCAACGGGTTGCAATAAGGAGGGCCGGGGACCAGCGAAGCTGACTGCTTGGAACCTTCCTCAATCCTCTCGCCTTCATGGCGGAAAGAAAGATGCATACAATCTTGATAAGGCTCAAGGAATTGCAAATAATACATCTATTAAACTATAATTTTCTGTTTTTTATCCGGCCCGTTGGTCGTAATGGAAAATAAACAAATGCCCTGGTAACCGGGATTAGATGTTTCCATCTCTGCATATGTTCGTTTTAGGTGGGTCCCGTCTTGACAGCGCAGACAACGATATAGTGTCTCTCTCTCTCTCTCTCTCTATCTCGCTCTAGCGGCTTGAGCGTGACCGGTTGATAGAATAGCTGATATTCAGGTATCATCTACATCAAAGAGTGAGTCGACTATTTCCCCCTTGTATTTTGCGGGGACTTGACCAAGGACGAGACGAGGATCTCTCAGCCTGAGGATCGGCAGTTGCTATGAAACTGCATTCCCCGGAACCCTGCAATGTTCAGACGTCAAACTCTGACGACCGATAACACAGCCCAATTCTATCGTTTCATCAGCGAGTAAGAGTGATATATATATCCACAACGACCTTTATACCATTCTGACGAACCCTAATCTCATCTCTTTTCGAGTTAATGCTGTCAGCCTATCCTAATCTTCCCGGTAGGAGCTGTCACTGAAGGAGGAGCCTTCTTGGAACCCTACAGACACCGGGAGGAGAGAGCCCGTTGACACAGGCCGGTGACGACCGCCGTGCAAACAATCGCGTAACGTGCTCTCTACGGCGTTCTAGCGAGGCTCATCGCTGAAGTACGCAGATGTCAACCTGTTCTCATATCATATATTTTATAGCAAGCTGCTTTGAGATTTCCGGAATAAGTCCGTCGGCGCAAGAAGCTGCCTAGGCCGGACGTCCACTCGGAGTGGTCAAGAATCCAGTATCTCGTTCAAGTGCCAGAGCCATTCGGAGCCGAGTTCCCCCGATTAGGGTTTGTTTAATTTTTTGGATTTTGTGGGCGGTTCAGTTGGCGTTCACGTTCCAGGTCAGCCGTCGTGGTCCTTCCTCTATTCTTCCTTCCCGGGCTTTGATCCAGACCCTCGCGAGGAAGTCAGCCTCTCACGAGAGTTCTTGATCACCTTCATATGCGTCCGGGGGCAGAGATGAGACCCATTGCACCGGCGACTCATCCTTCTCTCTAATTCCCAAGTGGGTACTGAGAACAGAGTGATGGTGCTGTTTTCTCTATTTAATACTTGATGTGCTTTAAAGAAAATTGGTGATTCGACTCATGATATTGATTGCAACCTCCACAACGACTATGATGGACGGAGAAATATGGCATCTTTGACAGGAACATCTCTGTTAATCGCATTCAACAAGCGATAATAGCTTTTTGAAAGGAAGATATAGAATCAAATATAGGAACATGGGTAGACCTTATCGAATCTATTATTTTGGCTTACAATCTTCTATAACCAGCTCCCGGATCAGAGATAATCCTGCGAAATGAGCTGGGCAACAGACCCTTCTGAAACGCAGGGTCAATTAATTTGAACCTATGAATTGAGGGGTCATAGCCAACTACTGTGACATTAGACAGCCCAATAGGTATAAAGTAGTGGCCAAGGTGGCTGGACTACCGTAGGATTAAGGGTTGCAACGGGTGATCTCTATGAAACCAAACTAGTAGTTATAGAGATTTGCATACTTTGCTTGAGAAAACTAATCTATTTTGTGCTGGATGAATTAATGGTCTGTATAAATGTATGTAGGCTATTATAAAACTAAGGGTCGCAACTATCAGAGTGTGTATGGAATGATCTCTCATCGCTTTGTATTCAAGTAAACCAGAGATTATCGAAATCGGCAAACCCATCTCGTTGTCAACTGGTTTTGAGTTAGATCACCTAGCCATTTTTAATAAGCTTCTTGTCAAGCTAGGGATATTACCACATGAGTGGGTGGGTCCTAGTGAAGGGGATGGGGGGGGTGTGCTTACAGTGATCCCCCATGGGTTAATCTTTTGTCATTCGGTTTTAGATGACCCAATAATCTTAACCAAGGTACTTTTCAAGGAGGAGAGTTTCCAATATCTTGAGAGCCTCTACCAACAATATACGTTGTTGGTAATCTTGCATTTGATGCTTTATTAAGTAAAGTAATGTTTACAAAGATGGGCATAAGTCACTCATTCTTAGTCGATTTTTCCGTTAATTGACCCAATAATGTCAGCAAAGTCTCCCACCGAGGTAGGGAGATTGCCCCCAGATCAAGCATCCTAAATCAAGGGGGGCGGAATTGAAGAGGAAGGAGAGTGCAAGGGGGTCACTGACGTCAGGGTGCTGACCACATAGCGTAACAAAGGAGGAAAATTAAAATCCATGGGGATGGGTTGGGCCATCTGACACCGGAGTAGAGGGCACTAGGGGGAAGGAGAGATAATGAAGGGGGAGCTGGTCAAACAAGAGGGCGATCGCTGACCAAAGAGCACGAAGGAAGATCACGAGGGATATAGTGTTCAAAACCTGGGCCCGGGCTGTTGGCATGAAAGATATTCTACTAGGTCATGGGGCAAGTAGACCATGGTTTGGCGTTCATAGTCGTGAAAATTTTGTTCTTCTCTGACGCATAAATAATTAGATAAAATAAAATAAATGATTGAACGTAGAACCATGCCAATGATATGGGATAAAAGATTTATATGCAGGTTTCTTGTCTCCACTAAGAACAAGGGAAGCCACGACAAACAGCAGCTATTTCGTTGATTGATTTCTCTGCGTCGGTAACCTCTCTCTCTCTCTCTCTCTCTCTCTCTCTCTCGCTCGGCTTATCAATAATGCTGGAGGGGACTTTCAAAGACGGGTCTCTTGTCGGAGTAGAAAAGGCTAAGACGGAGCTACCGGCTTGAGCAGATTTGAATATTCCTCATAGATACCATTTTCTCTCTCCTAAATAGGGACCCATTGGTAGGCTAATCTCCCATTCAGATTCAGTGAATAGTCCCCTCAGATCGTCAAACGCATTACCTCACGGTGGCCCTTCGCTGGTTCACCCTAAATGTCTTATTTTATATAGATATATTTATTCAGTATTTTCATGGGATTGACGGAAGGCATCTTAACCTCAGGCGTCCTGGCCGCCATGATGCAGATGTGGGCTTCTAACGCCAAAGTGCGTGGATCAGCCCAATAAGATTATTTGGGTCGTATTTAACATGGCCCAATTATAATTACTTGGTCGCCCAGCCCAGCTCCTGCTCCTCCGCACTCCTATTGATTGAATTTCCCAAAAAGTATATTAATAAATTAATTTAAAAAACTCCACGTGAGTAATTTAGGGGATTTATGATTTACCCATTTAACCGTTGGGATGAAGAGTGGGCTTATATTTTCTAGCCAATTATCTGATTAAACGGTGTACATTCTAGAAGGTTAGAGGAATATTCTTAAAACTGTAAGAGGATTTTGGCGAGCCTGAGCTATGATCTCTCTGGAAACTTCTCTGTTCTTGGGCTTATACTTTTTGGGCTTTTCTCTGGGCCTGGATTTGACTTGGCCCGTTAAGTTACAGAGCCGGGTGGCGGCATTGCTAAGCCCAACCGGAACCTGAAAATCATTGTCGAGGTCCTAGGGAAATCCCAAGGAAATAAGAAATCCATGAGAGGGAGAGGGGGGAGAGAGAGAGAGAGAGAGAGAGAGAGAGAGAGAGGGATGTGTTCCAAACTGGATAATGGGTTTAAGTTCAATTGTAGTGAGAGAGATGGGCAGGGACTGGAGGGGAGGTGTCATATGCTATTTTTTACAAGTTTATAGTTGCATTCTTGGTACAACGTGGGTAAAATGGGATTTTCAGTTGAATTCTAGAGGGAGAGAGAGGGGGGAGGTGCCATCTCATATGCTAAGGTTTTAAGTTGAATTTTTGGTACAAACGGGATAATGGATTGAAGTCAATTTGCCGTGAGAGAGATAGACAGAGACTGGAGAGGAATGGGAGAGAGATGTCATATGATATGTTTAACTAGGTTTTAGTTGAACTCTTCGTACAAAGTAGGTAAAATGGTTTTTTCAGCTGAATTCTAGAGAGAGAGAGAGGGGGGGAGGTCTCATCTCATATGCTTATAGTAATGTTTAAAGTTCAATTCTTGGTACAAACGGCGTAATGGGTTTAAGTTAACTTGTAGTGAGAGTGATGGACATGGACTGGAGAGGGATGGGAAGGAGATGTCATATGATATGTTTAACAAGGTGGGTAAAATGGATTTTTCAGTTGATTTCTAGAGAGAGGGAGAGAGAGAGAGAGAGAGAGAGAGAGAGAGAGAGAGAGAGAGAGAGAGAGAGAGAGAGGGGGGAGGTGTCATCTCATATGCTTACTAAGGTTTTAAATTCAATTCTTGGTACAATCGGGGTAATGAATTTAAGTTAACTTGTAAGCGAGAGAGATGGACAGGGACTGGAGAGAGATGGGAAGGAGATGTCACATGATATGTTTAACAAGGTGGGTAAAATGGATTTTTCAGTTGAATTCTAGCTAGAGAGAGAGAGAGAGAGAGAGAGAGAGAGGAGGGGGGAGGTCTCATCTCATATGCTTAGTAAGGTTTCAAATTCAATTCCTGGTACAAACGGGGTAATGTGTTTTGTAGTGCGAGAGATGGACAGAGACTGGAGAGGGATGAGAGGGAGTTGCCATATGATATGTTTAACTGGGTTTTAGTTGAACTCTTGGTACAAGTTGGGTAAAATGGTTTTTTCAGTTGAATTCTAGAGAGAGAGAGAGAGAGAGAGAGATAGAGCCTGTGGCAAGAAAAATGAGGTCTAAGCATCCGGGTCAAAGCGTGTCGACGTCGAAACCAAGACCAAACGGAGGCTGAGCTCACATACAGCCAACTCGATACAAAGAATAAAAATAAATCAGCTCTCGAGAACGATAATGAAAAGTAACGTAAGCTAATGCAATTATAAGTTTGCTTTCTCCATATTTTCACTTTTTCCCTTTCTTGACTATACACGGTAGCGGCTATCCGGCCTCTGAGCTGAAAGCAGGAAGAAGAAGAAGAAGAAGAGGAAGAAGACGACAATAAATAGAGCGAGAAGAGAGAGAAATAAACAAACCCAAAAAAAAAAAAAGAAATTCAAAAGGGGAGAAGGAGACTCCAGAGAAGCTTCATCTGAAACCAGAGAAGAGGTCTAGCGACAGCAAACCCTCTTCTTCCCCGGGAGAGCTGACCCAGAAGAGTTCCTCCAACTGGGCAGAAGAGAATGACCTCTCTCGTATAGAAGAAAGATAGCTCAGGATCGCCGACTTCAGCACTGCTCCCTGAAAACTCGATACTCAAACCTTTGACTTTGGGGGGCAATTAGCTAAGCAATCTAGAGCAATCCACATAGTTCTTCATCACTTGCCATTAATAGAATCCGCCGCTAGCTTTGTCCGAGCTCGACAAGTCAAAGATTGGCGGCGGGAGTCAATGATCAGGATAAGGCACAGCGTCACAGTGAGAGAGGATTGCCTCTGCTGCTCTGATCTCTGGCACAGCAAACTGGAAATTAGCAACTTATACAGCTCATCACTGAAAGGCGTAGAATCTGCCTGCTTGTTCGAGTTGACTTTCCCCACAAGTTTTCAAGGGTTCTGCTGGACTAGCTTGGCCCAAACTCCAGATTCTCCCACCTGAAAGGAGAGACACATCCAAACACCGGGGATCCCCTGAGGAAGACACAGACGCAGACACAGACTGCCGCAATGGCGAGAATGGAATGGATGTAGGGGAGCCGGAAGCCAGTTGTCTGCTGGGTTGACTTTATCCTTCGGATCTCCAAGATCGAACACTGGGAGTAGATCATCTGCAAGGACCAAGGGTTGGGCGTCACAGTTTCACTGGATGATGCTGGTTTTCCAGGGGTGATCTCTTCGGGATCGACAGTTATGGAAAATTGGCCATTTCTCCGGTCTGCAATCTTCCTGGTGACGAGCTTATTGTATGAATGGTTGTTCCTCATCAAGGCATATGAATGTGGAGATTGCTCATCATCATCAACGGAAGAACTCCAGCAGTTCAACCCAATCTGTGACGATTCCATTGAAAATATTAGACGGGACGAAGAAAATTATGAGTTTTTGAGAGAGAAACGAATTTAAATTGAACCACAGACAAAGCAAAAGAAACTCTGAGAAGAACAGAGGATTTTGCCGGATGCAAGATATGGGGAGATGTGCTGTGAGAAAGTGAAAATCCTAGAGAGAGAAAACCAAATACCAAACGACTCAGGAATAGGCATTACCTCTTGTGGATCATCAGTAAGCCCATCAATGATGTCCTCTGAATCTTCCATAGATGCAGCTAAATGGAGGGGGGTGACACCTCCGGGACCCACCATGTTAGGAGGGAAAAGATAGAATTTGGAAGCACCCATCTCATCGCTCACAGAGTAATGTAAGAGTAAATCGACCATTTTACGGCACTTTCTCTTCACTGCTCTGTGCAAGAGCTGGATTTCCGACAGCGTCTCCAGAGATTCCTGAACAAGCTCCGGCTTTCTGACTCTCTCCTCGACAAAAATGTCTAGGAGTTTCTTGACTAAAGTTGACCAGTCACGTTCAACAGAAAATATAAACAGGAACTTGAATCTTGAGTTTGAAAAACTCGAGGAGAGAGAGCTGGATGAGATGGACTTTCTCTGGAACAGCCACCCGAGTTCGTTGAGAAAATGAAGAACAAGTTCCCTTGATCTGGACTGCATACAATCAGGACCCATATCCCTTTGCATCAGCTCGGAGGTTCTAAGGTCATCCTCAAGCTCTGGCTCAAGAAGTCTAAGTTCTTGACAGATCTTGTCGTCTGCAACTATAACTGGAAAACTGTTCCCCTTGAAAGCATTCTCTACCTTAAATATCAAAGATGGAGCAATTAAAATGATATCCTATCTATATATCATCAAGAACATAATCAGTCTAAGACGGGAATGGGATGGCAGCTGACCTCTAAAAAGCAACGGCCAAAGACATTTGGAGCTCCACCAGGGAAAGTGAAGGTCTCAACACTAGAATCTTCATAAAAAGTGCCAGGGTAAGATGAATCTGGCACCTCCTTGGAAGTGTAGTTTCCCATGAACGTACAGTGAAGTCTGCATCGCACGGAGATTGGCCATAAGAAATCCACAATTAATGGCGACGAATCATCGGAGAGAAGTGTCCAGCTACTCACTTAGTTCCGGGAACAGTCAGATTTCGACCTCTCAAAACAAGGGAGGTTTCTTTTCCGCTCACAACTGCCAGTGGAGAGATGGAGATTATCTCCGGAGCTCTCCATGTTCTCCAAGATTTGCACAAATGGATTTTCCCTGAAATGAGCAAAACAGCATTTACCTTTGGGTTTCGGCTAGTTATATCTCATCTAATATTCCAATCATCAGAAGGGGGCAATAAAAATGGAAAAAATCTCCTTTTAAGGTGGCCATCATGTGGCATGGCCAAATAGAGAGTTTAAATTAACAGAGATTGATGAAAATAATAAAAATGACAAACATGTTGAGGCATTCAGGATATACCATCCTTATGAGAGACGAGTTGTTTAGCCGTATGAACCATAAATCTTGCGTTTCTCCAGAAATTTGAATCGGTACAATGAATGAGAAAATTGACTCGCTGAACAAGGTCTTCTTCGAGCTGCAACACAGGAAATTTTCAAGGGAATCAGGAAAAGCAAAAATTAGAAGCATGTCATCTAAATTAGAAGAAAAACAGAGATGGATCCCTGAACAATATTCACAAAAATTGCTCACTTTGGCCCATGCAAGAGATGACATTGATAGATAAATTGATAACACCACACATCCTGGTCGAATGTAGCTCTCCATGTCTGATGGACTGTGGGAAAGCCAGGATAATATCTGAGACAAAGAGCCCACGGTAAATCAAATTGCTTGAACTGTTCTCTGAGGGGGTAGCATTCTATTCTTCCTTAAATGACAACAAGAAAAGAAAACACTTTCCCTCACCTGTGTGCGAAGGGTTCCTGGGAAGCTGCTAGGATCTTTGCCAAAAAGCTTAATGATAATTCGTCCAGTGCGGTCCTGCAAACAAAATGTCCTTTAGGTACAAACAAATAAAGAAAATAAGGGTATAAGACAATCCTTGAGGAACTGAAAATTACCTGATTGTCAGAATCAGAACTAGATGGCGAGTGATCAGAACCAGAAGAAGATGTGTAATCAGACCGATATTGAAGGTTTGAAATAGTACTGTTTACAACTATTCTCTCAGAAGTTCTAGAAAGCTCTAAAAGTGAACTTTTCCCACTGCCAGTCTGCATCACACCGTTGCCATCCCTTGAGATAGCTATGCATTCTGGTTTCAAGGCTTCAACCTCTGACTGCAGAGGAAACAATCTCTGCAACATGGGAGAGGACAAAGGAGATCTGTCATCTGTGGGGCTGCTATTCTCAGTGGATTGATCTTTACTGGAAGAACTCGTCTTAGGAGGACTGGCACCCTCGGAGGCACTAAAAAGCTGTAACTGCAAACCAGGAGTATTTTCCTCAACTGAATGTTCTGATATTTCTGGAGATGACGGAAGAGTAACACTTTGGACAAAAAATGGAGGAAATGATGACGATTTAGTCTGTGAATCCATGTCTGTAACAGGCTCCTGAAAGTTCACTTTTCTTTTACAATCGTCACTACTCTCGCTGCTCTCACCAGACAAGGGAGCAACCGCAGGACACCCATGAGCTCTTGATGCAGAAGAAAGAGCAGCCAATAAATCCATGGTTGGCGGTGCAGAAGACTTTCCGTATGCTTTGGCGGGCTCCTCCAAAGAGAATTGAGAGGTCTGTGAAACATTGAGATCAAGGGTACCACATGCAGGCAGTTTGGCTGAGGAATTTAAGTCAGGCAACGATTCAATATCACCGAGGGCTTGTATGATTCTATCCTTATTTGGTAAAGAACTGCTGCCAGCCTTGTCCGCTCCATGATCTGCCAACGAGGACCCAACAATTAATGGCAATAGAACTCAAAAGGAGCATATGAGCCGGAGATGAATGATTGAGGAGGGCATCTCACCTTGGAGACGGGTCAAAATGGTTAACAGATCCACAATATTCAAATTCCCACCTCCATAGCTCCCTTGAATAGCAGGATACACGAGTGGAGAGGAAATGTCCTTGGGTTGTGTCTTCCTTCTTCGCCGATTATGTCCTGCCAATCTCCGCCTACAGCTTCTTTTCCCCTCATCAAACTCCCCCAGCGAGTGGAATCTGAAGGAATTCAGGTCACAGATATATCCAAAAGCATTTAGACGTAGACTCTATCATTCCATTGAAGTTCGAGCACAGAGTATGCACAATCGATAATATCCCACGGAAAAGAATAAAGTGAATGTATCAATATTGCACAGATTTTTTTTGCAGGATGACGGCCTCTTGAGAAAAAACTGGAAAGGGGTTGCGGAGAAATAGCGCTGACCTGCTACACTGCTGACAGAACCTTTGCATCTGACTCCCTACCATGGCCTTGGTGGTCTTGCTATGGATCTCGCAGACCTTATGCCTCCTGTGGTAATCTTTAGCGCTCGACAGATCTGCTTTGCAGTCATCGACCTGGCACATGGGGTAGTTGCCACCGTTGCCTGGAGATCCAGAGCGGACACGTTTGCCTGATCTCCCCCCTGCTTCTTCTACTGGGTGAGAACCTCCACCGAGCTTCAAGGTGAGGCTCTCGCCCGCCACTTCTGAGACCTTGGCCAAACCTAGGCTCGTCAAGCTTTCCTCCCTTGTCCCCTTCTCCTCCCTCTCTGCCACTGGTGAAGGGGTTCCAAGGAGAGCCCCACCAGAGACACTGGAAGCAGGCCTGGCGACGAATCTTGCGCTGTCCCAGTCCCACGACTTTGGGTTCCAATTACCAGGGGTATTTGGGTAGGCAGAGCCGATCATTCGCTGCTGGTTCTTCTGTTGGTGATGATTGTAGAGGAAATTGCCGCCCTGCCATGTCAAGTCCCTCTTCCTGGCCAAGGAATTCACCTCATGGAATCCCCCAGAAAGTCCCTGGTGGATAAAAATGGGAGAGGAGACCTGCGCGCCCACATCACTTTCCATGTCTCTATTCAGAACCCCAATTTAATTCAGCCCAACTCCTCACACCTTCAATCCGCCGCCGATTTCTATCCACCGAAATGGCAAAGGACCAGTATCTCCGCGTAGGAGCGCCGCAAATGAAACGGAGATTCCATCTTGTTAGTTCCTCCCCTGTCACGACAAGATCAAAACCATCAAGTCAACGAAGAAACCTAATTTCGAGCAGAAACTTGGCCGAGAAGCCACATAAAATCTTTCGTCAGAAGAAACGGTTCCACTTACCTAGGCCGAGAACATGAAATTTCTCCTTCCCTGGGACTTCAATTCGACGACTTCAACCCAAATCAATCAATAAAATACCAAACGGACGGAAACCGGACCAATCAGTAGCTTCCTGCAAGAGCCAACCCCGCGCGCCAGAATTTTTCTACGAAGAACCAACGAGAACAGCCGCCGGAAAACGCCCCACGCCGCTGTCGCCGCCGAACTCGCTCCGATTCCAACCCGAATCAACAGGAAACGTGAGACCACGGCCCAATTCCTCGGGACTAGAGGAGATCCACGAGATCAAGACCTCTTCTTCAACTTGCAGGAGAAACAACGATAGAAGGAAAGGCAGCGGTCCTCTCCGCTGCCGCTCTCCCTTCTCCTGATCCCCACCTCCTTTACAGACGATGGCAGAGCCAGTAATTCCGCCTAAACGCTGAGCCCTTTCGACTTCACCAAACGCCGCCCCTACAGAAATCCCAGAGATCGGGGAGTGATCCTGCCATGAACCCCTACCAATCCCCTCCTCTTCCCCTGTCACCCCTCCGCTGAGAGGAAAAGCCCCCTCCTTCCTCCTCCCTCTCTCTCTCTCTCTCCTAAAACAGAAGCGTGTTAGAGAGACAAGAGAGGGGAAGAGAGAGAGGGAGTTCCCCTTCCCATTGGTAAAGACCCGCCTACGTTGGGTGAAATTGATAATGACCAAAATACCCGGGGTCTAAATCCCACTATCGACGGTTGTGGTTAGGCCCCCAATCTTCATCGGACGGACATCCAAGCGAAGAGTGATGGGACGACCCTGCAGCTGCGGCCCACCAACTCCCGACACGTGTGGGGTTCCCCTACTCTTTCATTATTTAATGAACAATTTGGCAATACCTCAGGAAGCGTACCAACATACGTTTGAGGCGATACGTACCCGAACCGCCGCTGAACATGCTCTGCCCTTTTCTGCGCGGCGTGAGCCAACGCGGTGCGACGGTCGACGACTCCACGCAAGCGATGAGTGGAGTGCGGTCGCTGTCAGTCCGGGCCCACTCTTACGAATGGTACGACAAGCGCGGCGTATTTGGCGAAGACACGTGGCTGTGGGATCACAAAACCACCGTTGACAATGCTTTAATGGTACAAATGGTTCGCGGACCAAGTCGAACGGCAGGATCTGAAATCTCGGCCGTTCGATCTTGCCGTACCGTACGTCCCACTTGTTTATCGGATAGCATAACAGTATCGGATTAGGAAAACCGGCTTTGGCCTTCCCGCTTAGGGTATTATCATAATTCATTGTAATTCCCGGGTTTTACCAAAATAAAAAATAAAAAATATAACATTAGGCTTACCGTCCAACTCTCTTAGGCAGTTTGACTTTTGCACTTTAAAAAAAATTATAATGTTTCTAAATAATTGAAATAAAATATAGGTTCGTTCTGTGGATGACGTCTAGCTATATATATATCAGCATTTTATCGGAAAATAAGATCCATTTTTCGTCTTTGACCGCGACGGAGACACGTGGCCCATGACAGCTGGTCTCCCCGAGGAAGGAGGCTCGCCGCCGCCGCCGCCGCCGCCGCCGCCGCCGCCGTCGTGTCGAATCGTCTCGCTGGGGTCGAGTAATTCTCCACGGAATATTAAATTTTACGATGTAAAAAATAGTTTGAATAATATTTTAATAATAAATAATAATAAACGTAAATTTATCGCAAAACTGGGGCCGGGAGCAACTTATTTCTTAAAAATTAACCCAGTTGGGTAAAATCCGAGCGCGTGGGGCCCAATCTCACCGACAGCTCGCCATTTAAATATTCAGTTTTATTAAAAAAATAAATTGCTATTTTTGGTCCACCGCATGACGCACGTGCTGATGAGGACTCTGAGCGAGACCCTTTTCCCCCGTGTGTACGACGATTTGCGGTCTTCTCAGCAAAAAGCCCGGGAGAAGTCGCGTACGGCCCGGGGCCAGCTGGAGGGGGGAAGGGCTGGCACGTAGTAACCCGGGGCCCACCTGCTTTTCGGATTCTAGCTATTGGATCCTTTTATGGTGTAGATTTTACGTGCTGACAATGTGCCGCATAATATTATATTAATAGGCGATTTTATTATCCGTCACGTCCACGAAGATACGATCGGACGATTATTTTAATAATTTTTTTCCGAAAGTGGGGGATTAATAATTCCGAATAAATGAAGGGTATTATCGGAATAAATTATGTAGGACCTTATGGAAACCCCATCCGGGCCTCATTCTCTTAATGGGCCTCACTATTAAGCCCACCTTCGCATACCGGCCCAACTGGGCTTGGCCGAAAAATGGAATCTCCGATCTAGAGAGAGAAACAGCAACACCTGATCCAGAGAGAGAGAGAGAGAGGAGCAACCACCTCTTTGCCCAAAGAATATGACCGTTTGAAAGATTCAAATACACATTTTCTCTGCAACTTTCTTCCTCCCCATGAATTCTGCCAGATTTTCAGAGGGAAGAAGAAGCAACACTGACAATGAGAGGGCTCCTCACCTCTGCATCAGCGGATCTCCATGAGAGAGATCCAAAGGAATAGCCCTCCGCCGGAGGGCGGGCAGCCACACTGAAGCTCACAGTGAAGCTGATCCTCTGACCATAGCTGGTGAAGACCAGCGCCGTCGGCACCACTGTGACGCTAATGCCCGGCGGCGGGGAGACAACCGATCGGTAGATGCTCCTGGGGCTCCCCACATTGGTCACGGTGCGGATGATGGAGGCGCCGCCTTTGATGTCAATTGCTGCAATGGCGGGATAATTCAGGTTATGGGCTGGTGGGGATGGCTGGGGGCAGGGCCTAACATTGCCGGTGACCAGGTGGCGGGTCTTGTTGTCGTAGCCGACGGCACAGAGGAAATCCTCAAAGTCCTTGGCCCCGGCATCATAGACGAGGCCCGGATTCAGGACTCTGGGGGGGGTCAAGAAGCCCGACCCATGGTCGAAGGGGGTCGCCAGCCTTCCCTCGGGCTCCACTTTAATGGCGCCGCCACTCTTATCCAGGACAGAGGCTGAAATTTTTTGGATTTGGAAGGTCAACTTAGGATCGACCCATTTAGAAGAAAACAGAAATGGGCTGACATTTTTCTTTGCTTTCTATAGAAAAAATGCCAACGCATGAAAATGAGAGAGAATCATAGAAACAAAGTTACCATCTTTATTGAAATTCCCTGGAGGAATGAGGGTGGTTGAGGGGTGTGAATCTTACCTGTCGTCATGATCGCTGACTTGATCGCCGAAGGAGACCACGATGGGTATACGGCCTTGATCAAGGCGGCGATCCCCGTGACGTGGGGGCAGGCCATGGAAGTTCCCGAGAGGATGTTGAAGCTCATCTGCTGGGCGGCGGGCGACCAAGCTGCCAAGATGTTCAGCCCGGGGGCAGCAACATCCGGCTGCAAGAGAAAGGAACATCGGCGAAGAACTCCTTGGAAATAATTCTCAATGAAGAAAACCATGAGCTTTATGCCTTTCAAACCTTCAAAATCTCTGGAGTTAACGAATTCGGGCCTTTTGAGGAGAATGCGGTCACCCAGGGGGCAGGCCTGGATCCTATAATCGTCCTTGCAGGGAAGATGAGCGACCTCGGTTCCCTGCGGCGGCAAAGCTCAGATAAAGGAAACCCATTCTATAAAAGGGTGATCTGAAGGAAGCATGACTGAGAATTCTAAAGGAAACCCATTCTATAAAAGGGTGTTTTCTGGAAACCCACGAAGGATTGCGGCATCAAGGGCCGGAAGAATCGGACCTCGTGCGATTGATATAGGACAAGATCTGGTCACCATCCCTTTTTCCGACAGTCGCTGCAGGGATTGTGAAAGGAACAGCGATATCCTTGTCAAGCTCATCGATCAAGATCATTCCAACACCACCGGCGTTCTTGACCGCCGTGCTCTTGGCCAGCTTGGACTCCGAAGACCTACCGGCCTGGCGGCAAATGAGGACCTTCCCTCTGGCCTTTGTTTGGTTCAACGAGCTCTCCAAACAGAAACTACAAATCAAAGAGAGCTAGTCACAAAGTTGTAGATAAATCCACTGGTCGAAATGAAACATGGAGCCTTTAATTTCAATGCACTTTCCAAAAGGAAAATACAGAGAAGAAAACCCATTGTCGGATAAATAATTCTATTAATAGAAAAAAATAGTCTTTGTTTTGTTCAGTGAGGCTTCCAAAAAGAAACTCACACTGAAGACAACCGACAAAATCTATAAATAATTGGGTAAATGGAAAAAAAATCGCCTTTTATCTGGTTCAACCTGTTTTCCTAGCAGAGATGGTACCTTGAAGAAACCCATAAAGAAATTAAGAATTCCATTAATAGAAAAATTTTCTTCGTTTGGTTCAGTGAGCTTTCGAGACAAACTATACATTGAACAGAACCAAAAGATGAATAAATAATAACTCCATTAATAATGAAAAATGTGTCTTTTTGTGGTTCAATGACCTTTATAAACAGAAAATATACGTCGAAAAAAAACCTATAAATAAATAAATAAATAAATCTATAAGTCTTTTGCTCACCTCGCTTGATACGGGGTGAAATATCCTGCATTAGCATGTGAAGCAGGGATGATTGTCGCAGTTGCAGTCATTCCCACTGCATTCAGGCTCTCCCCCTAATCATCGCACGAAGATGAGACCCAACACCCCAAATCATTTCAATAATCACACCAACATAATAACCTGTTCATTACCATGATCCGAGTTCCATCCCCAAGCAAGATATAGGAGGCAAAGTCCCTGTCCGTGGAGCCGGCACCCACTGTGAGCATCCATGGTGCGAGATTGGTGGCAGAGCCCTTGGCCCCGACATTGCCAACTGAAGACACGACCAGAATGCCATGACTTGCAGCATGGAATGACCCCACAGAGATGGCATCACTGAAGTAGTTCCCCTGAGGGGGATCAGGCCCGAGGGAGAGAGACAATATGTCGACCCCGTCTCTAATGGCATCATCAAAGGCAGCCAGTATATCGGCATCGTAGCAGCCTGAGGACCAGCAGGTCTTGTACACTGCAATCCTGGCAAGCGGTGCCCCACCCCGGGCGCCACCGCTAGCCAGCCCATTGAAGTCCATGTCACTTACGAATCGGCCGGCGGCTGTTGAGGCAGTGTGGCTTCCATGGCCGGCGCTGTCCCTCGGGGACTTGTACTGAGCTGGTGATATGTCTGATCCAAGTAGAGGTTCACTGTTCGGCATTTCACCCACGAAGCCACTCGAATAATACCTCGCGCCAACTATTTTTCTGCCAATTTTTGAGAACGCATCAGGGTCAAGAAGAATATGGAGTTCATTAAATCTTTGAAGAACAGGAAACTAACCTGTTGCAAGAGAAATTGCTGGATGCTTCCCCAGCTTGACACACTCCTTTCCATCTTGTGGGCACAGGAGGCATCTGGTTATCGTGGAAGCTAGGGGACTCTGGCCAGATTCCTGGGTAATAAAAATATGAACACCAAAGTTATGCAAAATTAGCTGTATAATCAAAGCTTTTACTCCAATCATCAAAATTGATTATGCGTGGACCACAACAAGAAATTTGCTCTTGAATCTAACATGCCCAGGAAAATGAAATAAATAAATAAATTAGCAATATGCAACCATGATAAATCATCAAAACTTGTAGGAACCTTGTGCTGGTACAGATGCCAAATAGCATGCCTTTGATCGCGTGTTAAGAATGCCAAATGGTTCTATGGTTCTTTGCCAAAACAAAACTTTTATATTGCAACTGGTTCGAAGAAAAAAATATTTTTCGTAAAAAACAAGAGATTTTCTAAAGTAGGCATTACACCCGAGAATTCTGTCAAATCATGGGAAGATTGATGAACTGAAGACATTAGCATACGAAACATTATGAAATGCCCAGGATAAAACACGGAGCATTAATTAATTTCAGATACCAGCATATCCAATATTGAAATCAGAAGAACAGTTGTGAATATTACCACAGGCAACCCTATTGAATTAATAGATAAACTGCGTGCAATCTACGAAATGTGGGTGTTTGCATAAGCAACAGAATCTAATTTCATAGAGGTGACAAGATCTAAGAAATTGAAGAGATTAGCCTTAGCCTAAACTAATAAATTCAAAGGTAAAGCACGGCAAGATAGCATTGGTAGTCATAAATCTGAGGATGAACCACGATAAAATTAAAAAACTTCAGGTATTTGTACATGCAACTCTATCAACTCCCAGAGGCAAACCCAGATCATCCTCCTCACCGGTGTCAATGAAGCCGATGATGACATTCTCTTGGTTCTTTGTGAAGAAGCCTGGGATTTCCATTGCCTCGTCGGTCGCCAGACCCATGAAGTCCCAAGAATGAGTCGTATGCAGCTGCCTTCTCAGATTGGGAAACACAGAGACCACCTCGGGCATAGCTGCACACATAATGCCCAGATGTTGAAGGAAAACCCAACGAGGATGGAAGATAAATTTGGTTCAAAATTCAACAATTCTCAGCAGGTACCGAGTTACCAGCCATAGCCTTAGCTTGCTCTTCTGAGAGCTTAGCAGCGAACCCTCTGAAGCCATTGCTGTAGCTGTAAACATGAGATTCTCGGGCCAGTTCTTCACTGCAAAAGCCCAATTTAACGATAATTAATGGCCGAACTAGACCCAGGTTTCAGGAATATCGGAAGGATTGAAACCAGATGAATCTGACCTTCCTCCATGAACAGCAATGAGGAGCTGGTGGTTCTTCCGCATGACCTCCTCCTGGCTTTCACCGGTTTTGCCACCCAAGTACACCACATACACCTTTCGAAGAAGAAGAAGATTTGGGGGTGGTCAGGAATGAAAAACAAAGACACTGGACTGAAAGTATCCCACAAATTCTCGGAGCAATGGCTGAGGCAGGCTCACCTGAGAGCAGAAGCTGCGGGTGATTCCCGCCATTGTAATCAACAGAAAAAGCATCCACCATACGCCAGAGGAAGCCATCCTCCAAGCGTAGGCACACACAGAGAGAGCTTGAGATGGAATGGGAGATGGGTAATGGCGAGGAAGCCGTATAAATAAGAGGGACGAGCTCCACTGCGAAGCGGGGAAGGAAAAGAGCGAGGGAGAGAGGGAAGCGGGAGAAGCTGGCTTTTGGGAACGACCAACCAACCCCTCCCCTCCCACATTCCCCACCAATTCTTGTGGATCCCAAAAGGGTCACCTGAATCTCGGAGGGACTACGGAACCTGCACAAAAGGTGAAAGGAGGACGAAGAAAAAGGCAAAGGAAGAGGCATGGCGGAAAAGCAGCAGGGAGAGATAATCATACAATAGAACCCACTCTGAATCGACGAGGAAAAAGGAGCCACGCCCAATATTTTTTTGTCTTGATTCTGGCAAGAAACCAGGAAACCCTACCCGCCAGATTACTCGCAGAAGCAGACAACCTTACGGAACACCATCTGGTGTTCGTAGGCCATCTGCACCAGATCGTGTTCCCCGCATGGTGTCCCCCGCCCACTAAAATGGCGGACGACGAAGACCCATCATCCCCAGCGGCGCAACCAGATATCGGAGAGCCGGGCCGATCAGATTGCTTCAACGTTGGGTGGGGAAGGAAGACGCTGAGGTTGATGCTCACGCCGGTCTCCGTCCAAGGAGACCCTGAAAAAGGCAGTAAAATGGCAGATGCCCTGTACTAATGCCGCTGAGTTGTTCAAGGGACTCTCTCTCTCTCTCTCTAATCTACGGGAATAAGTCTAATTTTCTGATAAACGTGTAGTAATTTGAAGCTTCGAAGAGAAAAAACCCATCTTTAGAGCAGGGAATGCCCGACTGAGACACCTCCACCTCCCCAGATGGGTCATCATCCCCATCCTTGTCTCCCTCTCTGTATACACATCTCCTCCTTCAGAGCCTGAGGCTGTCTGGGCTGAGCTTGGGCTTCAGAGCTTGAGCTTCTGGGCCGTGCCTGAGGCTCACAGGATTTGACTTCCGACGTGGACAAACGCGGATCGCCGGTATCCACTGCACAGCCAATCCGGGCCCAGCTGAGGATCTCGCAGGCCGACGCCCTCCACTGCTTCCGCTCTCCCCCACCGCCGCGGCAGGGAGCACGGCGAGCTCAGAGGCTCTCCCGGCGGCGATTTCCATTCCCGGTAAGCTTCCGCTCTCTCCCTCTCTCTCCTCTCCCTCTCCTCTCCGATGCTGCCCACCCCGCTGTTCCTCTTCCTCTTCTTCGGATGATTACGCTGTTTTCGTACGATTCGGACTGTTTTCACAGACATTTTTCTGCATCTTCTCACAGCGAGCACCCTTTGACTCTCTGGTTTCAGCTGGAAAGCTCAAGAACAAGAGAGAGAGAGAGAGAAGAGGGGGGAGAATCCCATGGCCGCTGTCTTGCCCCTCTGCGCTTCCAGAGCGCCGGCGGAGTCAAGAATCCAGAGCAGCTTGACCCGCCGAAGATGCCCACCGGGTGGTTTCTTCCGGCGGTGCGGTAGCACAGCGAGGAAGAGCTCCGGCCGGCGGGACGACCACCCACCGTCGTCTCGCAGGCTTCTGGTCCTCGCCAAGCCGACGGAGTCAGAGGAGCCGATGCCTTCCTGGGCCAGAGCGGACTCCGAGGAGCCCCCGCCGTGGGCCCGCGACGACGGCACCACCGGCGGCGCCGCCCCTCAGCAGCCCGCCGAGCTCCCCTTCTACGTCTACCTCCTCTCATCCGCCATCACAGCCATTGCCGCAGTACTCTCTCTCTCTCTCTCTCTCTCGCTGTGTACTTCTCTATCTAAAGCGGGTGGGCGGATGGCCATTGCAGATCGGTTCAATCTTCGAGTACGTGAACCAGAACCCGGTCTTCGGGCTGCTCAAGTCCGACAGTGTCTTCTACGCTCCCCTCCTCGGATTCTTCGTCTTCACCGGGGTACCCCTCTCTGTAAGCCTCTGAAGCTCTTCTTCTTCTTCTCCATCTTCTTCTTCCTCGAGCTGATGGGGGAGCTCCAAAACCCTAGGGTTTCCTCTGGTTCAAGTCCGTCCAGGCGGCCAACAAGGAGGCGGAGGAGCAGGACCGGAGAGACGGGTACCGGTAGGCCGGGAGCTTCAATGGCGCATCATCAGAGGGAGATGGAGGGGGGCTGCTGCTTTATTTATTACCGCTGGTAGAATCATGCGCCAGTCCGAGTTTAAATAATACAATTATACTTTGGGTTCATCTCTGGTCGATTCCATTCTCTGGTTGTTTCTCTGTGTATATTCTTCTCTCGCCTCTCTGATTCACGCGGATCGGCGGAGCTTGGAGAGGGAGATGTACTTGCCGGCGGCGAACAGGGCGGCGACGAGCAGGGCGGCGACGGCGGCCCACAGCCACGGCTGGAGCTTCCTCTTCCCCCTGTTGCGGAGCGGCGGAGGGAGGGGCTTCAGCTTGAGGAAGTCCCTCGTGTGCCTCACCGGCGGCCGGAGAGCCTTCCCGCCGGCGGCGGCGGCGGTGGCTGCGGTGGCGGGCTTCTCCGCTGGGTCGCCTTCTGTCTCTTCTTCTTCCTCCTCCTGGCGGGGGGGCTCTTCGTCTGCGGGGGCGGCCTTGCTCTGCTTCTTCTTCTTCATCTTCTTCTTCTCTTTCTTCGCCTTCTTCTGCATGATTTGAGGGAATTTCTCACTTCTCAGGCGAGGAATTGATGGGGGCGTTGAATGGGGATGGGTGGAGCTTGGAGGTACCTTTTCTCTGAGCTCGGCTTCCTTCTGAGCTCTCATCTCCGCTCGGGCCTGCGCCTTCTCGGCCTGCCGCCTCTTTCGCTCTTCGGCGTCCTTCGCCTTGGCAATCTGCTCCAGGCGGTGGCGCTCTCTCAGCTCCGCCGCCAGCTTCTCCTTCCTCAGCTCCTCTTCCCTCCGTGCCAACTCCTCCGCCTTCCTCGCAAGCTCCTCTTCCTCCGCCGTCTTCTTCTTCTTCTTCCTCTCCGTTTCCGCCGCCTCCTCGCCGCCGTCTCCGCCGCGGACGACCTCCTTCGCCGCCGGCTTGGGAGCCTTGGATTCCCGGGTCAATGCCGGCTCGCCGGATGAACCCCCTTTCTGGGCTCTCTCTCCGCCGCCGCCGCCGCCGGCGGGGGCCGGCGGGACGTCGCCGTCGGTTTTGGCCGGCGGTTGAACGTCGGCGGTGCTGACCTCTTCTGCTTGGACCGTTGCGGCGGTGGGGAAGGCGGCCGGCTCCTCGTCGAAACCCAGCGATCTCCCATCAAATGTCCTGAATCTCCTCACCGTGCTCAGAGTGTTGGCCTCAACGTACTGCCTTCGGAATTCGTCGTCGTTGTTCCACATATCCATGATCTTCTCCACCTGTGAGACTCATAAAAGGTCAACGCCGCGGCGGCGCTGCCGCTGACTAATTGGACGGAGGGTAAGTCGCTACCTGTTGAATGCAGTAAGAGCGGAGGGCCTGCTTGTCCTTGGAGGCGTTGTAGCCGCTCACAGCCTTCAAATCGTCCTTGTACGAGTAAAAATATTGGTTCTGAAGAGCAAAGATATAACAACAACGGTGTGAGATTAGTTGACCAAAATAATTCATAAATACAAAAAGTCAAAACCACGCTCGGGAATTTTTCTTGAAGCTAAAATATCTAAATAAGGTGACGTGAAAATCATCTGGGCCGGGGGCCATTATGGTCAACCCTGCAACAATCACTGCTTTGAACTCAACACGTGACTTCAGTGAATGCATGAAATAAATAAAAGGCGGGACGTTGACATTTCCATTTAATGATCTGTTGAGAACTTAATGGCGTGTCTCAGGTGAATGATATATTTTACTTTAGGAAATGAAAAAATAAAATAAAATGAAATGGGTTTTTTTCCTAATTTATGACGCACATTTCAGTGATGATAATCTGATTTTATTGCTCCGTTTGTGTTTTTGTTCTTGAGAACCGTTGCCCAAGAACAGCGCATATCCTTCTCGTCTAAACATATTTCTCAGATTAAATCACCCTTCAGGGTTGCTCTCTCCATTTCCCATGAGCATCCTGCCTTGGAAAGATGATAAATGACGAACAAGAAAAGGCACCATGCAAGAGTCCAAGATAAAGGAAGAAAACACGTGCATAAAGCATGAGACAGTGGTCTGGTCCTGGAGAAAGAAAAAGTCTTGAAATAGAAATCGACGCGGGTCAACGTCTGGAATATTCGGAGATTAAAGTAGTGGGCATACCTTTAAATATGATTCTTTCTTGAGATCTCTCAAGTTCGTGTATGCTTGTTGACGAAGATCATCAGCAGCTTTAAACTTGGCTTGAAGATCTCTCAAAAGCTCATGCTGTTTTTCGTAGCTACTCCTGGCAGCCTTCGTATCACCTTCAGCGTGTTGTACCTTTTTTCTAAGAAGATCTAATTCCTCCTTCAGATGCTGCAGAGAAAGACAGCTTCTTTGAGAAGATCGGAATGTTGTTACCAGAAAAATCATGAATACTCAAATCAGATAGCAATTAGAACCTGGATTTGAGTTTCCATCTGTCCTTGGTTATCCAATGCCTCCTGGAGTTCCTCCTCTGATCCCAGGCTAGAAGAAAGATGATCGCGGCTTTGTTTCAGCTGGCTGATTTCCCGCATTAGCATTTTTTCTTCTTTCAGGGTATTTGTCTCGTGACTTATCCTATGCTGCAAATTATGTATCTGCTTCCACTCAAACAAAGATGTTTGTCAAGAAATGTACGAGATAAGAAACCACATTAAATATTAAATTGGTTCTAATTCATTGATATTTCTCACCCTCTTATCAATGTCAGCAATAGAATGCGCATTCTTGAGTTTGCCAAGGATTGACTGAATAGAATCTATCTCTTGACGCTTGCAAGTGACAGCGTCCCTACTTGCTCTTTCTTCTTTTCTTGCATCTTCAATCTTCAACCAGTACTCCGTACAAACAGCCTAGTAATAGAAAATAATACAGGTAGCCTCGGTAAATGAGAAACGATGGAAAAGAGGGCAAAAGAAATAGTATAAGCATTCATACCTTCTGGTTTTGCATTTGAACTCTTATTGAATCCCTATTCTTAGTCTTCTCATCAACTTCTCGTTGCGCATGTTCTATCTTCATCTTTAGTTTACTGTCAGAGAACCTCGGAATTCTAGCAATGAAAATTTGCTGTTCTTTTGTATCAACTTTTTGTCGATGCAAAGATGAGCTACCGAGCTCGTCTGTAGGAACCGGTGCATCCTGAATTTCACGGGTCTGTTCAGTGACATCCTCTTCTGCACCAGCAAGTCTGTTGGGATCATCTTTATTTGTTGACTCACTCTCTTCGATAGAATCACTTACATGTTCTCCAGGTTTGCTAGGCTCACTTTCAACCTCATATTCCATCTTTCTGCCGTCTGTATTGTAGCTGACCGTGCCTGTGCTAGTCCCAAATATCAAAGTGCTAATTTCAGTGACTGCTTTAGTTTCACTATCGGAAAATGGAGATGCACTTTCTACGCGTTCAGACCATCTAGCTTCCACGTCAGGACTAGTCACACTATCCTGACTCTTAAGTAAGTCGTTTGTTATTTGTGTTTCAGATTTGATGGCATTTCCAGAGTAAAAAGGAAACATCCTGTCTTCGTTGGAAATAACTTCCATTTTAGTATAGGAAGCAGTATCATTCAATGAGGAGGCAGAAATATCTTCCCTGGGCTCAGAAAACTCTTTGATAATTATTTGCTCATCACCCTTTGAATTTTCGTCAGAGTTCACAAAAATTGCTTCTGATCCCTTGTCATCAACGGTTCTTGAACCCTCTGGAGTATCAACTAGAATTTCAGTAGCTTCATTTCCCAATTCTGGTTCCATACAACTGAGAATCTTCTCTTCTAATTCTGATGCCACCATTTTCTTCTCACTCACAAGATATTGAGACTCAGTTCCCTCTCCAACAACAATTATAGGTTGTTCTGCTGCCGGAGCACTCTCTATTACAATTGATGGCGCCATTTCTTCCTCAGTCACGAGTGGTGACGAATCAGATTTAGTTCTCTCTGCAACCATATTTTCAGGCTGCTCTGTTTCTGGGATAACGTCCACTATATTTGACACCAGAAATTCTTCACTCTCAGGAGCCCTTGAATCACATCCGTCTACTCCAACAGCCAGCTGTTCTGCTGCTGGAGCATCCCCAGTTTCACTTGACGCCAACAATTCCTTACTCTCCGGAGGCAGTGAATCAACTTCACCCGTCACCAATGACACAATTTCAGACTGTTCTGCGGCTTGAACATTCTGCATTGCCTTGGATACCAGAACTTCCTTAGTTTGGCAAGTCAACGAATCAGATTCATCTGTCGCTGCAACTAGTAGAGCATCAGACTGTTCTGTGGCTGGAACATCCTCTGCTATATTTGATGCCAGGACCTCCTCGGATTGGGGAGGCAATGGAGCTGATTCATCTTTGACCGTCACAACTTCAGACTTTTCTGCTGCGGGAACATCATCCTCTTTCTTTGTTGTCAGCATCTCCACTGTCTGAGGAGGAAATGAACCGGATCCATCCTTTACTGCAGCCAGAATTGTAGACCCTGGAAAGTTGTCATCAGTGGTAGATGTCACTGCTTCCTTTTCATTCTCAAGCGATAGTCTTGCAGATCCATCTGTCCTCTCGACCTCATATTTGGAGTTCTCATCTTTTACGTCAAAAGTGATTGCGCTAAGAGACTTACCATCCACTTGGTCTTCAGACTTGCTATTCACAATGACGTCTTTGTTGAACCCACCACAGTAGGAAGAAACATTGACAAACGATTCCTCATACATCTGCATCTCGGTAACTGGTTCTAATGGTTTGTGTCCCTCAATCATATCAACCGTGGATGGATCCCTCCTGATGTCATTGGCTGCATTCTCCACATCTATATGCAAGGCATTCATCTCCTTACATTCATGTTCATTCTCTGAGGTCACTTCCCCGTTCTCAAATTTTTCACAAATTTCTTCCTCAACCTCTAATAAGATCAGATCCCCTCTCTCATCATTCGAATCACAAGACTCCTTATCGCCTGATGATACCACCTCTACCTCTTCACCAGAAATCGGCATGGAGATAACGTTCTCCACCAAGCAGGATTGGCCCTCGGATATTCCCTTCTGTACTCTGCCTTCGGCATCAAGATCCCTTTCAGACAAGTCGTCAGTTTCCGGGCCAGACTCTGGCCTTTGGTCAACAGAGTAATCTGATTTGACATCCATTTCCAGATCTCTCTCGTTAGAATCATCAGACTCGTCATTCACGAAGACGTACGACCCGTCAACGTCGTCCTTCGTGGGCTCGCTCACCTCTTTTCCTTCTCCGCATGCAATGCCATTGCAGTCTCCGAGCTTCATCTTATCCTCCCGTGCGACAGAGACCAAGACGCATTCTCTCTCAGAATCCGCCTTGGAGACCTCGCACACCTCTTTTATATCACTCGTCTCCAACGTCATTGTTCCAAACAGAGTACCGAGAAGCAAACTAGAGAACGAAACTAAAAGCGGAGAGCGAAACCAAGATGAAACGGCAATCAGTCTGAACGAATGAAGTCTACTCCACCTGCCAGATCACGGATCAAAACTCAGCGCAAAATTGACCCTTGCATCCAATGTTGAAAAAAAAAAAAAAAAAAGCAGGAAACACCAAACCGCGATCCCCCGCAGATCCCAAAAGCGAGACTTACGAGACTTACGAACTTTGGCCGCCCCGTCCACAACTCCCCTGCGCCACGATGCCTGCAGATCCCGAAATTCAGATCAGATCCCGGGATCTGGACGCCAGGGGGGCAGGTATCCGAGATTCGGCGCTACTCGCGCGTGAGATGACGCATGCGGTTGCGCATTAGGGTTCCCGGTCCAGACGGCGATCCTGGAGGACGAAGACGATGCAGTCGGTGGAGAGACGACCTGGCGGAGGCGAGGTGGGAAGAGAGGAGAGCTGTGGGATCTTCTTCTCCACCGCCTCCCTTCTCGGTCTTCCCCCCTCCCTCCTCCCTCTTCTCTCTGATTTGAAATAACTTACGAAACAAACCTTCCTCATTAACCGGAGAAAAACGTGGGCCCCGTACTAAATGTACCTGCGGATCACCTTAAACCCTCTCTGTAAAGATCTCCCGCGGGACGCTATTAACGGAAACCGCCCAATCCCCCCTCCCCCTCCTCCACGTGCCTGCCGGGGCCCGCTTGCCAACCCATGGGCCCCATTCCACCAGCCCGGCCCGCTCCGAGGCACACGGCATTTTTTTTTTTCACACCCCCCTCATCACGTGCGCCCTCGCTGTCAATCACGTGACACACTACTCTCTCTCTCTCTCATCCAAAGTTCCTTTTTTATTAAGAGAACGGCACTCCGCTTACTGGGTTTTTTTATAATTTATCAGTTGCAGTAAATAACACCACGAGTGAGGGAATTTTTTCTCTGTCCTTAGTTATTACTATATCTGCAAGGCACATAAATGTCTCAAAGCATAGTGAGCCCACTAGGAAAATGGGCCTCCAGTCAACCTACTCATTCATCTCTCTCTCTCTCTCTCTAGAAAAATTGACTCTTGCTAACTTTGGTTAAAACCTAGGAAAGGGTCCCAGATGTGGACAGTATCCGAAGGTTTTCATATGGGTAGGAAGAGAGAGGTGAGATCTAGATGGGTTCAGCTTACAGGACCACGCCCAAGGTGATAAGGAAATAATAATGGCGACATATTTACACATACCAAAGTCCCACGAAGGTAGGCGATCTATTTAATTCACATAATGACCCCTCTTAGTAGTTTATTACCTGCCTTCCCAGATAATAATAATAATAATAATAATAATAATAATAATATATTTTTTGCCTTCTCAACCGCCACGTGGCCATTATAATTGGGAAATTAATTTTTATCCGCTACGTTGGAGAACATTAAGGCATCGCCTGCTGACTTGGCGACCATCAATTGGGGCAGAGTGAGAGACGCACTATCTCCGTGTGTTTCTCTGCGTATCCATGTGTGTATCGGGCGTTTTATTGGTGATCACGCGGGTCGCGTTTGCGGGTGGACTGCGATGATGACGCCGTGAACGCTTTGGCAGCTCCGGAAGGGCCACCACGTGTCGAGGAGTCTGACGCGATAAATTATTTCTCGCGGGGTTTTTTCATAATTTACTCCCCCCGCGAGAATTACGGATTTAACCATGTTTGACCAGTGTTTAGTTAGAGATTTCCCGAATCTTTTAGGCGGCCGAAGAGGAAGCTAGCTGTCCGGATCCATCGCTCTGCACTCTAAACTCGTTGACTTCTGGTACACTAGATTGGAAACCGCGGGGGGATCAGGAAGGATGAGGATCACCGTCCACGTACTGGACCCTCCAGCTTGAAGTGCATCGGGGAGCTGAAGAAGCCACTGTAAAGTCAAAGGGGCTTAGGTAAACTTGAGCTTTAAAGAACAATAATTTTGTGTGTACCCTCTCTCTTTACTTAACTACCCTTGGGTCAGGAGTTGACCACGGTGCGAAATGCTTGGACTTTCAGTTCAGGATAAGACAAGTGGGCCTAGCGGGCCCACATAAGCCCATTAATGGGGACTCTATTGGGCCGTCTCCATCCTTCTTATCTCAAACTCCGTATTGGGAATTTTTAAAATGAAACTGAAGTCCAAAAATAGAATTATGTCCTCATTTGACAACGTTTTAATGGGTCGGCCCAAGGAGCTTAATAGGCCCACCTAATCCTACCGTCCCATATTGGCGTCTTCTCGTGTATAATATAATAGTACAATCATCAAAGGAACGTTAGGCCCAAATTCCCGAAATTTGGCCCGGAGCATTTCCGGGCCTGATACACGCTCCAGAAGGAACAGCCCGTGGGCCCGAGAAACTCTAAATCATACCCACTAGTGGGTGATCCCGAGATCAAAGATATTGGGCCAGTATATGAGCCCAATTAGGTCCAAACACAGAAGTGCATCTTCATCCCACCAAGCTTGGACACTTTTCCTCTCCGAGCCCAGCCCTTGAAACCCAACCAGGTTCCAGCCAAGGGAGCCATCGTCCGAGGTGGAATCAAGTCAGCCCAATAAGAAGCCAGCGTCATTAGGCCATATAAAATGATCAAGTTGGACTCGGACCAATGGCCCGCAATTTTGGCGCTCGCCTGAGCCACGCGTCCGCTTGTCACAGTTCATTAGACCAGCTGGCACATGGGAGGTGACCCACCACGGACCAGGACCTGAGCGACAGCCACGTTTCAAACTCTATTCCTCGAGGCCACGTGGCGTGCGGCCCAGCGAGCTTGCACATCTGAGTTGTCCAAGTAAGCACCCTAATCAAGCGGTCTTCGGAGACTAACGTCGCAGTTCAAGCCACCCTGGAGCCGGGCCCCTGGCCTGGAGAGAGAGAGAGAGAGAGAGAGAGAGAGAGAAAATGAAGGCATATGGTACACGGGGGAGGGGCACGACAAAGGAGGACGAAAGAAGCCCAGCTTGTTCGAGCGACTCCGTCTGTTGAATAAAAATACAGGGTGGGGGGTAGGGGGGAACCCGGTGAGACGGCGACTGACAGGCTGGTTCACATGGGGGATGCTGGAGATGAATAAAAGCCGCCGTAGGCCAGGGAAGGAGAGGAGGGCGGGGGGGAATGGTTAGCTTTTGGGAATCGAATCAAGGACTGGGGCTAAAAGAATTGGAAGATGATCGAACCTGATGCTTCACGGAGATCTATCTTCTTCTTCGTCATCCTTCTCTTCTTCTTCTTTCAAGAGCTTTATTGAGATCCCATTCTGCGGTCTGTTCTACGGTGGGAAGGGAAGGGAAGATGGTGGGCGGGGTGGGGGGGGGAGGGGGGTTGGGGTTTCTTCAAGAAGAGATCTTGGAGACGTCCTTGCTGGACCTGTTGTACTTCATGTGGCTCCTCACGAGGTGGCCGGAGGCGAGGGCCGACATGAGGGAGAGCTCCCCGCCGAGGACGGCGCCAGCCACGACGGTGGCCAGGAGCCGCGCGTTGGCACCGGGGGACGCCGCGTTGGCGCCCTTCACGCCGAGCAGGTCCAGCAGCGCCGCCTGCGCTGAGAGCTGAGTGCCTCCGCCCACCGTGCCGACCTGGAAAATGACAGCGACCCGCCGTTTATTGCCCACGTCCCTTTCTGTCCGTCATTACGACAGACATGGCGCGTGCAGAAGAAAGAGACAGAGGGAGGGGTTTACCTCGATGGAGGGCATGGTGACGGAGACGTGGATGTCCTTGCCGCCGTTGACGGCTTCCATCATGGTGATGCAGTGGGAGCTCTCGACGTTCTGCGCGGGGTCCTGGCCGGTGGCGATGAAGACGGCGGAGACGATGTTGGCGGCGTGGGCGTTGAAGCCGCCGAGGGCGCCGGCGACGGCGGAGCCGGCGAGGTTCTTGAGCATGTTCAGCTCCACCAGGGCGGGGACGGTGGTCTTAAGGACCTTCAGGACCACTTCCTCCTTGATGATCGCTTCGCAGACGACTGACTTCCCCCGCCCTTCGATCCAGTTCACGGCAGCTGGCTTCTTGTCGGAACAGAAATTGCCTGAAGAATAGGACGAGGGGATTCAATTGGGTGGTCAAGCAAAATCCGCGGATCGTCGGGAACCGAAAACGGAAGCTCAACCAGAGCTTCTGCACTACATTAGCGGGGAACTCTACGCTGCGAGAAAATCACGAGGTGGCGATTTGGACCCACTTCCGAAAGTGACAAAAAGCTATCAAAATAAGGACCTGACAGGTAATTCTGAGCTAAAAGACAGATATAATAGTGGGCACTTGGAGGCGGGCCATCGATGAACTGTTGCTGCCGCCTAACCTATTCATGGGGTTCTTTCGGATGAAAAAATTCAAAATGGATGAAGACCGAGTTCTGAACATGGATGATGCTGCTAGGGAGGAGGGTTGATGCGTCGACGGCTAAACGTGTTGCTGTTCTTCACGCCCAGGATGGCGTTTTTAGATCCAAAAGACGCTGAAGGAATTGGGAAATGTCACCAGAAATGGGGATTGAGAGGCGTGATCGGAGACCAGGAGCACGAAGAAGGACAAGGACACTCACCAGAAATGCTGATGACCTCCATGTCGGGGAAGTCGCTTTGAAGGAAGTCCAAGACGTTCTGGACGCCTTTGGATACCATGTTCATGCCCATCGCATCGCCGGTGGCGCATCTGAACCTCATGTAGAGGTTCTTGCCCGCCATTGCGCACTGGATCCCTTGGAGCCTGGCGAATCTGCTGGACCTGGAGATGCGTCGACGAAGGAGATTGTGAGGTTGTGCTCGTCCACGGATCTTGGAGGGGAAAATGGAACACAAGGCATGGATTCGGAAATAATAGGGGAAATGGAAACCGACAGACGCTTTTGTGCCGGAATCGAAACGATAAGAGGAGGGGGAGCAGAGAAGAGGGGACTCACTTGCTGAACACCACCGAAAGGGTGTCGAAATTGACGGCGTCCTCCAGGTACAACCGGAGCTCCGCCGCTCTCTTCGCGGTGGCGAATCTCACCGCTGGGGCTCTGGTCATGCCGTCCCGAAGGATGACGCTCTCCGCACCTCCAGAATCTCTAATCGCCTTCAACCCCCTGTTGGTGCTCGCCACGAGGCAGCCCTCTGTAGTTGCCATGGGAACGTGGTAGAACTTCCCGTCTAGTAGCATCGGACCAGCGATTCCCACAGGTAGCGTGACGTATCCCACCGGCATCTCGCAGCATTGCCCAAGGATGGAATCATAATCGAAGCCGTCCAGGGGGAGACCATCCAGGGACCTCCCCGTCATCCTCCTCAAGGCCTCCCTCCGAACCCCGGCGGCACGCCTGCAGTCACCCAGCTTCGATTCGAGAGAGTACGACGGGATCGAGCCATCCAGGACGCCGAGCACGATCTCCTCGTCGTCAGCGGTCAGGACCTGTGGGACAGGGGGAGGAGGAAGAGGGGCGGCCGCCTTCTTCGGAGCCGGCGGCGGCGCGAGGGTTGGCGCCGCCTCGGAGCACAATGATGGGCAATGGGAGTCCTCCGGGGCGTCGGCAGGGATGAAATCGTCCTCCGCACCGCGGGGGGTGAGGAACGGCTGGATCAGCTCGATGCCGAAGAAGTTGAGCAGATACAGGATCGAGGAAACCAGCGCGACAATCGCCGTCATATCCAGAAAGTTGAGGATATGGAGGGGCGCCCCGATCCGGACCTTCTCCCGCCACCGCGTCATCAGGTAGTACGCCGCGAGGAAGAACAGCGGGAAGAAGAACTTGTTGGTGAGCCGGATCGGGAGCGGGAGTGCGTCGGAGGCCTTCACCGCCGGCGGCGGCGCCGGATCCTTCGCGATCACTGCAGAAACGGGAGCCGCCGCCGGATGGCAGTTCCGCAGGCCCTCCTCCGGCCGCGGTGGCTTGGACGAAGGGAATCTCCTTCTGGCTTCCATAGCAGCCGAAGATCAAAGGAGGAGGAAGAGGAGGAAGAGGAGGAAGAGGAGGAAGAAGAGCCCGGTGGATTTCTCCTTCCCTTCTTCCTCTCGGTGGAGAGTACCTGCTGTACCCCTGATTCTGCGAGGAGGTATTTTTATAGAGTCGTGGCAGCCTCGCAAAGGGTCTCGCCGGTTGCTGCCCGCTGGCGGCCAGGACAACGCGGATCCGTCACGTGTGTACCCCGGGGCCCACCCGAGGATTAGCATTCCCCTTACCCATTAATGGCCGTTGATTCATCGGATTCGACGGCCGCCGTCGCCCCTCCGGCTCCCCCTCCTTTTCAAGATACCTACCCTGCGCGCAATCTCTCGTCTTCTCTCCTTCTCCTCTCTTTCTTCGTCTTCTCTCTCTCTCTCTCTCTCTCTCTCTCTCTCCCTCTCAAAGCAAAAAACGTGTTTGACTTTGACTTAATGGGGTGGTCGGGCTGTAGCAATGGGCTTGGGGGGCTTCATGGGGGGAGCTAGGCTAGGACTAGGCAGGCCATTGACAGCCCAACCCACAAGATGACTACGACGGAAGTCAACCAAAGGATAAGGGTGCATGGAATACAAGCTATCGAGGTCACTTTCGAGTCAAACATCCTTGCCGCCCATTGAAATTCCCACGAGGTTTTTCTAGACAGGCAGCAGCCCCCATTATGGCGCGGAAAATATGTTAAATAATGAATACCCTAACTATGATGGATGTAGTATTATTCAGTGAACGGACCATAGTTTTTGGTCACTCATAAAGTGTTAGCTCCAGGCATCTTGATCATGCCTAAAACTGTTTTTCTTGATAAAAAAATCACAAAGTGACTAATATAATTGAATTTGCCCATAAAAAAAAGATCACTTTGAAAGATTTTATCAAAATAATATAAACAAGAATAATACCAATATTAGTAAGAATAAAAATAATTATAGAGCTCCGTAGTTTTAATGAAATGTCAACTATGTGACCAACTTGTGTTCATTGAACATGGACTAAAGAATACTGACAGTGAGTCTCAAGAACACACCAACTACTTTGATTTTTGTAGACCTTGTAGCCGCCTCTCTTGACGCTATTTAATCACTTTTTTCTAGTGATGCTTAGAAAGTGTTGTGGATTGTTAATATGAAACAATAAGGACAATATAATCTGGAAATATTTTAACAATGTTATAAACAATAGAAAATTCATAAGTATCATTAATAACTGAGTGATAAATTTATGAAATATGAATTTTGATATGTTTTCTGGGAGTAACTTTGTTGGCCTAAACTTTTGATTCCATGGGTTTTTCTTGTTGTCCCTTTTAATTTCTAATTCGTCCTTTCATAAAACAAAAAAATTAGACATTAAACAATGAGTTATTAATCGTATATCAACAAAGTAAGATGCAAATTAAATTGTTACAGGAGCTCATGAGAACTGTAATTTTAGACATTATTTTCTTCTCTAACATAATTACCACCCACTTTAAATCTTATATGCTTCTTTAGTGCTAGCTAGCCAATTTTTTCTATCAACATGTGGAACATGGAATAAATCATGAACAATAGAGGTTTAGATATGAAAATGGCCATATTATTGATTTCCATATGGTGCCATTGTGTGAAAAATATATGGTAGATTGTAACACGTTGATAAGAAACATTGTATTTTATATTATAAATGACATACTATTAAATTTTAAAAGGCAGTCAACTATGTGATATGGGTTCATGAATTGTGAACTTCATGTGTCATTTTCAAATCAACCCTTATTACTGACCACTTTAATTTGAAATAAATGTGGATAATGATGAATATATGCAGAAAGTCAATCCATTGAACGTGGATCAAACCTTACTAACCTCCATTAAAGGATGCTTGTGCATAGAATGTGAGCACAGCCGCCATTGTTACCATCCATTTTTCACTCAAGTTTCTGCTATGCCACCAGCCAACCACCATTCCCATTAATATAGGGAAGAAATAATAAACTAAGATAAATAAAAGATTAGGAATAAAACACCCAATTTTACATCTCCTAATGGTATCATCACTTAAAAACCATTTATGATCCTTTACTAAAATTAGAATAAAAACTATGAATTAAGAATAAGAAGGTAACATATATCTTGAATAAATGATGGCTTATATAACATGAGATTTTGAATTTCCTGAGCATTAGATCAAATTTTCTAATCAGCTGAAACTAGTCTCTACTTTAATATGGGAAAATGTGATATATTATCAATACAAATGCATTAATTAGAAAGTCAGTTCAGATTTGGATCAACCATCTTCAATGAAAGAATTGAGGTTAAAAGGAATGTGAACTAAAGACACTATTCCCAAGATAATCATTAAGAGTCACTTATCAATAAAATATTTTACTCAATATTTAAAATGTAGATTAATTAATTCAACAAAGAGACAAACTACTTTGAAAAAAAACCAAAATAATATGTGATTTTCAAATTGAATTTCTTAGTGTGTACCAATTGTCTCCCAATTAATGAAAAAGGTGAAGTCATTAATGAATAGTCAAATCTGGCCAAGAGAAAAGGCCAATTTTATTTTCTAGATTAGATTATTGCCCAAGAATAGACACCATATCATTATTAAAAAATAAAAAAATAAAATCAAGCACTAATAACCTTGCTCCACTTCAACTTGTTAACTACGTCACTAGTTTAATTGCAACATAGTTGGTACCAATGTCATCATCACTTTCTCCATAACATGCCCACATCGTTGTATTACTTACAACCATGAAAAAATCTATTAATTGTTTTAAACTATGTGTTATGTATCATTTTGCTAAATTTCATGCATTGGCTTTGAGGCTATGCCCTATGTCCCATGAAGTCCTTTATGATAAAAGAAAAGCTTATAAATGACAATGACGATTTGCAACACAATTTGCTTAAATTACTGTAACATTTATAATTGTCTTGAAAGGTCATTAGATGAATTTTTCACAGAGCTTAAGAACTAGCTTTTTGCCATTAAAATGCTTGAGATTTTCTTGATCAAAGATATCTACTTGGTGCACTAGGTTTTGGCCTAATCATTTTAAATTCTTGTCAGCAAGATATTCTCTAACCTTGTTAGTATACTTTGAGTAATTTGACATATCTGATTTTAGGGAGAAAAACATTTTTTCTCTCATATGTTTGACTCACTGATCGGTAGTCAAACTCACTTGGTCTACTCAATAGTCATTTTTGGATGATTTTCTCTCATCTGAGTTTGACTAGTTTCATGTGTCAATTCACATGAGTCAACTCACGTGAGATGTCTCATGGGCACACGCACTCGAAATTGAGTTGACTTCCCTATCCTTTTCAACAACTTTTCATTCTAAAATATTTTACTTTTCCCAATAAAATTTCTTCATTCGAATCTTTTCATGGATGAATTTTTTAAATATTTATACCACAAGAAAATCAAATAACAAATGGACTGCATATAAAAATTTGGATCTTCCTATGACTGTTAGTGTAAAAAAATAATTATGATCATATTATTTTATTTATATCTGTCAATATTAAGCATAACAACAACACAAGCCCTAAACAAAAATGACAATCCATCATACAAGTTACAATTTCCATTGCAAAACAATACATAACATTGTGCATCCAATTAGATAAAAACTATACAAAGAGCTAATATGAATCATCCAAGTCATGCTCCAAAAAATGTGAAATATAGGTCAATGATTCTTTGAGAATGAAAGTCCCCATGAAGTGATAAATTTATTTAGTTTTATATTAGTAATTCAATTTATGATTATTCTCCACAAAAGGAGGAGGAGAAATCTTCTGAATGTTCTTTGTGGATTGAAACTACAAGTATGGAGGAAAGAAAAAAGTACATTTATATATGTATATATCACAGTTAAAAGCTAATAAAGACATTTTATATCTCCAAGTTCAATAATGAAATGAATACCCTTCGAACACACACCATCAATGCAAATAAGCATTGTTGTCCTAGAGTGTGTTGACAAAATAAAATGCACATTTAGAAGAATTACTATTCTCATTGTAAGCTAGTGGTCCCTTTAGTAAATCTCTAGGTTTTAGGCATGAAAATCAATTGAATGTTCTCAAAATATATAGTTAAATCTAAGAAACCGACCAATTCAGGAATCCTAACTTATCACCAGATTGAATAGTAACTTACATTGTTCTTCCTACATGATTTCTTATTAGAATAAGTGTCCTCACCATTGATCTTATCAAATGAACAGTTTGGGCAATTGGGAATGGCAGCAAGAGATGAAACCACGACAACTCATCTAACGTTTGCCTCAAAATATGCTTTTAGCACATTAAGCATTCTGTTAACCTTGGGGGAAATCATTTCTACGTGCAACATCATGAAGACGGATTAAATGAGAGATTGGGGAGTTTTGATTCACTGGCCAGCTTTCCTCACTAGCTGAAAGGGTTGGACATGTTCCCTGAGCATGCAGGTGAAGGTGAACCCCATGCATAAACGGCCAAGGCAGGCCCTTAGTTGTTTACAAGATAATATGGAGGCATGATAGATGATTAGGTGAAATTTATGGTTTATTAATCTTAGTGATCCTAAGGTGTAGCTTTCTAGGTGAATGATCTATCAAACGTATGAGTTCCACAAAACATCTAATATCTTAACACTGTGTCAAATATGCAGAAATGAAGTATGACCAAAACTCTCATTCAAGTAAAGGCTTACCCTCTCCTTAATCGCTAAAAACTGACAAGGGAAGAGAAGTAGGAAAAACATATTTTTAGAAGGAAAATGGTCAGTCTACGTGAAGAACCATCATATTCTCCAAGAATGGGTTGGATGCTTGGAAAATGTGAAGTCAGATTGTTAATTCAACCAGCTTTTGTTAGGTTGCTCTTCAGATATGTAGTAGGAGATTTTTTATTTTTTATTTGATTTTATTTCATGCCAACATATACCATTGCTTGTAGAAGGTCTCTTGGCAGGTGTGTCATATACCATTGCGACATATATTTATTTTGTTCAGAAACTAACTTTTTGTTATTAAATATATTTTGTGATTTTTTTTCATTATATTGTCCCAGAAAACACAATGCAACAATGAATATACAAGATCTGATAATTTATAATTTCATCCAAACATTAGTTAAATAATAAATTATTTAATAATAATTACATATTTTTAATTATTTTCCAAAATACAAAATATCTAAACCTATGATCCTCTTGTTTTAATTATTTTTAGACAAATAACTCAATCATAGGTGTTTCAAATATTAAGATGTTATTGTGAAAATCTCCATGAAGTGATAAATCTATTAACTTTGATATTTTGTTCCAACCTCTAATCTAATTTATGGCCATTTTCTAGAAAAGAAGAACAAATCTTCCTTGTTCTTTAATTCAATGTTGACTTGTCAAGAAGACTTACTAGCAACCCACATGCCTTATAAACTTAAATATCTGAGGAAATCATTAAACAAGTCCACAAAATATGTGGAAACATGAACGTGGTCTAATTTTATACCTATACAAGGTTGGCTTTTTCCATGGACAATTTGATGAGGACTTTGGCGAAATGTTGGCGCAAGGACATTTGCCGTAGTCCTAAACTGCACATAAACATGATGGATGACGTGACCTAAATGGCCATGAGTGTAAGTCTCGATCTATAGTACAGGTCTCATTCGTTCCACGAGTATGGTCGCTCTCTTTCGGTCAACGTTCTCTCTGTCTCTCTCTTTCCGCTATATGTTAGCCTGAAGTGTTGGAAATGAGCCTCGGCGCACTCACCAGGCAAATAACTGACAGAGGGGAGGAAGAGCGGTGCTGGACATGGTGAAGGAGAGGAGGGTTTGTGTGACGCGGGTTGGAGGCTTCGTCGCCTCCTAGTTGGTGAAGCTGCTCCTCTCCAAGGGCTTCACCGTCCACGGAATAGTGAGAGATCCAAGCAGGGAGTCCCCTCTACTCCGCCTCCTCGGCGACCTCTAGCTTTGTATTCTTGCCAATTTATGTGGTTCTTCTGGCTTCTCATTTTAGAGGGCAACATATTCTTCTCTCGTTCATTTAGTTTTAATACTAAACTTCAATTTAATGAGCTTTTTACCGGTCTCTGCTTAAAGTTTATGTATTCCAAAATCCGCATCTTTCTCTTGCAAAATGAGCCTTTTAGAAAACTTTTGAAATGGCTCTTGAGGTTCGTTTGAATGGAGCCAGTGTAAATGAGAGTTATCAACTCATGAGTCCTCTAACGGTTGTGTATTCATTTTCAAGCGATGTGAAGAATGCCCACTTGAAGAGAATGGAAAATTTGGGGAAGCTGAAACTTTTCAAAGCAGACATGCTTGACTATGAATCCTTGGTGGTCGCGGTTGCAGGATGCGAAGGAGTTTTCCATGCAGACCCCCGAGGTATGATCGCTAAAGTTAAGCTAACTTTTTTGTTCTGTTTAGTCACATCCATAAGTAAGCAATTTTCAGTGTTAGATGATTTTTCATGTAAGCGAACCATTACAGATGAAAATGGTGCTTCTGCACGTAGATCGATTTTTTTCTTTCTAAAACCCATTTTTCCTATCCCTACTCTTTCTTCGAAGTAAGAAGATTTTAGTGTTATATAATTTTCCATGCATGCGAACAATCTTGGCGAGTATGATGGTTTTGCACATATATCGAACCTTTTTTTTTTCTTTCTGAAATTACTTTTTTCCTTCTATTCTACCCTTGTCAGTTGCAGCTATCACATAGAACGCAAGTTTTTCATTGAATGGGAGTTATGGCCCTACTTCATTTTTACTTATTTGACACAATGTTAAGCAATCAGCTTTTTTGTGGAATGCATATGTTCGATATATCGTTGAGATAGATGGCTACACCTCGATGAGGATCACCCAGATTAATCAACCATAACAATTTACGTAATCATCTATCCTACCTCCGGATAATCGTGTAAACATATGATGGATTGCCTTGATTATTCATTGACAACATCCGCTTACACTGACATTTACGAGGAAAATGTCCATCCTTTTCAGCCAGTGGGGAAATCCAGTCCGCGAATCAGAATGTCCCGGTCTCCCATTTAATCTTTCTTCATGCTGCTGCAGGCAGAAATGGTTCGTCCCGCGGTTCACAGAATGCTTAATGTGCTGAAAGCATGTTCCGAGGCAAACGTTAGACGGGTTGTCATGGTTTCATCTCTTGCTGCCGTCCTCAGGAACCCAAATTTTCCATTTGATAAGATCATGGATGAGGACACTTGGTCTGATAAGGAGTCCAGGAGAAATAGCAGGGTAAGTTGCAGTGCAATTCTATGCTTAGTATTCCATAAGTGGTCAGTTTCTTACATTTACGCTATATAGTTTGAGCATTCAGTTTCTTTTGATGACTCAAAACAATGAGATTTAACAAAAGCCCTATCAGCCATTACCTTACGATGAGACAATAGTAAGTTTGGTGAATGGACACTTTATTTCGTCCACACACTCAATGAGAACAGTGATTATTTGCATTGCTGGTGCATGTTCTAAGGGTTTTCATTTCATCATAAAAACTCAAAACTAGAAGCAAATAAGTATCTTTAATAGATTGTTACACTGATATATAGATCTATATCTATATCTATATACCCTTTTTTTCTACCATATGCATAGTTTCTATCCATGAAAAACATAGCGAATATTTGCCCTCTTTTTGTGCAAAATAGCCATAAATTTGCTTACTTGTTGAAAAAAAACAAATTAAACCAAATAAATTTATCACTTCACGCAGATTTTCATTATCAAGGATTGGTTGACCTATATTTCACAATCATTGGAGAATGTCTTGGATAATCCATATTATCTCATTGCATGATTTCTACATAGTTGTATGCATTGTGCTATGAGTATTTCTTTGATGTAAATCATCACTTATAAGGCGAATTTGCGATATCTCTTTGGTGCAGAGTTGGTATGACTGAGCCAAGACTCTAGCAAAAGAGAAGGCCCTCGAATATTCCAAGTCAAGTGGACTTGATGTTGTAGTGATTTGCCCATCCTTGGTTCTTGGTCCATTACTTTAGCCGACGACAAATGAAAGTAGCTTATTGCTCATCGGTTTCTTCAAAGGTTTTCCTCATGCTGAGACTGTCACTTTGCTTCTTTTGGTGACTTTGACGCTGCAACATTCTAGTGGCAACATTCTATTTCGTACATTGGGCTCTTTCCCCCTTCCTTCTGATGTTCTTGTAAGGCTGGGACCCTATCATATTCCCTTGCCTTGACTCCTTCCTTCTATCTTAATTTTTGATTGTTCTTGGTTCAGATTTTGTAGGGCAAATTGTTCAAATATTATTTATTTGTCAAGGAATTAAGTTTAATTTTGGGATTTTTTTGAGCCCTACTAAAAAATCAGTATTTGAAATTTTGCGAATAAACATTTTTGGATTTGACAAGATTACATCAAGCTAACTATGTGCCAACATTGACTAATGATTTTCCTAAGAGATTGGAAAAATGAGGGGAACTTATGTATCTCTATCATCTTATATTTGAAGGAATATTTCCATGCATTTAAGACCACTATAAAGCTTCTCTAAGCATGTGAACTACCATCTTGAGTATGAAAGCTTGAATAAATGTTGTGAGGTAATATGAAATGTTTGTGCCAAAAAAGGTGTCCCAATGTTTTTCATTTTTTTCATCCCATGATCTTTATCATACAATGTAAGTTGACTTGATCAACCCTCAATTTTCTTTTAATTATGTTAAAACAGGAGTATAACCATTCAAGTTTACACAAACCATTGCCTCTTCTCCATCTAGTTATTAGCCACTCACCCAATTCTGGCCTAGAGACTTTCTCCTTTCCCTATTCAGATTCTCCCATTGCCCTCCTAGTCCATTCTACACTCCCCTAAATAAACACTTTCCCTTCAATTGTCACCGCCATCTTGCCAACTCTTGCACCCTACACCCCTATTCTTCCAAGCATAAGTCCTGGCCGATGACAACTTTCCCATTTCATCATGGATATTTTAGAAAAATAATACTAAATAGCACAATTTAAGTTGTTCATTGATATAGTCTGAACTTAATTCTATTTTACTAGTTATTGTGGACAATAATGGGAGGAACGCCAATTTGTCATATGCTTTCATGAGATGCCAATTAATCGTAATTTTCAATTTTTTTATTACTACTATCCAATTTAATCTAATGCCCACAATGGGTTATGCTATAAAAATAAAATAATAAAATCATGGAATGTGTATCAACCCAACTAGATCACAATGGTTGATGGAATGTGAAGTTTGTGAATTATTTCTAACATGATTTTGTCAACATAGAAGCTATCTTACCAAGTATCTAATAAGTGAAAAGTAAAGCACTTAATATTTGAAAGGAAGAAAATAGATAACGAATTTGTTAGGGTACCTCAATCGACCAGAAAAATTACGACGCATTTATGGCTATAAAATGACGGGATATCCAAACCTTCACTACATAGACGCCCAGATTGACGAATCTCTCCCCCAGCACCAATACGCCCGGGGAATGGCGGGGGAGAGAAGGGTTTGTGTGACGGGGGCGGGAGGGTTTGCCGCCTCATGGCTGGTGAAGCTGCTCCTGTCCAAGGAGTTCGTCGTCCACGGCACAGTGAGAGACCCAAGTACGGATGACTCTCTATTTCCCCCCTCCAATCCCCCTTCCTTGTGTTATTGGGAATCATGGCATTCTTCTTGGCTCACTTTCGAGGGGGTGACACGTTCCTCTCTCGTCGATTAGTTTCTAACATTTAAGCTTCAACTTGAGGTTTTTCTTGCCGATTTTCGTTTGAGCTCTATTTAACCCTGTCCGCATCTTTCTCCTACAAAATCGGGATTTTCAGTGTATATTATTTCGGATGTATTAGGACTATACCATCATGATTTTCACATATCTTGGTCTACATTTCCCTGAGATCCGACTGCTGATTTCAGATGATCCGAAGAATGTCCACTTGAAAAGATTGGAGAATGCGCAGAATCTGAAACTTTTCAAGGCGGACTTGCTTGACGATGAATCTTTGTCCGCTGCCATGACTGGGTGCGAAGGAGTTTTCCATGCAGCATGCCCAGTTCCTTTGGGGAATGCTTTTGATTCCGAGGCAAGATTGTTGGTAATAGATTTTTCTGTTGGTTTTAGGGACTCTCTATTGCCGTCCAGGTTACACCCCAAAAGACAATTATTTCTTCGTGACGAGGGAAATATGTGAACCTCTAGAGATATTCAGCTGATCATGACAACAAAAATTTCATTTTTGAAGAACTTTGTATTCATGCGAACCTGTTTTAGTGAGCATTATGCCGATCCCCATACGGTGGTCGTCAAACATTCTCTTTTAAAAAATCTACTATTTTTTTTTTCTGGTCTCTACTTTCACGTTGCCCTTGGCTTATTGGATGGGAGTTAACACAGTGAATACCAAACTATTGTTTGAATGAGATCTTTCTTCGTCTTCAGTTTTGTCTATTTACACTTTGTTTAATAATCGGCTTGTTTATTCTCCATAGGGCAGCAATGGGTGGTTGATCAGGTCAGAAAACACATCCATAAGACTTAGTCATCGTTGATATTTTTCTTCTAGACTATTCCCTAACATACCTAAAGTAAGCCCTTTGACCCTCAACAATCTCAGCTAGTTTACCCAACTTAAGTTCTATCTAAAGTGGCCCCGTACTTCAGAAGGTGACGAAGTTAAACAGGAATCAAATTCATTTGGGTCACTTTTCTCCTCTCATCATGTTATTACAGGCAGATATGATTCACCCTGCGGTTGATGGAACGCTCAATGTTCTCAAAGCATGCTCTGAGGCAAAGGTTAAGCGGGTTGTTCTGGTTTCCTCTGTTGCTACTGTGGTTTTGAACCCCAATTGGCCATTCGATAAGATAATGGACGAGAATTGCTGGTCAGACAAGGAATTGTGCAGGAAAACTGAGGTAACACACCGTGCACCTACATGGTTTATTGAGTTTGGGGAGTGGGTTGCTTATTTGCCTTCCTATCATCTTTGATGAGAGTCTTCAGGTGAGTTTCGCTAGTAACAACTAGATGTTGCGTAATGTAATTTATTCTCAGCTGTTATATTATGAGAGTAGATTGATAAGCTTGGTAAATAGAGAGTCTACTTCATTGACAGACTGTAGCATTGTGCTTAGTTTCAGAAAAAAAAAAAAATCGTGAAAAATAGCAACGATCTAACACATAAAACCTCAAAATTTTGTCCTCTGTTTGGGGGATACGGCACTGTATTCTGAAATTGAAGAATTCTACTCTTTTACAGATACTTTGAACATTCATGAAGCAACTCTTCATTGACTTACATTCTGTAGTTTTTTGTCATGCCACAATTGCTGTTCATTTTCATCTATCTGGTGCAGATGTGGTATGAATTTGCCAAGACAGTAGCAGAAGAAAAGGCTCTTGAGTATTCCAAGTCAAGCGGACTTGATGTTGTAGTGGTTTGCCCATCTCTGATTTTCGGTCCAATACTCCAGTCAACAGTAAATGGAAGTAGCTTGCTGTTCATTAACTTTTTGAAAGGTTTTCCCCAAGCTGAAGCTGCCAATTATCATCTTCATGGTTTTGATGCTTGGATTTAGCGTGCATACTTAGCGTCTTTAGATGAATCAAGGATTGCAGTTTCTGCTTGAAGTCAATTAAAAGTTGTCGTCATAACCACTGGAGGCATAGTGGAAGAACCGTCAGATAATCAATTCATTCAAACAGGGGAAAGTGTTTTACGACGAGCTCATTAATTCTGTCATGATATTTCGTACTTCAACTAATGTTTAGGGAGATGATTTCTTGTTATATTTTATCATAGGTCAACTTCTTACTCTGCATTGAGCCTTTGCACATGTGCTGCACATTATTCTTCCATCAGTTTTTCTTCGTTACCTTCAGTTTCTCAGCTTCCTGTTGTGCTTTGTTGGTGTAAATAGGGAAGCGGATGTTGGTAATGTCGTATCATATTCTATACTTGGTTGATGTTAGAGACGTTGCCGATGCACTACTTCTCGTCTATGAGAAGCCAGAGGCCAGTGGAAGATATATATGCAGTTCTTACTGGATAGAGACGTGTGATTTCCTTGGCAAATTGAAGAGCATGTATCCACATTTTCCTTACCCAGATTGGTATGCTTTTCATTCTCTGGTGATATGGAATGTAATTCTATATGCATGCATATCATAAGATAGTTTTATTTCCTTCCCTTCATGACATATGTGGGTTTTTCTAATTGCAGTCCTTATGAGGCAAAGCCATATCATCAACTGAGCTCAGAGAAGCTAAAGCAGTTGGGTTGGACTTACAGGACGATAGAAGAATCCATTAGAGATAATGTGGAAGATTTCCTGGAGAAAAGCCTGCTGGATGTGAATTGAAGACGTGTATGAGAACTCTCGTGCTCGCACATTCTTGCCCAAGACAACAGTTATGCTTGAAGCTGAAAAGCACTGGACTGGCCATCTCACCATGGTAGGTAGAACAAAGGATGGACAAGGTCATGATGTTAATTTGCTGGACTGAAGAAACCCTAAAATAAAATTTTGCGCAGTTGTTTGGTGCATGCCTACGTCAAGAAGACAAGGATGATGAATCTTGGATTGTGAATAATGAGATGTTATTGTCAAGTTGTATAATATTTCACTCTAGTTCAGCCTGAGCCTACTACCTTAAAAAATAGAAGTAAAATATGATGAAAATAAAATGTTTATAGGAAGTTTTTGTGCAACGAATATTGACATCTACTTTCATGAATTAACTATTGTGCCATTACCAGAAGGCTAATCATGCTTATGTAATAGGATGTGTGCGTGTGGATGTTTCTTAATTCTATGAAGGCCTTCAATTTCAGTCTCTAATTAATGAGTTCTTACCCAAATTATATGTGAGCATTCTTTCATTGTTCTTGTTCTTGTTTATAAGAATAGAAGAGGAATTAGTTGGCATCATGTTGATCTGTTATATGGGTATGAAACATAAGGACTGACTTAGAACATGGTCATAATCGGTGTGGGGCTCATAAGCTGTGCCTAGTCCTGGGTAGAGCCAAATTAGGATCTGGACATCAATTTAGCACATATATGATGAGTTGAAAAAATTATCAACTAGGCGACTATGGTTTGTGGAATATGAGCTAGATATACCACTTTCACATCAAATATTCACACTCCCTCAAAATTCTGCACTTCATCTGTAGACTATCATCTTATTAAGACCTAGAAAATAATCTGAAATATTCACGAAGTAAGATGATATCACACTATTTCTGCACTTCTATCCTATGGTAGATTAGGATTCCCTAAGGAGTCGGTTTCTTACATTTATACTATACGTAATGAGAGCACTCACTTGATGTTTACAACAGAAAATAGTGAGGAAGAGATAAGGAATTGTGAGCGTCGTGAGATAGTGAAGAGAGGAAAGATGATAAGTCTTCATTATCATGAGTTAATAATTAGTAAATAATATAGTTTCAGTCTTAACTCATGTTAAATAGACTTATATTTGTGTTAAAGTATGATTTGTGGTTTTTAGTTGATTAACGTGAATTTTTGGGTAATTATGTGATTTTATATGATTTTTACAGTCTTACTTTTGAGATAAATAAAGAACAAGAAAGAAAAATAAAAATATTGCAAAATGGGAGGACCCGCTGGCCAGCCGGGCCTGCTTTCAATTTACTTTACGCTTCATTTAGTGATAATTTTTGTGTTTTTAATTTACCAAAATATACTTTGTTCTATTACGATTCTTTCGGCTTTTACAGATCTTAATTTGATCAATTAAATCGTCTGTAAACACTTACGTAAGAATCGCTAGGCAGAACTCTATTTTCGTCCGATTCGCGTTTGCCGGGCACTGACGTCATCTTGACATCCGCACCCTTATTTCTCTTTTTCGTGAATTTTAAATATATTTCCTTTTTTTTTCCTAGTATAAAATTCATAGAAAATCGTATTCATTGAGAATTTTTTTGAATAATAACCAGATATTATATTACATCCCTGTGATCGACTTGGAAAATTACCACTATTTTTGGATTTTTTATTGAATTATAATTGATATATTTATTTAGAAATACTTCTAAATATCCAAAAATTCATATTTTTTTGTTTTATAAATTTTATATTTGTGTGATTTAATATACAATGACTGAGTCACGTCAAAAGCGAAGGGGAGAGGTCGGCAGTGGGGAATGGTAGGGGAGAGGAGGGTCTGTGTGACTGGCGCGGGGGGCTTCGCCGCCTCATGGCTTGTGAAGCTTCTCCTCTCCAAGGGGTTCGTCGTCCACAGAATAGTCCGAGACCCAAGTATGGAATCCTCTATAACCAAACCCCCCCCCTCAACATCTCGACGACTCCATCTCTTCCTTCTCTGCGTTCTTGCCGCCTGTCCGATTCTCGTTGGATCTTTCTCGGAGCTCTCCCTTGCGTACCTCTGAAAATTTTGAAAGCTCGCAGTTAGGAGGATCTGCGCTAGATTATAATTTGTCCCCACCATTTTATCCGCAAACAGAGCTTTTGGGTCGACTGATTCTAGTCTTTTTGGAGATGATCACTGTTTTTTCCTACATGGGGAAGGGTGTGGTTCTTGCGTTGTAGTAACTAGAGATGAAACCAGTTTACCAGTATCCAATCATTTATTTACGTGTTTTCATCTCAAAACCATTATTTCACTGGCTCATAATTCCATAACTGTGAACTTTTTTTCTCTGGCCTTTACCAGTTCCCTAGACAAAAGTTTTTCCTTAAGACCGGCTGGCTTCCAGATTTCTCCTCTATTCTTCTAAAATTTTAGTACAACTTATGAAGTCTGTTATGGGAAATCTTCTTGATGGATGAATGATAGGATTCATCCCCCTTGATGCTGGGCTAAATTAGAAAAAGACACCAAGAGGTTAACCACCTCTTGTTTATAAATGGGGTTCATGGTTCTTGAGTCACACATTATGTCTCTTAGAACATTTCATTTCTCTAGAACAAGTCATTGGACGACTCCCCTACGTTGATCTAGAAGGTCATCCTCATATTTGCGCCTTTATGGATTCAAGTATGGTTTCAATTCATTCTCATTATGTTTTGTCATTCTCTATCTACATCAACACAAGATCATTTAGATCTAACAAAGGATTCCTCATTTGGACGGGGGAGAGGGGTGGAAAAGTGTGAGAAGTTTTTGATGAGAACCCCTAAAGATCTGCCCTCTTGAAGTGGTGATTGTATTTGAGGAATTCCTCTTTCAGGGTCTACCTTGGCCCTTCTCTTGTTATCACAAGTGCAGGTTCTTTATGTTTGTCAAAACTAAAGTCCTCTTTCTTTCCCTTATCATTTCATAATTTCTCTCTTCATTGAAATTTGAGAGCTCTCACTTTGAGTTAGGGGTCCCATCATATTAGTATCAAAATTGGCTTCTAGGAGACATGCTTCAGCTTAAACATCTCTTTTTAATCTATTGAGAAACTGATTTTTGAAGATTGGATCAAGAAATTCATGAATTATTATATTTATGAGCTGAAAAATTTCACAATATTTAATCATGAAACCCTATCATTTGATATTCATGAAGTATTGACAAAATTAACAACGATTAGTCATCACTAAAAACACTCCAATACTTGGTGCTGAAAATCTTCTTTGACAGTTTCTTGCCTTGTCATCTATTTATACTGTACTACAATCTTTCCTTTGAGTCTCATTCTAGTTGTGGTTAGTTTCTTAGTGCTTGTCAATTGATGGACACAACAAATATAGCTCAGTTTAAGAAACCCATCTTTTTGGATTTTCACCACTAAACATGGGCATCTGAAGTTTGTAGGAGCCATGCTTAGATTAAAAAAAAGTTGTTGTAAGCAATGATTGCTTCCAATATGCCTTAGTGATGTGAGTGTGGCCAACCACATGAGGGTAGATTGTATTCTTGACCAAAACATGGAATATAATGACCATGAATAGATTTGCTGATGCCTCTTCCCTTGCCTACTTTTTTGTGGATGTGTGGTTTGCTGAGAGGTGTTTTTGATAGAGAAGGACTATGTTGTTGATAAAATTCTTTCCTCACCCATACAAGAAATTTCAATTATTAGGCTGAAGGGTTCAATGAGGTCAAGTGAAATATAAAGAGGGTAAGGGGGGATGAATTGATTTCTTATGGTTTATGCTCCATTCTTTTATTTTTTTATGAGTGCATATGTTAGCATGAACACTTACACAACTTCTTTACTATGCGTACTAATTTATTTAAAATGGTTTCTCTCTCTATGTGGGTTTCCTCTTGACTCTCTCATCACCATTAAGGACATAAAGTTTTTAGATTGGCTCACCATTCTTTAGACTACATCTAGTCTTAGAGAATTTTTCATACCAGAGTTCACTATTTTCTATTGAAAATTCATGTTGATTTCTTGGGATTATCAGACCAATCACACAAGTCCAATCTCTACAAAGATCATAACATTTAGGGCACAATAAGTCTCTCAAAATTGTGTGATTTAGTCAGCACATACTAGTCTCATTTGAGACTGCACCCTTCATAGGACACTAACAAGCTCTTAACACCATGTGCCTTAACCCAAGCCTCTCTCAACTTACCATCTTGATACCAACCCAAAGGAGAGAGAGAGCCTTTGAAGCAAGTGTTGACTTAAATCATCACCATAAAATGAGATATTTGATATAGCTTTTTGCTCTAATATGAAATGGACATCAACTTTACTTTGACAAAAAGATATTTTTTCATTTAGAGTTATCTTATTCTTTGTAATTTCCTTCAATTCTCCAGCATCTTTTTGTATTTTCATCACTTGAAAAATGGTCGCATGAATTCAAATGTCTTCTTATTGCTCTACCAACATGCTAATGACCTTTGGTTATTCTTTCATTTGAAGCTTGTTATCTTCACGTTCATTGTCCTTGATATTTTGTTTTGAAAATTGTTAGTTTATTAAGATACATTGTTAATTTCAAGGTCAAGTTCAAATAATATTGTTAATTTTGTTGTTATCTCTATATATTTTGCTGATATGTTATTGTCCATAGTGAATGACATTGATTTTCACTTGTTCCTTCATTTAAAATATTCATTTAAACTTAAAATAAATCCTAAAATACTCAGAAAAATCCAAAAATATCTAAAAATCAGGAAAATACTTTGATCATAATTTATACCTAAAGTGATTTTTTAAATAATTATTATACATGTGAAGTATATAAATAAATTTACATGTTATAGAGAATATGAAAAATTCACAAAATTAGACATGTATTTAGAATATTGATCATAAATTATGCTTTTCCCCCTATTTTATGTATAATTAAATGTTATTTTGTATCAAATTAGATACTGATTATCTAAATTATGCAATACTTAATGTGCAGAATTTGCATGTTATTAGATGTCTTACTCAATTATTTTCTTCACATAAGACCCTGATGTTTTCTCATACAAGATATGTGGTGAAGACTTTTTCACTTCCATGAGGGCTTCATGCGAACAAATGCAACTCAGTCGCTGAGTATGACTAGAGTTTGAGTCTATTTGAATCATTAATCATTTGATGTTCTCCATATTTTTGAATAAGATTAGCTTTTCATTATGTCAATGTAAATATTTTCATTTTAATCTTGCATTTGTCTGTCTTTATAATATTCAAATGTTCCGGTCGTCATTTTTTCCATCTTTACATAACTTGCATCCTGAATTTTAAAGGTAACTTCACATTTCTAGTAATGTGGCTTTGTCATACATGTTGGCACATGTTACTCTATTTTAGTAATGTGACTCTCTATTATTTTGACATGAAAAATGTCCTAAGTGTGTAACTCTTAAGATTTGTTGTTAGTCATAGATTATATTGAACAACATCAATATCTATATATATAATTTGAATATTTCTTAAGGATATTTACTTATGATGTAAACTATCATAAAATAAATGTTTAATGATTTAATAAATTCAATATATCATTCATAAATAAAATTTATAATATAAATGTTAAAACCAAAGGCCTCAATAGAGAGTGCAAGGGACACTTATATAGAAGTGTTGGGGTACACATGTTAATGGGTACACATATTGACATGAGCTTCACATGCACTTGTGTAATAGTAGTGTGTGTGGCAATTGAGGCTGGTACCCCTTAGTAATATATTTCATGAGTTATCAGACTTCTAGAGTTCAAAATTATTATATTAACGTGACTTAATCATCGTATAATAAATCCCGTAAATTTAAAATTTATAAAACTATAAAATACTAGTTTTCAAATTTTTAGAAATATTTCAGAAAATATAAATCAATTATAATTCACCACAAGGTTCAAAAAAGAGTAGGAAATTTTTAAGTCAATCATAAGAATGTAAGATAATATCTGATAATATTTCAAAAAGTTTCTCAAAGAATACAAGTTTTTATGATTTTTAAATTTAATAATAAAAATAAAATATATTTAAAAATTTACAAAAAATAAAAATTTGGGTGCAGACATCAAGATATATCATCACTTTGATGAAAAAAATTGAGACAAAAATAGAGTCCACCTCACGATTCTTTTGTAAGAGATTACATATAATATAGTTGATCAAATTAAGATATGTAGAAAATAGAAGAATCATAATTTAATGAAGAAGAATTTTAAAATTTGAAATAACAAAAACTATCACTTATTTAAGCAAAATGAAATTTAAAATAGAAAAGACAAAGTTTCAACTTCATGACATCAATTGTCGGAATTCTATATTTGAAAGAATTATCATGTGATGTCCATAGTCTCAAAAGCTCTTCTTGTACATAAACGACTTGGACAATTTTTAGATATTTTTGTAAAGTCTAGAATTCAATGGAATAGGTTGACGAATCATCTTCGACGGCTATTACCTAGCAGAGTGGAAATACGATGACTTTCAGATCTATGAGGGTTGTCACCTAACAAAGATAAGCTGAATGGAGGTAGGGTGCGTCTTAGAGAGTGATGTGACTTAATCATTATATAATAAGTAATGTAAGTTTAAAATATATAAAACTAGAAAATACTTCTATTTAATTTTTTAGAAATATTTCAAAAAAAATTAATATAATTTGATAAAAGGTTTCAAAAATAGTAAGAAAATTTGAAGTTGATTAGAGGGATACAAGATAATATATGGTAATATTTTATAAGTTTATTCAAAGAATTTAATTTTTTTTCTTAGGGATCGTCGAGGTCAACGAATCCATCGAGTCAGGCATGTGCACATGTGGAGGTCCAGCAACGGTCCACGCCAACTCCAAGTCAGATCTATTGACTACCAGTGTGGAGGTCCAGAGATAGTCCATGCTGACCCCGAGGTCCATTAATCCATTGGAGTGGATTATCCACTTATTTTACAATAAGTATTTTTCTATAGATGATTTGTAGGCAAGGGGGGAGACTCTCGAGGTCAACGATCTCATCGAGTCAAGCATGTGCATGTGTGGAGGTCTGGCAATGGTCCACACCGACCCCGAGGTCCATTATCTATTGACTGTCAGTGGTGAGGTCTGGGGATGGTCCATGTCGACCCCGAGGTCCGTTTATCCATTGACTATTGGTGGAGGTTTGACAACAATCCACTCCTACCTCGAGTTTGTTGATTTGTTGGCATGGATTATCCACTTATTTTACAATAAGTATTTTTTCTATAGATGATTTTTGACAAAGAGAATGATGTTTCACACCCTCTATGTATACTATTCATTTTAAAAAAATTCACATTATTATTTTTATTTTTAAAATTCTAAAACAAGTTATTTATCTTCAAGTCCAATGGATGAGGGTATAAAAATCTCTATTAAACTCAATGATCAACCAAATCTTTATATAAAGTAAATACTATCTATTAAGGTCATGAAATGTAAATAGATAAAATTAAATCCATGTTGTCAATCCTACTAAAATCCTACTTAGGTATTTCAGCATTTCATGCTATTAAATCATTCTTCTAACAAAATAATAATCATCTTAATCTCTTTGAGTATCAATAAATATTTTTTGTGTATGTCTAGGGGATTGAAATGTGAGAAAAGAGTCTCTAAATTTTTAAAATTTGAACAATTTTTAATATTATTATTATTATTAGTTTCTGACAGAAAATCGACAAATAGATGCTATAGTTTTTTTGAATTTCTTTTTTAGTTACTTTTATAGGTGAGCATGAAAATAAATGCAAACACATGTTCTTAATCATTCTAAAATATGAATTAATAGTTCATACTTCACCCCCAACTTAAAAATGACATTGTCTTCAATGACATAGAAAAATCGAAATAAAATATGTAAACAATATAATTTTCAAGTGAAGTATGTATATTTGTAAATTTAAGTACTAAAAATACTGTCATAAAAGGTAAAGTTAAAAAATACATCACCTCAACCTCATTTTTGATTTTATACTTCATCTTACACTCCTCTTGTACTTTTATTTGAAGAAATAAACACAAAAAAAAATAACATGAAAATTCTAAAAGAAATAGAATTTAAAAATCATAACATAATTAATGAAACAAATTTTAAGTTGCCTCTCATGTAGTACTGAATTTAATGTCTTCAGCTAGACATCGCTTAGATCATATAAGATGATCTATGGTCATGATATTCTTTTTCAGATTTAAATAAATTCAAGTACTTTATATATTTTTTTCAGAATTTGGCTGTAGCTTTACTAGTATCATAATTCCTGAATTTCTACGTGAATCAAGATTTTTTTTATACCTTGAGATACTTTCAGTCAAAACAAAATGGAAATTAATTTTTTTCCTAAAATTAATATTTTGATTTTGAAAATAACTTCTCCTCATTTTTATCTTATTTTTTAAGACTCATTAATTAGTAAATATTTTATATTGATGCATCATAAAATGTGATCTAGCTTTATAATTTTCAAATTATCTTTTACCAAATCTAAGCATTTTTCATCAAAAATGATATATCTAATTGCTCCAGTCACCTATTTCTTAATATATATTTTTATCTGCATAATCCACCATTATTCTATTTTAATTTTCCTACATATTTATTCAATTTGTGAGAGTAAAATATTTCAATCTTAGACTTAATTCTAATGAGTTATTTGTTTAGAAGGATGGAATAATTATCTACTTTAATCTCAGATCTAATGAATTCATTCAAATTCAATTTTTCTCTTATAAATTATTTTTTATTTCACATTAATCATTTTCGTTTCTCAATTCATCAAATTCTTCATCCTTCTAAGACCTATCATCTTCTCATTTATGTATATGATAGACATTAACATCACCATTAGCAAAATCAATTGTTATGAAATAGTAATTAGAGTTATTAATTTCATCTCTTATATCTCACTCAACTGGTTTTTCTTCACTTGAAATGTATTTTTTTAATTTTTGCCTTGGAATATGTTGATGAAATAAAATGCCCATTTAGGAAATTTATAGTTGTCTCATCATAATGTAGTGGTTGGCAATACTTTCATTAGATCTTTAGGCTTCAGTCCTGAAAATCAATTGAATACTCTCACAGTCTATACTATAAATGTAAGAAACCAACCCCTTTGGGAATCCTAGGTTAGCATAGGATTGGAAAGTAACTTACCCTATTGTTCCTTCAAGATTCCTTATCAAACCAAGTGTCTTCATCTATAATCTTATATCAAACAGGGAATTTGGGTTCCTAAGGATAACATCAAGGGACGAAACCATGAAAACCCATCCAATGTTTACCTCGGGACATAGTTTGAGCACATTAAGCTTTCCATCAACAATGGGGTGAATCATTTCTACCAGCAGCAACATGAAGAAAGATTAAATGAGAGATCAGGCAGTTTTGATTCGCTTGATGACTTTCCTCACTAAATGAAAAGGTTGGACATTTCTCCCTATATGTAGGGGAAGGTAAGTGGCATGCATGAATGGCTAAGGGGGGCCCTTAGCTCTTTACATGATAATTTGGAGGCATGATAAATGATTACATGAAATGTTATGGTTTATTAATCTTGGTAATCCTCATCGAGGTGTAACCTTTTATGTGAAGGATATATCTAGCATATGAATTCCACAAAACATCTGATCGCTAAACATCATATCAAAATATGTAAAAAAGAAGTGCAACCAAACCTCCCTTTCAACTGAAAGTTTGCCTTCTCCAAGATTGCTGACAACCAACCAACAAGGGAGGAGTAGGAAAAGAAAAATTATAAGGAAAATGTTTGATTGACATGCAGAACCATCAACTTGTCAAGGATGGTTTAAGGGCCTAGAAAATGTGTAGTTGGATTGTTAATCCAACCAGATTTTGACTAGGTAACTCTACAATTGTAGTTAGACATAGCATGAGTTTTTCCTATGTTTTTCTTTGATCTTCGTACATTTTAGGATACATCATTGTCTGTAAAAGACCTTTTGGCATGTGGAGACTGTTTTGGGATGCCTAACATATCAGATATCATGGAGAAGATCTTCATTTCTCTTTCTTCAGATTTCATTTGCCTTTTCAATAGGTTGACACATTTCTCTCTCCTCTAGTTTCCTAGAAGATAATAAGTTGACACATTTTCTCTCCATTCTATATTTTGATTTTTCTTTGGATAAGTTGACATATTGGTAGACACTTTCTTCTTTTTCCTTTTCATCTGTTTTTGAAATTATATTATTTTGTTTTGAAACTAATTTTTTGTTTAGTAATCTCTTTTGTGATAATTTTCTTCACTATATTATGCCCGAAAATATAATGCAACAATGAATATACAAGACCTAATAACAATAGTGAAAGAATGACATATTTATGAATAATTTATAGATTTTTAATTTTTTTTGCCAAGATTTAAATCTCTAATCCTACAATCTTCCCCTTTTGATGTTAACAAAATCTTTGGATAAAATTACTCAATCATAGGTGTTTGAAAGATTAAAGATATTATCATGAAAATATCTATGAAATGATAAATTTATTAATATTATTATTTTGTTTCAGCAAGTAATCTAATTTATGACTATTTTCTAGAAAAGGAGAACAAATATTCCGTATGTTTTTTATGGATTCAAAAGATGCATATAGAGAATATATATATATATATAACACTCTAGAGAGAGAGAGAGAGAGAGAGAGAGAGAGAGAGAGAGAGAGATATTAGTGTTCAAAGCCAATGAATAGTTTTTATAGGTTCTAGTTTTGACTTTCTATGAAGAAATGAATACCCTTAGAATACACAATAGGAATGAATTGATTAGTTTCAATGCTCTTGATTGTGATGTAACCTTCTAATTCAATCATATAGCGAAAATATGAATTTAGTAAACATAACGTAATGGCAATGACCTCAACAACCTTTAATTGAAATGACCCGACAGTAGAATTCAATGTTGACTTGTCAAGAACATTACTAGTAGTTCACATGTCTGATAAACTTAAATATCTGAGATAGTTACACAAAAATCTATTGAAAATGAACTTTGACTAATTTTTTAACGAATATCTAGGTTGGCTTTAAACATGGACTATTTGGTGGAGACTTGCGAAACGTTGGTAGAAGGACACTTGACAGTGGGCTGCTGTAGCAGATGAGGTTATCCTTTAACTTGTATGTTCATTGACCCAACACACGTGACCAACGGGTGTGGTTTCTATTGTCACATTCCTATAGAAAGAAAAAAGGGCCCCACAACGAGAACATTTGCCATCAAACAAATCTTCTAGGGAGAATAGGTAACACGACTTGTAACCGTTGGCTAAGAGACGTGTATTGTGTTCTTGTGCCCGTCAAAGCATCTCATCAAGATGGAGGGGCATTTATCATGTTCATTTGTGAGGTGCAAGGTAGGAACAAGCCACTGATGACTCTTCCCCATAAAACGGGTGGTATGAAAGCCATGTTAAGAGATGGCAGGGCCATTCCCTTTCCTATTGGTGTGTCCTAGAGTTCAGATTATTTATCCTCTTTGACCAAAAGCTTTCTCACGTCAAAGGAGCAGGAACATACGACCACGTCGACAATGCACTGACCTAAGCCCATTTATGAATGATTTCTTTTATTATTGGTTCCTTTTATTTTTTATTTCTTTATTTTGATTTCTGAACTCCTATAAATACTATCATAATCCTAAATCGAGCATAGAGAAGAATTTGGGGAATTTGCTCTATGTAGGAGAGCCGTGAGGGCCAACTATCTACGCTCTATGAAGGAGAGGCCGTAAGGGTCAGCTGTTTACGGAGTGTGAAGGAGAGGCCCTGAAGGCTGAAATCCGTTCGCATCCACCTTCCACCATTCTTCAGCAGCTTCCTCCGTCCTGTTTCTGCTGCTGCCCATCCCAAGCTGGTGCCTTTCTGACTTTATGCCCCTTCCGCCCTTCGCTGTCCTTAGCCAAGCAACCCATCACTAATGTCGTCGCTAGTCGCCAGCGTCCATCATCCTCCACCGCCTAATCCCACCACCCTTTTGTCTTCGCCCACTACCAACGATCGCCATTTACCCCTACCTATCATTATGATGGGCCTCTGGCACTCTGCCACGTCCCACGTAAGAACACGATCCCCTCTGGCATCAGCAACCACCTGAAGCTATACGAGGGAGATTGTGAGCCGGGAGGATAACGACTCCCTTCTTCTCTATTATTTGATGAAGGTAGAGTGGAAGGAGTGGGGGTGTGAAGTATCCAAGAGTGCGAGACCGCTCAACATGTCTCAAGTGCAACATCCTCTCCCTCAATTGAATTATCGTTGTGTCCTTGAGTCATGTTCATTAAATCTCCTTGAGTCCAGCTTGTTTTGTCCCATAGTTGAGTCTCTATATTTCTCTTTGTTGTGAGTCACGGATGAGGCTGGCATCTCAGCGTCTCTATCACTAGATACTATAGCTTGCTGTGTTCTATATATTATATACTCAATTGTTTCTCACAGGCTAAGTCACTATTCACCTCTCTTCCTCACTCTCTTCTCTTGTCATTAGCAATTGTTCACTCTGTCTCCTCTACCATTGTAATCATCGTCGACACTGTTCACGCGGGGTTCTACCAAATCCTTCCTTCGCCATCATTCACTATCGATGCCACCGTCTATCGACACTACTGCCATCCGCCTTCGGCATCTGCCACCACCTTTGTTGTTCGCCGCCCTTTCTCTCACTGCCCACTAGTCCTCTTGTTTCGCTTGTCCACTCCTTTACCACCTGTTGCTTCACCCCTATCGAGTATACTTTATTTCCAGCCTGCCAACTAGGGTTAATCCTTAATCGGTTCGGATTCCGGATCTGACCGGTTCTATTTCTACTTGGGCCCAACCTGCTCGACCACCTGGTTCGAGCCAACGCACAATTCCAGTCTGAACCATCTCTGACTGTTTGAGTTGCACCAGGCCGTCTCGCTGGTCAGAACTATTCTACAGCTTGGTCTGTTCCAGTCCACTTCATCTGGTTCAAACTCGTCCACCCAACCGTCAGGCCAGTGCAATCAACAAAAAATGACAATGGTCAATGGTGAATTTTCGTCAACAGCCAACGACAAGTCAACTATTCATAATTAGCACCCAGCTTCAACCTATGTTCCTCCACCAGTTAGTCCTATTCTGGCAACATGATTATCTCTAAACTCTCTTCCTTTTATACTTCAGCTCTTTATTCATTCAATATATTTTCTTGCGACATTGTTGTTGAGTGATCAACTTTCACTTATAGCTAGCGGTGAGAGTATGGAGACAACCCACTTGATTCTCTTCCACAAGGCTACTTAGGCAGCAGTCAATCATCCTAAGTCGCACGTGGTTAGTAGTGGGAGCTATACCATCCCTTGTGATAGCTATCATTCGGTCAATGTTCTCTCTCTCTCTCCCTCTCTCTATCTATCATAAGGGGACGAAGAGCGGTGCTGGGCCATGGTGGAGGAGAGAAGGGTTTGTGTGACGGGGGTGGGGGGCTTCATTGCCTCTAGCTGGTAAAATTGCTCCTATTTGAGCGCTTCACCATCCATGGAATAGTGAGAGACCCAAGTAGGGAGGTCCCTCTAGTCCTTGGTGGCTTCCTACATTGTCTTCTTGCCAATTTATGTGATTCTTCTGACTTCTGGTTTTAGAGGGCAACACATTCTTCTCTTGTTCATTAAGTTTAAGTAATATTAACCTTCGACTTAAGGAACTTTTTGCCAGCCTCCACTTAAAGTCTACATCGTCCTTATCTTCATCTCTCTTGCAAAATGAACCTTTTTACAAACCTTTGAAATATGTCTTTGGATTTCTTTGAATCAAGCCAGTGAAAAAAGAAAGTTATTGACTCAAGAGTTTTCTAAGGGTTGTGTACTCATCTTCAGGTGAGGTGAAGAATGCCCACTTGAAGAGAATGAAAAATTCAGGGAACCTTAAACTTTTCAAAGTAGATACACTTGACTATGAATATTAGTGCTCACCGTTGTAGGATACAAAATAGTTTCCATGCAGCATGTTCGGTCCCTATGGTGAAAGAACCAAACCCCAAGTAACAATCGCTCAAGTTAGATTATTTTTTTTTGCTGTTCACACTCATAACTAAGAAATTTTTAGTGTCAGATAATTTTTGAGGCATGCGAACCATTACTGGTGAGTATGGTGGTGTTGCATGTAGATTGAGCATTTTCTTTCTTGAACTATCTTTTCTAACCTTTACTCCATTGAACTAAGAAAATTTCAGTGTTAGATAATTTTCCAAGCATACAAACCATTCTTGGTGGGTATGATGGTTTTGCACCTCTTTTTCTTCTAAAATTCCTTTTTCTTTCTTGTAAGCAAGCTTTCTTGATTGCAACGATCACAAAAAAGGCAAGTTTTTTTGTTGAATGGGAGTTATGGTTGTACTTCATTTTTTCATATTGATACAATGGTTAAGCAATCAGATTTTGTGTGGACCATATATGTTTGATATATCGTTGACATAGAAGGCTATGCCTCAGTGAGGAACACCAAGATTAATCAACTTTTTGTAACAATTTATGTAATCATCTTTCCTACCTCTAGATTATCATGTAGACATTTGAGGGATTGCCTTGATGGTTCATGAACAATGTCAAACTTCCTGACCTTTACAGGTAAAATGTCCAACCTTTTTACTGGTGAGAAAAGTCATCCCACAAGTCAGAAAGGTCGAGGAAGGTTGGACATTTGAAGGATTGCCTTGATCTCTCACTTAATCTTTCTTCTTGCTATTGCAGGTAGAAATGATCCACCCCATGGTTGATGGTATGCTTAATGTGCTCAAAGCATCTCCCAAGGCAAACGTTAGACAAGTTGTTATGGTTTCATCTCTTGCTGCCATCCTTAAAAATAAGATCATCGACCCAAATTGCTCATTTGGTAAGATCATCAATGAGGACAGTTAGTCTAATGAGGTATTTTGTAGAAACAACAAGGTAAGTTATGATGCAATCTACCTTGCTACATAACCTCTGAGGAGAAGCACTAAAGTTTGTAGTTTATTTGTTTACTCGGGTTCCAACTAAGACAACTGTTAAAACTCTTTATGAACTTTGGAGGGACAATAAACCTACCTTAAAGTATTTGTATATTTGGGATTGTTCGGCTGAGGCAAGACTTTACAGACCTAATGAAAGGAAACTTAACTCTAAATAGTTAGTTGTTACTTTGTTGGATACCCAAAAAGGTCTAGGGGGTATAAGTTTTATAATCCCACTACTAAAGTTATTTTTGACACAAACTATTTATTTCTTTGAGGATGTTGAGTTTACAGGGAGAGATAAGATTAGAGACATTGATTTTGAAGAAGAATATGTAAATATTTTTTCTTTTGTTATTGACAATGATCTTGACGACATCATCTTGACTAACATTGATCAAAAAGTAATTTCAGATCAAAATCATATATCATCATGCCTCCTATTTCAGAAAAACAAACTCAACATATTTAAGAACCGGTGCCACTAAGATCTACTAGAGAGAGGATGAATACGATTTCAGATGAATATATTGTATTTCTCTTAGAACATGAGGCTAACATCGGAGTGATGGAAGATGATCCTATCAACTTCCATCAAGACATTCAAAGCTTCAATTCTAATAATTGGATCAGTGCTATGAATGAGGAGATTAAATTTATAAAGGACAATGACGTATGTGATCTTGTCTCATTACCCGAAGGCACAAAGCCTATTAGTTGTAAATAGATATTTAAAATCAAAAAGGATTTGAAGGGTAATTGATAAGTCTTCATTATCATGAGTTAATAATTAGTAAATAATATAGTTTTAGCCTTAACTCATGATAAATAGACTTATATTTGTGTTAAAGCATGAAAAGTGGTTTTCAGTTGATTAACGTGAATTTTTGGGTAATGATGTGATTTTATACGATTTTTACAGTCTTAGTTTTGAGATAAACGAAGAACAAGAAATAAAAATAAAAATATTGCAAAATAGGGAGACCCGCCGGCCAGCCGGGCCCGCAAGCGGGTCGGAAGCGCAGTCGGGGAGTAGCCGCGAGCAGGGGCTCGAGCACCTTGCTTGGATCGATAGGGGGCACGTGTGCGCCACTCCCCTTCCACGTCATCGGTGGTCAGCCGGCTGTGGGGCAAGGAGTGGTCGTACACGCGAGAGGATTTTGCCTACAAAGCTAACTTTACTATATATTCGCCCGAATAATCCGCGCACAACCGATGTGGGACTAAACCCGCGTCACACCTTCTTCAGGGGCGGGCGACCGCCGCGGGTTCGAATCCTCCCAGAGTCAAAATTCATATATTTTTAACTGATTATCGCGACTTTCCTGCAGATCGCCGGTGAAGGATTAAGCAACCGGAATCGCTGGATCATCGGCGAAAATCTCGTCAACGCGATTCGCGGAGCATTGCTACTAAAAGTTCTGAACGATTCGCGATAAAAGGATCGCAATCCATCGAGTAAATCATCTCCGATTGATCGACGAACAAGCCGTCGTCGGGAAGAGGACGATCCGCCGGGAGACCAGTCGCCACCTCCTGAGAGCGTACCAGATGCGATGAAGAGCCTCCTCTTGCTGCGCGGACCTGAGGATGAAGCTCCCTAACACGCGCCTCACCTCCATCCAGCCCCTCTCCGTCGGGTGACAGCCGCCGGAGAGCCGCAAAGTCGCCGTTTTTCCGCTCCGCCGGGTGACAGCCGCCGGAGACGATTCGACGACCCACTTCATTGGTCTCTAGACTTCGCGAGAAGATCTAGAGATTGCCCACGTCGTCTTTGTCCAAGGAGAGCCTTCGAGGCCGTGGACACTGCACGACGACCCTCCCGAACGCTCAGGATTCCGGTGCATCGCCGACGCGTCGCCGTCGCGACGCCGGAACTCTGTTTTCCTGCTTTATCTAGAGATTTCCCACGTCGTCTTTGTCCAAGGAGAGCCTTCGAGGCCGTGGACACTGCACGACGATCCTCCCGAACGCTCAGGATTCCGGTGCATCGCCGACGCATCGCCGTCGCGACGCCGGAACTCTGTTTTCCTGCTTTCAATTTAATTTACGCTTCATTTAGTGATACTTTGTTGATTTTTATTTACCAAACTATACTTCGTTCAACTACGATTCTTCCGGCTTTTACAGATCTTAATTTGATTAATTGAGTCGTCTGTAATCGCCTACGTAAGAATCGCCGGGCGGAACTCTGTTTCCGCCTGATTCGCGTTCGCCGGGCGCTGACGTCATCCTGACGTCCGCACCCTTATTTCCTTTTTTTTGTGAATTTTAAATATATTTCCTTTTTATTTCCTAGTATAAAATTCGTAAGAAAATCGTACTCATTGAGAAAAATTCTGAATAATTACCAGATATTATATTACATCCCTGTGATCGACTTGGAAAATTACCGCTATTTTTGGAATTTTTATTGAATTATAATTGATATATTTATTTAGAAATACTTCTAAATATCCGAAAATTCGTATTTTCTAGTTTTATAAATTTTATATTTGCGTGATTTAACATACAACGACTGAGTCACGTCAGTAATGTAGAAAGATATAAAGCTCGTCTTGTTGCTAAGGGATTCACTCAAAGAGAAGGCATTGATTATATAGAGACTTTCTCTCATGTTTCATCAAAACTCTTTTAGAATAATAATGGCACTAGTAGCTCATTTTGATCTTGAGTTGCATTAGATGGACATAAAGACTGCATTTCTCAATTGTGATATTGATGAAACGATATATATGGTGCAACTAGAAAACTGTCTAGAGATCCAAAGAAAATAGTTTACAAATTAAAGAAGTCCATCTATAGGTTAAAACAAGCTTCTCATTAATGGTATCACAATTTCATCAAGTTATCATCTCATCTAGCTTTGAGATGAATATATATGATGAATGTGTATATCAAAAGTTTAGTGGGAGTAACATATATTTCTTGTTTTATATGTCCATGACATATTACTTGCCAACAATAATATAGGCTTACTTTATGACACCAAAAGATTTTTGTCAAGGAATTTTGAGATAAAGGATCTCGGTGAAGCCTCTTATGTATTGGGTATTGAGATATACCAAGATCGACCTTGAAATATCTTACGGTTGTCACAAAAGAGCTATATCGAGAAAGTTCTTGTGAGATTTGGTATGCAAAGATGTAAATCTTATGATACCCCTATTGTTAAAGTAGACTAATTTAATCTCAATCAGTGCCCTAAGAATGATTATGAGGCTAAAGAGATGCAGAAGATTCCTTATGCATCAACCATAGAACGTATTATGTATGCTCAAGTATGTACGCATCTAGATATTACGTACATAATTAGAGTACTAGGCAGATATTTAAGCAACTCTAGTGTGGATCATTAGAAAGCAACCAAATGGGTTATGCGGTATTTACAAAAGACAAAGAACTATATGCTCACATATAGGAAATCAGATCATTTGGAGATCATCAGATATTTAGGTTCTGATTTCATTGGATGCACTAATAGCAAATGATCTACTACGGGCTATATCTATCTACTAACTGAAGGAGCTATATCATAGAAGAGTGTTAAGTAGACACTCATAACTTTTTTTACTATGATAGCAAAGTTTCTAGCATGCTATAAGGTATCAAATCATGAAATTTGATTAGAGAATTTTGTCATAGGGTTATAAATTCTAGATGGAATTGAAAGACTACTAAAATTATTTTGTGACAATAAATCAACCGTTATGTTTTCTAATAATAATAAGAGCTTGACGAAGTCTAAATATATATACATTAAGTTCTTAGTTATTAAGTGATGTGACTTAGTTGTTGCATAGTAAATAATGAAATATAAGTATTTAGAAGTATGTTTGAACAAATATATCAATTATAATTTAATAAAAGTTTCATAGTAAGAATTTTCTAGGTCAATCATAAAAATATAATATAATATTGAGTAATTTTTTAGAATTTTCCTTAAAAAATATGATTTTTTTATGAATTTTAGATTAAAAAATAAAAATAAAAAATATTTAAAATTTACAAAAAAAGAAAATAAAGGTATAGACATCAGGATGACGTCAGTGCTTGACGAATATGAATTGAGCAAAAATAGAGTTTCACTGATGATTATTATATAAGTAATTATAGATAAATTAATTAATTAAATTAAGATATGTAAAAACTAAAAGAGTTGTAATTAAATGAAGAATAGATTCGTAATAAAGTAAAAATTAAGTTTAAAGCATGAAATAGAGTTTTGACGTCACAGTGGTGATGTGTTAGTGATGCATCGAAATTCTAAGTGTTCAGGAGGATTGTCGAGCAATGTCCATGGCCTCGAAGGCTCTCCTTAGACAAGGACGACATGAGCAATCTTTATATTTTCTTGTGAAGTTTAGAGATCAATGAAATGGGTCCTTAAATCGTCTTCAGTAGTTGTCACTCGGCAGAGTAGAAAAATGATGACTTTACGGCTCTCTGACAATTATTATCCTATAGAGAGGAGTTAGATGAAAGTGGGGTGCATGTCAAGGAGCTTCATCCTTAGGTCTGCACAACAAGAGGAGGTTCTTCATTGTATTTGGTACACTCTCAAGAGGTAGCGACTCATCTTTCGACGGATCATCCTTAAGAGGTAGCGACTCATCTTTCGACGGATCATCCTCTTCCTAATGATAGCTTATTCGCTGATCAATTGAAGATACTTGATGGATTCATGATCCTTCTATCGTGAATTGTTCAACAATTTTAGTAATAATATTTTACAAATTACGTCGACGAGATTTTCGTCAATGATCGAGTAACTCTAACGGCTTAATCTTTTACCAGTGATTTACAAGAAAGTTACGATTTAATTAGATAAAAATATAAGTTTTGACTCTAGTAAGATTCAAACCCACACTGGTCGCTCATCTACATGAGAGAGATAGAAATAAGTACGCAAATATTCTTATAAAGTGACATCATCATAGTATATCTTTGTTATAACTAAGAGGTATGTTAAGTATTTAAATAATTAAACTATTTTGGGGAAGGTGTCACCGTCGATTTAGTCCCACATCGGTTGCATGCTGAAATTTTGAACGAATATATAATAATATTAGATTTAGAAGCAATGAGTCCCTTTCTCACATGTATGACCACTCTTTGCCCCACAACCCGTTGGCCACTAGTGATGTGGAAGGGGAGTGGCACTCATTGCCCCCATCGGTCCATAGCTACTCGAGCTCCTACTTGTGGCTTCACCCCAACTATGCTTCCGACCTGCTTGTGGTCCTGGTTGGCTGGTAGGTTCCCCATTTTTCTATTTTCTTATTTTCTCTTTCTTCATTTATCTTAAAAATAAGATTATAAAAATTAGATAAATTAGTATAAAATCACATAATTAGCCAAAAAATCACATTAATCAAATAAAAATCACTTTTCACAAATTAACATAATTATAAGTCTATTTATTATGATTTACGTCTAAAAATATATTATTTATTAATTAATAACTCATTATAATAAATATTTATCATCAATTAAAGAGTTCAGAGTGGTTAGATGTCTATTAAGTATATTGGGACAAATTCTATGGTAGTAAATTCACTTACTAAGGGATTATCACCAAAGCTCTTTCATGAGTATGTTGCTCATATGAGTGTAATACCTCATGAGGATATGTAATTTTAGTGAGAGTTTGTATTTTGATTTTGATATAGTTATAGACATATACTTTGGCTATTTCATGTATGAATAAAATTTATGATCTCCATTCGGAATAAGGAGGATTAAGTTGGAAATGTACATGTAAATTGCGTCGACGAGTTTTTCGTCAATGATCGAGTAACTCTAACAGCTTAATCTTTTACCGGTGATTTGCAAGAAAGTTACGATTTAATTAGATAAAAATACGAGTTTTGACTCTAGTAAGATTCAAACCTACATCGGTCGCCTGTCTATATGAGAGAGATAGAAATAAGTACGCAAATATTCTTATAAAGTGATGTCATCATAGTATACCTTTGTCATAATTAAGAGATATGTTAAGTATTTAAATAATCAAACTATTTCAAGGAAGGTGTGATCATCGATTTAGTCCCACATCAGTTGTCTACTGAAATTTTGAGTGAATATATAGTAATATTAGATTTAGAAGCAATGAGTCCCTTTCTCACATGTATGACCACTCTTTACCCCACAACCAGTTGGTCACTAGTGATGTGGAAAGGGAGTGACACTCATGTGCCCTCATTGGTCCATAGTTGCTTGAGCTCCTACTTGTAGCTTCACCCCAACTACGCTTCCGACTTGCTTGTGGTCTTGGTTGGCTAGTAGATTCTCCATTTTTCTATTTTCTCTTTCTTCATTTATCTCAAAAATAAGATTATAAAAATAAGATAAATTAGTATAAAATCACATAATTAGCCAAAAAATTATATTAATCAAATAAAAATCATTTTTCATAAATTAACATAATTATAAGTCTATTTATTATAAGTTAAGTCTAAAAATATATTATTTATTAATTAATAACAAATGATAATAAATATTTATCATCAATTAAAGAGTTCAGAGTGATTAGATGTCTATTAAGCATATTGGGACAAATTATATGGTAGTAAATTCCCTTACTAAGGGATTGTCACCAAAGCTCTTTCATGAGTATGTTGCTCATATGGGTGTAATACCTCATGAGGATATGTAATTTTAGTGAGAGTTTGTATTTTGATTTTGATATAGTTATAGACATATACTTTGGCTATTTCATGTATGAATAAAATTTATGATTATTTTCACTCTAAATGTGGTTATTTGATCTCCATTTGGAATAAAGAGGATTAAGTTGGAAATGTACATGTATGAGTCACACTTTATGTAATTTCCATGCTACACATCCGTACTTGATCTATGTCGTTCATTATAACGATATATGTGATTATTGTGGGTTCAGCCATGTGAAAAATATGAACGAAAACTCCTTTAGTTTTATATTGATATAATGATGGACGAGATTGTTAGAGATGTCTTTGGTAATGATAGCAAAAATTTTGAGCTCATAAGGTCATAATGTATAATATTAAGTTATCATATATATTTTGTCCAAGTGAGAGATTGTTGTAATTAATCTCAATGTGGATAGTTATATATATGAATTGTATATTATGATGCTATCATTGAATTAATTCCACTTAAAGTGATTCATTAGAGTTTAAGTATTTAGGATTATAGCCTCTCTTGTAAGTATAGACATAAATATAAATATGTGTAGAAATCAGATCTTATTCTAATTTTATGATGGGCTAAATTAGAAAAAGACACCAAGAGGTTAACCACCTCTTGTCTATAAATAGGGTTCATGGTCCTTGAGTCACACATTGTGAGTCTCTTAGAACATTTCATTTCTCTAGAACAAGTCATTGGACAACTCCCCTACGTTGATTCAAAAGGCCATCCTTGTATTTGCGCCTTTATGGATTCAGGTATGGTTTCAATTCATTCTCATTATGTTTTGTCATTCTCTATCTACATCAACACAAGATCATTTAGATCTAACAAAGGATTCTAAAAGAAACCTATTTCTTACATTTATACTATATATTCTAAGAGCATTTAATTGATTTTGATGACTAAAATAAGCATAAATTTGATTACTTGTTGAAATAAAATATTAAACCAAATAAGTTTATCAACTTATAGAGATTTTTATTATTGACAAATCATTGACCTATATTTCACAACTTTCGAGAATGTCTAGGATGATCCACATTATCTTGTTGCAGGGTTTCTATGTTGTTGTATTCATTATGTTATGTGCAGTTCTTTGATGTAAATCATTACTTATATGGAGGATTTGTCATTTTTCTTCAGTCTTGCATTTGCATTACTTAGCCAAGACTTTAGCAGAAGATAAGGCCCTTGAATATTCTAAGTAGACTCGATGATGTAGTGATTTGCCCATCCTTGGTCCTTGGTCCATTACTCTAGCCGACAATTAATGAAACTAGGTTGTTGCTCATTAGCTTCTGGAAAGGTTATTCTGATGCTGCAACTGTCACTTTTGTAGTCTTGGTGATTTTTCAGCTGCAACATTCTAGTGGCAACTTAAGTTTTTTGACATCAATATACTGTTGAGATTTTCTTCGGCCCAAATTCCTCCATCCTTGAAGTAATTTACACAAGTTAGGTCATTATGCTAACTATGGTCGATAAGCACTCATATTCAAGTA